GACAGAGTGTAGTCCTAGATGAAACCCGATAGAGAGTAGCCATGTACCAAACACGACAGAGTGTAGTCTTACACCAAACATGGACTTATAAGTGATTAGAAGTCCATGCACCAAATACCGCTGAGTGTAGTCCTAGATCAACCACGACAGAGTGGAATCCTGGACCAAACACGACAGAATGTAGTCCTAGACCAAATATGACTGACAAGAGCACTGAAGTCACGAACCACAGTGCAGCCTTAGATCAAACAGGATCGGTCGTAGTCTTAAACCAAACGCAATAGAGTGTAATCATGGACCACACAGTACGGCAGAGCGGAGTAAAGGACCAAATACTTTTTTTCTTGAAAGCGGCTTGAAAGTCCATGATTCGATCCATGTAATGTTTTTTCTTGAACCATACGTGTAATGACGTATTCCAAAACAACAATCTCATCAAGGACCTTGACAGGATGTATATTATGTAGATTCTCCGGATATTGTCTGTTTGTTTGATTGCCATTGATTGAGTGTATGTCTGTATATTGTTTAATCAGGCTTTTTGCCTGTCTGTGGGTTTCTTCAATAATATCATTGGCAAGTTATTGTTTGTCGTCTGGTTTCAACAAGACGCATGGTAATTGAAGAATTTCTATGGCTTTATGTTGAAATGAAAAAGTATGACATTTCAGTGGTTTCTGCAAGGGTAGGAGCTGTAGATAACGCAATGAAGATGATCTTACTGGTTTTCTTACTATACATTAAACCATTACTAGACTCCAGCATTCACATAATTGTAGATGAGAGTTGATATTTAATATCTACGAGTCGACAAAATGACATCACGAAAAATGACATCACGAAAAATGGTCTGATATTGGGTTCATTATGTCACCACCAAAGGTGGTGTCAACACCACAGTCTCCAACCTTTTTGTTTAGCGTTGGCGGTCGGCGATCGGTGTTCTGAATTCAGCGTCTGTAATAAATGGCAGGTGGTAACATGTTGCATGATATTGCCTCGTTCCATGATTATAATTGAATTAATTGCCATTTTTCAAGCTTGGTGAACAATTTTCATTGATAATCCGAATGTCATTTAAATTTGTCATCGTAAGGGTACAAAAAATCCTAAAATAAGCATTTTTTGCTGATAAACTACTTAGGAAAATATCACACGGATCTCTTTAATATTAGAAATATCACTGCCTGTTATCACACAAAAATTGCATACACGCATGTATATCACACTTAAAATTATTATGGCGCAAAATACTAAAAACAATCCATTAGACGCATCAGCTGGCCAGAACTGTTTTAATTGTACAGTATTGTGCATTTGACATGTCTGTGATGGGCGAGTATTAAGTATGGAGTCATGGTGTATGTGTCATGCTGAACTAAGGAATTAAGTGTCATTTGTTTTATTCTGGAGATAAACACTTGACCGGCAGATATCCAACGGTGAGCTTTAACCCATCCATCGGTTTTATGTCCGCCACGTTGCCAGTGCATTAGATGTCAAAACTAACGATATGTCTATCCGAAAATGGCAAACATTTAAATTTTTCATCCTGGGGATAAAATGTGTAAATTAATGTATATTTTTCAAAGACAACTTGGGCCAATATAAGTCATGATCAAGCACTGTCAATTAATTCACAATTGTCAAAATACACAGTTTCTCAACTTTCTCTGCAATATTCTCATTGTTTCTACGGTAAATGTAAAACGAAGCATTGCCATTTAAAAACTCAAGGTAACACGGGGGTAAAGCAGACCCGATGATGCAATGAGCTTGCTCGGCGGTATCATGACTATGTGTAACGGGTCTTGATGTATAAGTGAGCTCGGCGGTAGGTTCAAACAACGCGGATCCTCAAAGCATGTGCTCATGGTATCACCGTGGCTTAACACCCGTGGTTACTATGAATGCCCGGATACTGCCTGATTCAAATGAGATAAGTCAATTTGCATATGAACAAGATTTTTTAAAATTTTGATCCAAAATCATTATTTCACCAAATGAAACTTGAAAGTTGCAGTCGAGCCATGTATCATGAAGTGTACACTTTTACTTGGATAAAAGATGTCAGGAGAGTCTCACTTAACGCTTGTGTGTGATGATAGATAACTCCATAAACTCTCATTGGGAATATTTGAAAGGATCATTTCTTTCAAAAATAATTGCAACTTTGAAAAAAACCTCAAATAGTGGTGTTTCTCGAAAATCAAGCAGAACCGAAGAGAACATCAATGGAGGTGAACCTGCTCGTGCCTTTTATGTGGAAGTTTTAGGAAAAAACAATGGTCCACTTTTTCTGTACTTCAGCAAAGACAGGTCGATCGATGTTGATCTACAAGACTGTAGATGAACAACAACAGTTCCTAATGATGTGAAGACCTACAACGGAAAATCTACAAGTGAAATCTACAAACTGTGAAACTGTTGTAATACTGTCATAATTAAACAATGGTAAGCAATAGAGATCCCATTGACAGTGTGTTATATAGTGCCATATGTGTCATTCTGACAACTTTATATGCAAGCCGGATTGGCTTTATCATTATGGTACTACATGTCACATAATCACGCCTAACCATCGCGTAAGCAGGCGTCACCGTACAGCGTCAACAAATACAGTAGTACAGTTTTCTGTACGGTGACGAAAATTAACTGAGTTGAAGCAAAAACTATAATGAGGGTTTTAAAAAGATTAATTAGATGAAAATAAATACGATTTCGGGTGTAATAAAAACAGCATTCTCTTAGGAATGGTTTTAACTTTCTAATTATGAAGTTTTTCGAGCACTGCTCGGATTTTTTCTGACTGGATCGGCCCACATAATCGACTCGAGAGAAAAATTGTGTTTTTTCACTTTTCGTTTGATTATTATTTTCCCTGTCGTCTGAGAGTATGGATTATTTTTATGAGAATATTTATTTGTTATCTACACATTTTAGAACAGATGAATATTCGGCAAATAATCATTCAGTGTATTTATTTAAAAAAGGTCAGAACTGTACGGTGACGCATCAGCTGTACGGTGACGCTTCCTTGGATTTTATGAAGTGCTCTAAGCTTACTGTTCGAACAAGAGGTAAAGAAGCGTCAGATCTACATGTACATTATAACTGGTAAGTATCAAGCGAAGGTTACAGCCGTCACATTCGCATTTAAGATGGCGGACAGGAAGTATTAATTTCGATATTTTTAGTTTTCATGGAATTAACTATTTGAAAGTTGACGTAATGCTTTGGTATCATTTGAACTAAACCAGGCTTTTCTCATATGACTAACAAAGATAGCCTACACAGCCATCTTTACCCCATGCAAGATATTGCATCTTTCATCCTAAATAGTCACACGTGCAAGATGAGATTTACTTGTGATATCCCTTGTTTTAAAACATCAATAACATCACTCTTAAAAATGAATTACTTGAGTATTTCCCAAGTATAAAAATTACTTAAAGTTAAATACTTAGTTTTACTTCATTTTACTTAGGTTTAACTTATATTGTCATTTTGAGTTTTTTAATTGCTTAATTATGTAAATGAGTATTACAATTACTACAGTAAGTATTTCAATTTCTCTCCTTGCATTAGGAAATTCACCATAAATGAATTACTTAAAAATTACTTAAAAATTATTCAGTAGTTCAAGATTATTTAAGTAATTTTTGACTTAAAATGAGTAGTACAATTTCTCAATATAAGGAAATCCAAGTAATTTTTAAGAGTGATAGCAACAAGAGAGTTCTTGGTTTCATGATCTTTACCGTATCATACATTTCCAGTAACCTTCCATTAAGCTGTGGAAGATATCGTTGAACTGTAGCGCCCATGCACTATATATGAACAAATGATCATACTCCAGAGTTTCCATTTCATACAATCTTAGTCTCATTTAGTTCATCAAAGCATAGCGTCACCGTACAGCTGGTGCGCCACCGTACAAATTTGATCTTTTGTAAATATACATAATGAATGGTTGTTTGCTGAATCTTCGCCCGTTCTAAAATGTGTAAGTAACAAATATATATTCTCATAAAAATAATCCATACTCTCAGACGGTAGGGAAAATAATAACCAAACAAAATGTGAAAAACAACCTTTTCTCACTCTGGTCGATTATGTGGGCCGATTCACTCAGAAAAAATCCGAACAGTGCTCGTAAAACGTTTATCATAATCAGAAAGTTAAAACCGTTTCTAAGAGAATGCTGTTTTTATTTCACATGAAATCGTATTAGTTTTCATCAAATTAATTTTTTTAAACCCTTGTCATAATTTTTGCTTCAAAGCAGTTAATTTGCGTTACCGTACAGAAAACTGTACTCCGCTATTTTTTGACGCTGTACGGTGACGCCTGCTTACGCGATGGTAAGGCGTGATAATGTGAAATAAATGAAAGAAACAATGAATGAGTCCATCATAAACGTTTATCTATCTCGGGACGAACATGTTTAAAAGAAGGGGGAGGGGGGTGTAGTGAAACCAAAAATTATTTCAAAAATGATAGGTGTTATCGTTGTTAACATCACTCTGTTCATTTATGCATAATTTCAGCTCTCATTCAAGTTTCCAATATTGTTTTCATATGTGCTTTCATCATGTGCATCGCATGATTGGCTTTATACTATTCAAATGCATGTGCATATTCCATCTTATTATTAGCCTCACCCTTTTTGCAATTCATTCTGCATATTATTTCTTTCGGTGTCTAACTGTCTGCAAATCTTGAATACATAGTATATTCCCGGGGATTCAAAGAAACTCCGAAATGTGAAATCATTTCAATCATTCGATTGAAATCGACACATTGAATCTCTTTTACAAGGTTCTTGAGATGTTCAAAGACAAAAACGGTTTTAACAAGGCATTTCCTAATAACTGAAAAGGCAATTAATGAACAAGTCCAATATCCCGGGAAACCAAACTATGAAGAGAGAAGGTACCATAGCACTGAACGAACTGCTCTGAGATTGTGGGCTCGTTCAGTGCAATCGAGAAATACACCGAACGAGTTGCTTCATAATCGTTCTATTATTACGCATGCGTTCAAATGAATGGATTTCATTCACATCATTCAACGTTGAATTTATGTGATGTATACAACTTAATTTGTTTATCTGTGTTAGTTTCGATGTCTGATCTTCAGCAGCAAGATCTAAATATTAATTATAGGTTAAAATTACCAACGCACCCTTGGGTGTTTGAAATATAGACCAATCAAAATTTTAAAACTGGTTGCGCATGCGCAAAATTCGTACCATAGAGCGAACCTGGCGCAACATTCTTAGATTCTATTTGAAGCGCACATTTCCATGTGAGACCACTGATCTAGTAGATTACATTCCTAAGCAGGCTAAACCGTCTGAAATGTTGTTGGACGCCACTGAAGAAGATGTGTGCTGTACAAATGCAAAGATTCAAAGTGAGTAACTACCTACAAGTACAATAATATCCAGATTATCCATTTATTGAAAAAATTGTGGATTTTTTTCAAAAGTGAAACACACAGTGACTCGATCGAGTGTGTGATTCTAAACTCAGAACTCAAATCAGTGATAATATCTAATGTATAGGCACACTAATGAAGAATTCTAATCATATTTTCCCATTCTGGATTTTGTAATTTGTTGACTGACTAGTCTTTTCCTTTACCTTCGGCCATTTCTGTATCCACTTCCAAGATTTTTAGATCTAAGCTTAGTCTACTGCTCCTCTCATTCTATTGCTATTTATGAAAAATGATACATGCCTCCATGCATATCTTTCGAGAATCTTTGTTCATATTCCCATCCTCATCAGTTGTTATTCCACGTTGAAAGCCCATGGTTTTTGTGAGCGCAGTTTCAATACATCCTGCTACATGTATATATTTAGAGGTTATGTCACTATGATGTGAAAATCCTGAGTTCTCCCAATATAGGCTGACCTTTGGAGTTTTTTTTATTTTGGGCAAGAACGAAGGCATATTTCATATCATAGTGACATAACTGACGTACTACTAGTTCTACAAGTTAAACCTAGTCTGGGCCTTATTTCTTATCTGACATATCTTGTGGCCTGCCCTAGGTTTAACGTCCGTGCCTATTCGGCCCTTGATGCAAAAAAATTAATGGTGGCCTATGGTAGCGCATGAAATTCCATGCGCGTTTAATTATAACTGATAGTGAGAATTTGCAACAAATGAAGCACGGAAGTTAAACCCAACCACGGCAACAAGAACATTCAGATTCATAAATAAAACCCGTGGTATTGGGTTTAACTTGTTGAACTAATGTATTACAGGCTCCCCATGGCTACTTTATCAATGACATCACGCATCTGTGTTTGATCAAAATGAAACATATGGTTATTTAAGAAATCTAATATCAAAACGAGGTAAAGGGGCCCGATGCTATACCACGGTAATCTAACTTTCCCATTGACTTCCATACAAATGCCTCACTACATATGTAATACAACTTAATTCAGTTCAACATATTTACATGTTTTGAATATTGTGGACCCAAAGCTAATTGCAGTTTGAATAAGCCTGAAATCTGACAAAAAATCAGGCGAAAACAACATTTAAATCTCATCTTATTCCCTCCTCATGTTATTATCCTTTAGGTTTGAAATGTGCCATTGTGGAACCAGCTGGTCGGTGGTTTGAGGCTTATTGTCTGAGACGTCGTAGCAAACAAACCATTTCACAGCACAGTTACAAGTCTACAAGTTCTACAGAGAGCTCATCTGAAGTGAGTGAAGATGATGGCACTGATGAAAAGCTGCTGCTCAGCCTAGACCCAAAAGAATGGAAGGTATTATGCTTACTCAATCAGATAAAATAGCTCATAAAGTTGTAGATCTAATGGCACCTATATCAGAATGTTATGTTTTTTCTCCTTAACTTGAGGGGCCATTTGCTGTTTCCATCCCAAATTCTTTTCTACAATTTAATTTAATTCTTTACTGGTTTGCAAATCATTTGATGAATTGATTTCAGTTTTTTTGGCAGCTAGTTTTAAGGTGACAGTTTTTTTTATTTATCAGATAAATGTTCGAATGTTATTTTAAATGATTTCCCATTTTGTAGAAACAAGACCACTATGCAGTTCTTGGAATAGCACATTTACGTTGCCATGCCACTGAGGACCAAATAAAGAGAGCTTGTGAGTACTATATGCTTTGTCTTATATGGAGGCACTTATTGCATGTGAAACAACCGAGGGTGTCTCTAAGGAGCTGCTGTGTAACAAGCCAGATACATATGCTCCATGCAGGAATCAAACCCAGGACCTACTGGTTCAAATTCTGATGCTTTACTGTTGAGCCGTAAGAGCTAGCCATCATACCTGGGCTGAAGTAGCAACTTTCTATCCAGGGTTGTTACACATACAGCCCCCTATAGCTTTCTTAGGTTTCATTCATTATTCCAATGATTGAAGTTCAATATAGGTTTTAGTTAAAACCTCTGTCTGACTCTCAGTCTGTTTGTTCATATGTCCGTCTGGCAATAAAGAGTTTAAGCTTGCATAAAAAATCGAAACGCTAACCTATACGACGTTTGACCAATCACCCATACAAATGCATTGCTTAGATGTTTTCCGTTCATGTTTAGGCTGTACAAAACATTGCAAGCTTGTAAACTCCCTATTAACCCATATAAAGTGATTGGCAGCTTTAGAATTTTCTAATATGGTCACTTAGTTTGAAGTTGCCACTATATTTCATAAATCTTTGAATTAACTCAAATACTAGTCAACATTTATATGACCCCTGCTTGAGAAGGTATTTTTGATACAGTTCTATGTCAAATTAAAACTCTTTGATTATCAATCCAGGCATATATTTATAAAAGAATGTGTATGTTTTACATGAACATGTGTGTTACAGATAAGAAGAAGGTTTTAAAGCATCACCCCGACAAACGCAAAGCTCGTGGAGAGAAAGTGAAAGAGGGAGATGATGATTACTTCAGTTGTGTCACCAGAGGTGAGCTTTTTAGTAACCCTTTTTTCATATACACTAGAGGTGCCACATTTCTATCACACCACTGGGGAGGATGTGATAGTTTTCATGATGACAGGGTGGTTGTTACTGTCATGATTCCAGGAAAACCACTTGTCTGATTTTCTTCAAATTTCTAGATGATTATCCCAAACTTCACATGTAAAATGAAGAAATTTCCCCATTCAAAATGTGGTTGTAATAAGTTATGGTTCACCTTCAGTATTAATACTCTTTTCTTTATAAAACTATGTTAATTTCAGTTTAAACTTAATTTAACAATTAAGATTTGGCATGTATAAACCACTCAACGCAGTGATCTCCACGGGATTTTTTCTCAAGTGGGTGCAAAATTTTCATTTTCACAATTAAGACCAAAATTGGTCAAAATATGTCCATTTTTCATGATTAATCTCATTTTTAAGCGGGTGCAAATGAATTTTCAGGTGGGTGCAAGCCTATTTTCAAAATCTCAGATGGGTGCTGCGTCCACTTGCTTTAATGCTGGGGAGATCACTGCAACGTATACACTGTATTTCCAAATTTAAACGTGAAATAGCATACATATATGATTTCATAAAATTGTCTTTCAGCCTATGAAACACTTGGTGTTCCTGTGAAAAGACGGGCATTTGACAGTGTAGATCCTGAGTTCAATGATGATATTCCTGAGAAGGACAAGGAGAGCAGAGAGGAGTTCTTTGAAGTGTTCAGACCTGTCTTTGAGAGAAATGAAAGGTAGGAAAGGGAATATATGTGGATACTAAGAACCCTATTACACTTTCTTATGATAATTTGGCATTTACTGAATGCTATATTTTGGCGGTGGTTTACAAAAATAGCCGTGCTTTTAATGGCATTTCAATGGGATTTGCTACGTTTTGGCGTTGCTGTTATGTAACTTTTGGAATCACTGAATATTTCTTCTTTGACCTGATCATTCTTCAAATGGAGACTTGAATATTATGGATGACTTTTTAACAGATATTTATATTAAACTGTCAGTTAAAGTGTCAGAGCTATCATAATTCTAATTGTATTAATCTAGGTGGTCCAATAGCAAGAAGAAAGTGCCAAAACTGGGGGATGCCAATTCTACATGGGATGATGTGAATAATTTCTACTCCTTCTGGTACGATTTTGACTCATGGCGAGAATATTCATACCTTGATGAGGAAGAAAAAGAGAAAGGAGAGAAGTAAGTCCATTTTATATTGTCCTTACCACATAATTGTTGAGTATAATTCTAGACTAGGAATGCCTGTCTGTTCATCTATACAATTTCCCCTTCAATTATTAATCTGTATATATTGGGTACATCCACATGTTTGACAAAAATCTCAACTTGGCTTCTAATTTGAAATGAAATGCTAAAATCCTTGTCTGCAAGAAAAATGTTTTCTCATATTAGTGTTAATATGATTAATTCTGTAATTCGATTATTTTCAAAATTCTAAAATCAAGATTTATTTTGAGGTCAGTCAAGACCCTTGGAATACAAATGACAAAAACACAAAGTCCAAATGTTTCCTAATGTATTTTTGTGTTTTAGTCGAGATGAAAGGCGCTGGATAGAACAACAAAATAAAAAAGCTAGACAAAAGTTGAAAAAAGAGGAAGTAGTTCGGATAAGAACTTTAGTTGGTGAGTAAACATTATTGGTCTCAAAAACAATTGGAGTTTTGTAAATCACAAAATTGAAAAAGATTGTTTTAAGTTGGATAACAAATGTATTTTTGATATACAAAGTTCAGATTCAGGTCATTCCTTTTTATACTCTTCTGACCATCATATATTTATAGATAATGCATATGCTTGTGACCCTCGTATCCAACGCTTCAAAGATGAGGAAAAAAGGAAGAAGGAAGAGCTGAAAAAAGCAAGGAAAGATGCTGCAAAAGCCAAACAGGAGGAGGAAGAGAGGGTGAGTCATAATACCATCTGCTACTTGTAAACTGCATTACATATACATTGGTATATGTATTCAAAGTTTGCAATGTCAAGCACTTACTTTAAAAATTAGATTGATCTCAATCATGAATTGACAGACAAGCATGTTAAGTTGTAAAACACAAACAGATATTTGTTAGATCATGAATTTGAGTTACACATATATATTAGAAAGTGGAGTGTACAGAGTGTTACAAAATGTATACTTTGGTATTGGTTATTTTGGCCTACCCTGTGTTCAGCTTTATTCAAAAATTGCATCCTAAGTGATAATTGCCCTTTAACCTCCTGAATATCAGTCTCTAAAAACTAGAGCATTTTAAATTTTTCACCAGTTTTTTGGACATTTACATCTAAGTACAATTGATGTTTGATTTCATAAGAGTAAACATAGACCCATCACATACATTTTGAAACAAATTGTGTAGATTAGATAAAAAAATTGTCAAAGTTAAGGCAGTTTTAGTAAAAAATTCTGTGACATACATATCTGTAGCTCTGGGTTCCTATGGAATTTTATTTGTGACAGAAATATTCATCATTCTTGGTACTCAAGAGGTTAATGGAAATTCAGTGAGGAATACATGTACATGTATGAATGTGTTGTAGATGAAGAGAGAGGCAGAGGAGCTTGAGAGACAGAGAAAGGAGAAGGAAGAAAGTGAAGCTAAAGCTATAGCAACAGAAGCTAAGAAAGAGAAGGAAGCTCAAAAGAAAGCAATAAAAAAAGAAAGAAAGACAATGAGAAATTCACTTAAAGTAAGTTATTCATTACATTTTGTAACATATCTTGTAAAAATGAGAAATTCACTTAAAGTGAAAGTTACTGTGTAACTTGGAGCAATTAGATTTGTAAAATTGGGAAAAATCATATATTTGATATTCAAAATACCTTTTTAGCCTCATGTAGTAGGCAGAACAGCATGCAACACTATGCTGTATCCTAGTATATGGACTTCACATATGTGCAAAAATATGTAGTTTTGTTGAATATTTAGGATTTGAATTATTTTGCCGGAGATGACCCTAGCACTAAGATACAAAATATGTCTGATATGGAAAAGTTGGCTGAGATGCTCTCATTAACTAGGTATGTTAACTTTTATTTTTTATAGGCTCAAATGTATTTAGTCTGGATCATGTGTAAAGTTCCAAAATTAGGCGACACATCTAATGTTGTTCTGAATCTCAAATAATGTTAGTTCTGGATGCCCCAGGGGCCAATTCTTTAGAAATGGTTATATCAATCAATCCACTTTTGGTTTGGATTATTACAAATATATGTTTTCATTAAACAGTGGTTGTGTATGACATATTGATGAAATATCTTGTGATACAGAGAAAAGTTTTTCTCGATTTTATAGTTTTACATTATAACATGAAGAAATGTAAATAAAAATATGAAGCAAATTCTGGTTACTGATTTTCAGTGGCAGGATTTGAAAACTTGTTGATGTAATTGTTGTTATTTATGTTACTATATTATATTCCAGTCTGCAAGAACTGAATTCCCATCTAACATCTGGAGATGAAAACAAAGCAAAAGAAGGCTTCCATGAAAAAGTATGAATAGATTATTATATCATTGTCCTGAAACATCAGTGGTTCATCATTTTTTAAGTGTTTTTTTACAGGGTAACACATGACACATAGAACTGGTAGTGTTAATGTTAGCGAACAATTTAATTATTTTAGATCAATGCTATTGTCATAATTTGATAAAAGAACCTTTGTCAGTTGCTTGAAATAAATTTACAGAATAAATTGAAATATCGCGAAACTATATCATTTTTAGATCAACGAGATGAATAAAAAATTAGAAGAAGAAAAGCGTAAAAATTTAGAGGCCTCTCAGAAACAAACCTCTTCTGTGGGGGAATCTGGTGGTAAGATTCCTTGGTCAGATGAAGAGATGCAGTTGCTCATTAAAGCAGTCAATCTCTTCCCAGCAGGCACTGTTGAAAGGTTAGTGGAAATAACTTATTTCTCAAGCTACTCCAGTATGCCATCATTGCAAATTTTAGTATGTCAGTTACCTGTGTGCTATATACTGGATGTTCCTCTGTTTTTTTCTTTCTTAATCGAGATTTTTGATTTCTCATACATGTAAATGGAACACTTTATCCTCATTAGCATGGAAATTGGAAGAGAGCTAATTCTGTTGGATTTCCTTTGCAATAATTGTCTTAAGAAGCTTCACATTCATAGTATGTTTGAAGCAAATGTTGTAATTGAATGTTTCCAGATGGGAGACAATCGCAGGTTTCCTAACCCAACATATGCCCTCAAGCAACAGGAGTGCCAAGGAGGTCCTCTTCAAGGCAAAGTCTCTACAGAAAATGGGTCAGTAAGAATTTTGCCATTTCTTGTTGTTTCAGTTATGCTAATCATGTTTTAAGAAGGAAAATAATTATTAGAAGACTCTTGGATTTGTAAAAGGGAAGGTGTATACAAAGAGTTTGAAGTAAATTATTGTAAATGTTGAAGCCCAAATTTTTTTTTCTAAGTTCAAGAATAAATATTGGAGATATTAATACTTGTAATGAAGATTAGCAGAAGTTTCTAGCTATTGTTGAATTAGTTTTGTTGGAAATCAGCTGTGTTTAATACAAAGAAAAATCACTTTGAAGCAGAGCAAGATACTATCCTGGATTCAATCAAGCATGTAAATTTATGAATTATTTTAATTTCAGATAGTACCAAAATGAAGGATGCTGTCAATCAAAAAGCGTTTGATAGATTCTCAAAGTCACACAAGGCTAACCCAGCAACAAGTTCTGAGTCCAGTGGATCTGAAAGATTTGTTTGTAAGTATAGCACTAATTTTATTTCAAGAGTGACTTAAGTTATTTATTAGCAGTTCCATTTCAATGTACTATTTACTTCCAGTTTTCATACATGAGTTATATTATGACATGTTTCATTTGTAATTTTCATGGATTGTCCTTTGTATGAAAATCTAGAACTGAAAAATTTAGGGAAAGCTGAATAAATATAAATGAACCCCTTTGGAAAATCTTGTCTATTAAGTTTTCAAAGATGTTTCTTTACTATTACTAGATAAGTGAGTTTGCTCTTGATTGTTGATTTTAGCTCCCGCTGAACATCTTGTGGCTGAAACTGGTTCTAATCCAAACCCATGGACAGCAGATGAACAGAAGCTTCTGGAACAAGCTCTGAAGAAGTTTCCTGCTAGCACTCCAGAGAGATGGGACAAGATTGCCGATTGTATACCAACTAGGGGCAAAAAGGATTGTATGAAAAGATTCAAGGTCAGTTCCGCTTTAATTTCAAACACAAATCTGCAATAATTCTATTCAAAGTTATATTGAAAAAGAAAAGACATTGCATAAATGCCAAGATTAGAAACTATATGCACATGATCACCATGGGGGCAAAGTATGTGTACTTGTTGTACTTCAGATTTGAATATTAAAGTGCAGAACAGTGATATTTTCTTAAACATACTAAACAGTTAGCTTATACTAAATAAGCTTTGTAGACAGTTCTAAATGTGGTACCGTATGATTGAGCATCAATGAGTTGACATCATCATTAGCACAAGTGAGCATTGCTTACAAGATTGCAACAAGTTGATAAAAATGATATTAAGAAACTTGTATGATTATTTCAAGTATGCATGTATACAGGCCTACTGAATACTAGTGGTAGTGAAACATTTAGAGGTTATTATTTCAAGTACATTGTATGTATATGAGATTGATATAATAATATATTCTTGATTTTTGAAAACTAATTCATTAAATAACATGAATGCTGTTATTCTACATCTACTGGCATAATCATGATATAAGATGTAAATAGGGCATTGCCTTAATACATACCAGTATTGTTTATAACTTTACAATACATTTACTATTATTTTTTTAATCTAATCCAGGAATTAGCTGAGATGATAAAGGCAAAGAAGGCTGCTGCTGCTCAAGCCAAGACTGCTAAATCATGACATCATCATCGATTAGACCAATAGGATTAGAGTGACAACTACAAAATACAAATACAACCAATCATGAAAGAGATAGGATGATGGATTATATAACGAATTGATGAAAGAAACATTTTGACAGTTGACTCAGTTTTACCAATGATCCCTTTGTTTCAAGTAAACATTGAAGGTTGACCAATCATATAAGGAACACACAAGGACAATCAAATACAATGTCATGGACTCCTGATATTATCCCATCCCTCGAGATAATGATGCGACAACTGGCCTATCCTGTACCTTAATGAGATGTTGTAAAATTACGAATGTCCCAAAATTGAAATTACATTTTTTTGACTAATGCTAAAATTCAGAATAAAAAGTACTATGGATAATGAATGAATAACTGATTATTAGTTCTCAGGATCACAGAATGAAGAATATAATTTGAATGCCTGAAATAATGAATTTTCCAGATATGGTCAGTGTATCCATATATCCTCCATTGAATTATGGCATTAATGAGTGCTTTTGATCTCCAGGTTCTGTCATAATGTTTTTTCCATCCATTTCCCATCCATTTCATAACATTGTGTAAAATTGTTTTGATAAAATGGCTGATGAGCATCAATTTCTACCAATAAATTGAAATTTTAAATCTTGTGATCAGTGTGTATCTGTTCAATATGAGTGGTTGTTATCTCAACGAACATAGTTTGTTTGATTGGTATATTCGACAAGTGCAAATTCACTGAAAGTTAAATATATGTTTATGTCCCCTGTCAGCTGTTATTGGGGGCAAATTTTTATTATTTCCTTGATTGAAAACTACATATATGTCAGTTTACATGTATTCTCGTCTTTAAAACGTTTACTTGAACTTCATTGGTCTGATGACTCAATTTATACGAGGGTTGTCCCAGAAGTAATGCACTGTATGCTCTAACTTTCTTTAATATTAGAGCATATTGTGCATTACTTCTTGGACAACCCTCGTATGTTTCATGGTATTTTTGTCAAACAATAGTAAACCATTTAGAAATATTAGAGGCTTTGATTTAATTTTTTTCACCTCACCCTCCTAAACTATTGCCCCTCAAAATTACAATTTGCATATAATCAGGATGCATTATGGGGCTATATAGTTGTTACTATGGAAATGGATATTGAATAATATGCGATACACAGGTCATAGGCTAGCTTGAAGATATAGTCGGTCACATAACTATGTGTGTATATACCTTGTTGAGATTAGCTATTAAAGCTTCACATTTACACTATGCGCATTGCTATCTAATCTGCAAATACAAGTTATTCTAATCCCAATATACAATGGCTGATACATTACAACACTTTAAAATCATGTCAAGGGTTTAACCTATTATGACACGTTGAGTTATTCAGCCCATTACCATCTTCTTAGATCATACTTCACTTCAGGTGTACAGCTACTCTGAGACCAGATAATATATATATATAATTTAATCAAGGCAGTAGGAAGGATATATCGGGTGTCCGAATAATGAGCCACTTTTTGACAAGTATTATCTCGGCAACTGATAAACCAAATTCACTAGAAATGTGTACAAAGTATGATAAGAGTATCGTTTGCAAGTTGTAACATTAATAAAAAAAAGATCAAGGAAATATTCTATGAGTGCTAAGAAATTCACGTCGTGCATGGCTGCCGCCGCTGCTGCTGCCAAAAGTTCAGCAGGGATAGCAAATGATTTGCCCGTTTGAACATTGATGAGCAATAAAACTTTGAAACGTAAAATACCAGTATGTTCATCTTTTGAATTGTATTGACCTTTAAATCACTTGGCCATTTAAATGTTACCTTACACAATTTATTGTCTAATTATGATTGTATATGTAATCTGCCTTAACATGTACACGGTGTCTATCCAGGCCCCGGTTACATCGCGAGCAACAAACTCATGTTAGAAGTTGTGCCTAGATAATTATGATAAAATTGAAATATAAACGTTTCTATGGATTTTTGGTTAATGAAACTCAGTACAACTTTATTTCATAGGTACAATGGCTATTTCAATTGCAGGTCATCAACGTTCTTCAACTACTATAACTATATTTTATCATATCTCTCAAGGCCCCGCTTCTAACATGAGCTCATTGCTCGCGATATAAGCGGGAACTTGCTCGCGATATGCGGGGCCTGGATAGTCACCGTGATGTAGATACCAATATATTCTCCCCAAACAATGATCAAGTCGCAACGCCATTTAGTAACGTATTCAAACTTTACAAAGTTGCAAAAGTCAACACAGAAGAATGAAAAGAGGCATCTTGTTCGGCTAAAATAAAAACAATGACAAGTTCAATTAGTTGGGAAAGAGATATGGAATGATAACAGCAAAAATATTGTAAATTGGGCAATTTTTCGAAATTTATTCTCAACTCTATCTGATGGCTTCTATTCCCTTGAAGATATGGGCTGACAGACTATCACGAGATTTGATAATTGTGAAAGCTCTGTACCAGCTGTCAATATACCAATGCTGTATAGTAGACTAGGAACTAAGGGCAGGAGTTAAAACCTCGTATATGAAATATATGTGAAATATAACACGGTGTCTAGTACCTGCCTGCTTGGCACTCAGTTTCCTCTGTAGCTTGCCCTCACAAAAAGTTACTGAATGAATTAAGACCTAATAATTTCAAATAACAACATATTTATTTTTTAAACTCTAAAATGTACAAACTGTAGCATTTATCATCTGCCTCGTGCATTTTCTGTCTCATTTTACGTATTTGTTTAAAATAAGCAACTTAAGTTAGTTATTCTTATGTGCTCTTCAAAAGGTCATAAAAGACACTAGCCTGCAGTTCTAACAACACTTGACTTATAAACAGTGAATAATTTTAAGTTTTACTAATCACTGCCTGGCGTATATTGAGATGCCCAACACTTTAAAAATGTTTAAAAATAGCCAATATTTTACATTTTATTAGTCCATATTCGTCGGATTTGTGTGCCCTAGAATGCTTCAAATGCAATCCTATTTTCTCTTGAAAGTCATGGTTATGTTAACCATTGTCGGGGGTCTGAGAGCAATTCTGACGTTATTTTTCAGAACGTTTTGAGATTTTCTATGTATATGCATTAGACATGGTAGAGGAACAGGTTGTATAACAAACTAAACCCCTGGTAAAATATCTTCGTTGCTCAGAGTAGGCATAAAGGTGCAGGAATGGCTATATCGTCGTATAGCGATATATATCGTCTCTCAGACGATATATTCGTGAAACTATCTCTCCCCATCCTCAAATCGAAATATATCCGATATATATCTCTGGGGTAGGATATATATCGAATATATCGTGTATATCGTGTATATCGTCATCCATAAATATAAGAACTTTTTGACAAACCTCTGTATTGAAGATATATATCTGATATATCTTGAAGACAGGATATATCGATTATAGCGTATATATCGTGTGTGTATCGCTCTATATCTAGGAAAGAGGATATATATCGTGTATATCGTTATCATGTGTATATCGCTCTATATCTTGGAAAGAGGATATATATCGAATATATCGTGTATATCGTCATCCATAAATATAAGAACTTTTTGACAAACCTCTGTATTGAAGATATATATCCGATATATATCTTGAAGACAGGATATATATAGATTTTAGCGTATATATCGCGTGTGTATCGCTCTATATCTAGGAAAGAGGATATATATCGAATATATCGTGTACGTATATCGTGCTTGAAAAATAGGGTATTCGATATATATCCTGTCTTCAAGATATATATCGGATATATATTCCCAATTTACAATATTGTTAAATCAGTTATTATATTTTTTAAACATGATATACATGATATATTCGATATATATCCTCTTTCCAAGATATAGAGCGATATACACACCATATATACGATACATTCGATATATATCCTCTTTTCAAGATATTCAGGATTAGAGGGGTGATATCAGGGTATATTAAATTTTTTTACATGTTTTCCAAAAAAATCATTTTCAATTTTTTTCAGTTTTTCACAAATTTTCATATTTTCAAAATTTTCATTTTTTCCAAATTTTTCATTTTTTCCAAAAAATCGTGTATATCTTGATATCAAGACAAATATCAAGTAGGTCCTATCTTTTTTTCACAAATTAAATTTATTTCCGAAAATTCATTTTTTTCCAAAAATGAGTTTTTTAATATTTTTTATTTTTTGATTAAAATTATCTTCACATTTTAATTTCTTTAAGTATTTTGTTCTTCTTGCCCTTATACTTAATTTCTCAATGTACTTGGGAGTAGGTTATACCCTCCATAAGTTTTGCAACCCTAACCCCCTCATTGAACTACATATTAAAGGCTCTTTTTGTTTGAATTTTTATTAACATAACCTTTTGAAAATATTGTATTATTGTATTGATGGAAATGTAACTTGACTTCAATTCCAATGCCCCCAAGGTTTCCCAATTTTTTCCTCAATCACAATAGGTCGAAAATTGATGATAAACTTTATGAATTTGTGAAAATCGTCATTCCTATGTAAACCAATGGCAAATGGTGGGTCCGGGGCAAATCTGATTTCAGGGTATCTAACCAGTAAAAGACTCACCCAAAATATTTTTATAATTATAGAAAATTGAATTGTCTACTTTTTGTACTCTAAGTGTTCAGTTTACTTTATGAATACTTAAGTAACAGAAAAATAAATTTGACTTTGAAGACCTATAACTTTTTAAAACTGAGGAAACATATCAAATTTTTATTAAACAAAGTAAGCAAATACAATTTTGGCCACCTAACTTGTATTTTTTGCAAGATCTCAGATGGATAAATATTCTGTCATATGACTTGCGGCAAACCTACCATTTCCCATTGGTTTACATGGGAATGTCGATTTTCCAAAATTCATCAGATTTATCATCAATTTTCAACCTATTGCAATTGAGGAAAAGAATTGGGAACATTTGGAGGCATTGGAAATGAATTAAGTTACATTCCCATCAATATTATAAGTATTTTCCTCGCAGGTAATGGAAATAGAAATTCAAACATAAAGAGGCTTTAACACGTAGTTCAATGAGGGAGCTAAGATTGCCAAACTTACGGAGGGGAGTGTATGTAACGTAAATATTTTTAAGATTCAATCCTTTTTTCTCTCATTCAACAGAAGATTTTGGGTAGATGTTGCTCTTGACCATGGTATAAGGTCGTTATTCACCTGTCGGGATGATATGGGTAATATTCCTCGGATGATATCGATATTTTCTCGGATATTATCGGTATTTCCCTCGGTCACTATAGCGTATGTATCGTTAGTATATCGCTCTATAGGATATATATCGAATATATAGAGGATGTTCTTTTTATTCCATAGTTAAAGTCATCATCAGAATCGTCGGAAATTCAGTTATTTAATTCGAGTTTTCCAAACGATCCTGCGATGTTGACACTTAGCGTCGTTTAGAGTCTGAAGTAGCAAAAATCCATAAACCATCGCATACGACGCCGTATGTCATGGCTAAAAAACTGTATGCTATGGTTAAGTGAAAATTTGTCAAAAATATCATATTTTACCACTGATTACAAAAAAAACGTTTTTATTTTCACATGTTATCCTATGAATATCATGCTAACTATGGAATAAATCGTATATATCATGTGTATATCGGTCAATATCTTGAAAAGAGAATATGTATCAAATATGTCGTGTATATCATTAGTTTATCGCTCTATATCTTGAAAAGAAGTTATATATCGAATATAGCGTATATATCGTGTGTATATCGCTCTATATCTTGAAAAGAGGATATATATCGAATATATCGTGCATATCGTGTATATCGTCATGGATAATTTTAAGAACTGATTCAACAAACCCTGTGTTGTGGATATATCCGATATATCTTTAAGACAGGATATATATCAAATATAGCGTATATATCGTGTGTATATCGCTCTATATCTTGAAAATAGGATATATATCGAATATATCGTGTATATCGTGTATATCGTCGTGTATAATTTTAAGAACTGATTCAACAAATCCTGTATTGGGGATATATATCCGATATATCTTTAAGACAGGATATATATATCGAATATAGCGTATATATCGTGTGTATATCGCTCTATATCTTGAAAAGAGGATATATATCGAATATATCGTGTATATCGTGTATATCGTCGTGCATAATTTTAAGAACTGATTCAACAAACCCTTATTAGGGATATATTTCCGATATATCTTTAAGACAGGATATATATCAAATATAGCGTATATATCTTGTATATATCGTTCTATATCTTGAAAATAGGATATATATCGAATATATCGTGTATATCGTGTATATCGTCGTGTATAATTTTAAGAACTGATTCAACAAATCCTGTATTGGGGATATATATCCGATATATCTTTAAGACAGGATATATATATCGAATATAGCGTATATATCGTGTGTATATCGTTCTATATCTTGAAAAGAGGATATATATCGAATATATCGTGTATATCGTGTATATCATCATGGCTAATTGTAAGAACCGACTCAACAATCTCTGTATTGGGGATATATCCGATATATATCTTAAACACAGGATATATATATCGAATATAGGGTATATATCGTGTGTATATCGTTCTATATCTTGAAAAGAGGATATATATCGAATATATCGTGTATATCGTGTATATCGTCATGGACAATTGTAAGAACCGACTCAACAATCTCTGTATTGGGGATATATATCCGATATATATCTTAAACACAGGATATATATATCGAATATAGCGTATATATCTTGTGTATATCGTTCTATATCTTGAAAATAGGATATATATCGAATATATCGTGTATATCGTGTATATCGTTATAAATAATTTTAAGAACTGATTCAACAAACCCTGTATTGGGGATATATATCCGATATATATCTTGAAGACAGGATATATATCGAATATAGCGTATATATCATGTGTATATCGTTCTATATCTTGAAAATAGGATATATATCGAATATATCGTGTATATCGTGTATATCATCATGGCTTATTGTAAGAACTGATTCAACAAACCCATGTATTGGGGATATATCTGATATATATCTTAAAGACAGGATATATATATATATCAAATATAGCGTATACATCGTGTGTATATCGCTCTATATCTTGGCAAGAGGATACATATCGAATATAGCGTGTATATCGTCATGGGTAAATGCCAGGAACATGATAAAATCTGGAGAAGTATATCTGGCCAGATTTTTTATAGCCTTATATATCGACGATATATATCGAATATATCACATGTAAGTCAATGAGAGGCAGTATAGCGATATATATCGCTCTACAACGATATAGCCATTCCTGCACCATTCTCAGAGTAGGGCACTCATGGTACACCATCTTGAAGCCATCCTCACTGGCAGTGCCAACATTAGATGGCCAGGATCCTAGTGGGATATCCCCGTTAGATCTGTTTTCACTGAAGCAAATAAAGCAAGTACATTCATTATACTATCTATGGAATATGATACAAAGAGTAATGCTTCTCCTTATGATGTTATTCCTTTCAGCTTCGCGAGGGAATAAATAGGATCCTAAGATAAGTGAGGCTTTGTAAATTGACAAGGCATTTGCAAAACTGAACCCAAAGTGGACAGTATCCTTCTGTGGCACATAATATAAAGAAGAACTTGACTACATAGCTATGGGCTTATATCCTCTCTCTAAAACCATTGTAAACTTGGTAAACTTTTAGTTTTAGAAATCACTGCTAAACTTTTGAGGCCGTCCCTCCTATCTGACAGGAGAGGCTATCAAGTAGCAATCGTTCAGCGTAACTCACAACTGAGCTTCAACGTAATATAGGCAACTGCGACCTCAGAGTCTCAAAATTTCAGAGAATCCATACGTTCAGTTTAGACGAATCTGCTGGAGTACTGGATAATGTTCGATGTATTATACATCAGTAAGAGATAAATGCCAAGTTGACATTAGCTATAATCGCGTATGCTTATGATCGAAGGAGCAGATTTCACAATAATGGTAAATCTGGTATCTCAAACACAGAAAACTTTGGCGGAGCCATGGGTTGCCAAAGCCCCGTTGTAGGAAGTTAGAAACTGCAAGAGAGACTGCAATATTCTGTTTGAACGTTGGGTCGCTGTAGTCTTCTATAGGTCAAAGATCTGATTTTCTCACTCTGTCATCATACCGAAGGCTGATACTGATAATTTTGTGGAGTGAAAAATGGCTTCTGAAGCCACAGAAAACTCTACAACAACATAATTGTTACCGGATATCAAACTAACAGGAAGAATAACATCGGATAATAAATTGGAAAATTGCTGAGGCCAGAATCTCTAATCATAGTTTAACATGTCGAACATCATGTCGATGGCGATATCTCGACCAAAGATGGCCCTCCTAGGACTGATGTGTGTCATAGGAACTGTGGCCTTTCTAACTTTCACACAAATACTCACAGACTCACGCACACCTAGTGCTAAACTATCTCACCACATAGTAATGGGTAAGACTACTAGATATATACATAGACTATATATAGATTATATCATTAGGAGTATATATGATACCATAGTATATCACGCGGAGTCAACTAGGGTACGTATCGAAAGTTCAACACGTTCTGTCAGAACAATAATTTGAGTCTCAGTCTGGATGTTTGGAAATCCTGGGACGTGATCTCACGCTCTAAATGGATGTCTTTGGTTTAATACGGTAAGGGGTTGAAACATGTCAGTTTCCCTGGAAACGTTAATAAATTCACAAATCATTTTTTTTAACATATAACTAAAGGCTGCTAATAATACCAGACTAAATAAACCAACTCATGTCATATGCCAGCCCGGCCAGGCCACATTCAGCTCTGCTTCTCCGTTGTAATCCAATACGCAGTGTTAAAAAGGTGAGACCCCCTACGTCCGAAGGACGTTTCTCATAGAAACACCCTTTAAAACATTTATTTTTCTTGGGCCGTTTAATTATTTTTTGAATAATTTACAATTAGGCGCAAAGCAGAATAATTGCATAGGAATTTTCTAGAGCGTTATCTAAAGTTAATGAAATAGTCGCTCTTTACGATAGTTTGGTTTTGCCTAGAACTTTCAAAGAGAGCATCTACATTGTAGGCCTACTTAATATTTACTAACCTCTGACACTTTGCTTAGTGTACAGTATGTGGAATGGTCAAATACAATCTAAGCCGAATGCCGATCCCTCTTTCTTAAAATACCTTTGACAAGTCAAGATTACCTCATCATCTAATTCTATCACTAAAGAGACACTTTCCATCAAAGTTGACACCGTGCGATTACCTAAATCCCTAGAGTGTCAATTCCACAATATTACACTTGTGTTTTAATCAGAGACATTTAAGCTGGTTTGGGAGTTTAAGATTTACGTTTTTAAAAGTTACAAATGGAGGACGTTTGTTTTTTCCATATTTCTGAAGATTTACTAGATTTAACATACATTCCAAGTGTTTTACTATAAACATTGTATAGATTCATATTATGGGATCTAAAGCCCTATAGACAAACATAGAGTTACCTGCTCCATTTGCAACTTCACTGTAGCCTGTATCCCTTTTAAAGAAATACAGGCTACATTGTGGGGGTAGGGTAGTGTGAACTGTAATTAGGTCCCTGGAAATGTGAATTGAGAGCGGGGCAGTAATCCCCGGGGATCGAAATATTATACGCTCACATTAACCTCCCTATTGTTGAGAAGTAACCATCCCTTACACTCCTCTTGTTAGTACATGTAAGATAAGCAAATTGTGAAGTGCCATTTTCTATTGGAATTAGCTAAGCAATATAAGTATGAAGACTATAAGAGATTTATCAAATATTTGATCACATGTTTTGCAGATTATTCCATGAAGGAAAACCACAAGAAGACACGGGTGTCGAACAACCGGGTTGTGCAGGTACGTACATTTATGAAACTATAACAAAGGTCATTTCTTTTCAATTTTTCTAAAATCAGTACACGATTACACGTTTGTAGACAAAATAAGTTATTTTTGGCTGAACTCAAGAGGTCTTAAACATGTCAAATGTGGTACTGTATTCGGTTTATGGTTTATTTATTTGCTTTTAATACCACTAAAATGCCACAAATTGCATTACACCTTAGTCTGCAATAACCATTCCCTATTTTATTCTGCTTCAAGACTTTGGACGCCCCCCCCCCCTCTCTACTTTTCCAACACATTAAGATGGCCAGGGTCTTGAAGCAAAACTATTGATTCTACACTCCCCTCCATATGTTTGGCAACCTTTTTCCCCCCATTGAACTACGTGTTAAAGCCTCTTTACCTTTGAATTTTTATTTACTTAACCTGCGATGAAAATACTTATACTATTGATGGAAACGTAATTTGAATTTAATTCCAATACCTCCAAATTTTTTCAAGTTTTTTCCTCAATTACAATAGGTCGAAAATTGATGATAAATTTGATGAATTTTTGAAAATCGACATTCCCATGTTAACCAATGGGAAATGGTAGGTTTGCCGCAAGTCATATGACAGAATATCCATCCATCCGAGTCCTTGCAAAAAATACGAGTTAGGCAGGCAATTGAATTTGCTAACTTTATTTAACAAAAAATTGATATGTTTCTTCAGGTTCAACAAAGTTATAGGGCTTTAAAGTCAAAATTGTTTTTCAAAAAACCTCTCCCATTGAAATAACACAGGAGGCGAAAAATTATTTTCAAAAATGACTTTGAAGCGCTGTAACTTTAATATTCATCAAATAAACTAAACACTTAGTGTTAAAAAAAGTTAGACAATTCAATTTTTTATATAAAAATATTTTTTGCTGAATCTTTTACTGAAAAGATATCCCGATTTCTGATTTGCCCCGAACCCTCCTTTTCCAATTGGATTACATGGGAATAACGATTTTCAAAAATTCATCAAATTTATCATCAATTTTCGACCTATTATAATTGAGGAAAAAAATTGAGAAAATTTGGAGGTATTGGAAATAAAGTCAAGTTACGTTTCCATCAGTATTATAAGTTATTTCATCGCAGGTTAAGTAAATAAAAATTCCAACGTAAAGAGGCTTTAACACGTAGTTCAATGGGGAAAAAAGGTTGCCAAACTTATGGAGGGGAGTGTACATACGTATACATTTTACATTTATGAGCATTTTAATGCGTGCTTCACAGTTCACTATTTTGTTTTAATTTTCAGACGCAAGTGACAATTTGTATTTTAACATGTAAAGCTTCTTTGTATTGGCTTACTGGCGATCACCATCTCGTCCCTCTGTCCGTCTGTCTGTCAACGATTTTGGGACAAATAAAAACAGCCGTTCGTCTGAACCAATACTCACTCAAATTTGATGCTCTTTAAATTTTGCAATAAGTTGACATTGATTCGATTTGGAGAAAATTTTGGAATGTAATTGAAAATGATAAGTTCAGATTTGTAACTCACGAACTGCTTTTTCACTTCCAGGTACAGGACTACTGGGAACTTATGGAGAAGAAGATGAATAATCGCAGGAAACTGATTGAATCTAGTTGTAAAGAGATTCACCATAACAACAAGCGTCCCATTCATCCTCTTATGTTCACGAATATTGTAGTAAATGATAAACTGAAAATACTATATTGTAAAGTACCTAAAGTTGCATGTTCTAATTGGCTAAAGGTACTTTACATCATGAGTGCTGAACCAAATAATATAACATCCATTGACCAAATCGAAACCAAGTTTGTGCATGAAAAAGACACAACAAAAAAATATTTTCCCACTCTGGATATGTACTCAAAACCGGAGATAGAATACAGACTTCATAACTATTTGAAATTCGCATTCGTTCGAAATCCATTCGAAAGGATATTTTCAGCATATATGAATAAATTTGTGAATATACGCAATGATTATTTCCGGAGAAAGTATGGCACTGAGGTGTATGACCTGATAGATGAAGATGTTCCACTTGAGGATCGACTTTCCGGAGAAAATGTAACATTTAGACAGTTTGCTAAATACTTGGTGCATCCTCGCGTTAAGAGGCCATTTAACGAACACTGGCAACAGTATTCAGAGCTCTGTCGACCATGTGCCATCCAGTATGACATCGTAGGCAAATATGAAACAATGGATACTGACATGAAATACACGCTAAAGAGGATGGGAGTTGAGGAAAAACTGAACTACACTGGACACAGATACTCATTTTCGTCAACCCAAGAACAAATGGGTGCTGCATATAAGACTATCCCTATAGAAGATCTGAAAAAGCTCATGCATTTATATATTCTAGACTTTACACTGTTTGGTTATAATTCACCAATTTGGTAGAATTGTTTCAGTATCAGAATACACCACAAAAATTCATGAAATTAAAGTGCTTTAATGTACTTGGTGTTTTTTTTATGGAGGACATAATTTGCCATCTGAGCGCTCATTTAGAATAAGGACTTAGTACTCAAAAATGAGTGCCAAATTTCCATGTGCTTATTTAGTGAAGATGAGTACTCACTTAGTACTAAGTCAAAACGTAACTGAACATATCAAGTAATATTTATTTTTAGAATGAGTAAAAGGTGAAAATTTAGCGGCCTGACGATAATTAAGTTTATGTTAACTGTTTTATTCCTGCAAACAGTATTATTTGAAAATGTCCGTTTCCCAAGTGCCAGGGAAGTCTAAATCTTCTCTCGGCTAGAACGGGGAAATTTACGTGTATCGGGAATCTACCTTTAACTTTTTAAATTAGATTGAAATAATACCACCGATTTATTTTTATAAATTGCTCTAAAATACTTTACAAAGAAAGGTCACTTTACCGATCTCATATTTCCTGTAAAAACCCGACAGAAACTAGAAAACTGTTTGGAAATAGTTTGCATTTTGAAGATTGCTTATCGTTTTTGCATTGACCTGTGACGATTTGGAACACGTTCAGTTCTACTTCAATGATAGTATTAACCACATCGGTACCATCAGAACTGTCTCTATACAGTTAGAGCCTTTAGAGCGCTCATTTAGAATAAGGAATTAGTACTCAAAAATGAGTGCCAAATTTCCATGTGCTTATTTAGTGAAGAATGAGTACTCATTTAGTACTAAGTCAAAACATAACTGAACATAGCAAGTAATATTTATTTTTAGAATGAGTTAATACATGAACATCCATATAGTTTACATTTATCTATAAGATGTAATTAATATTTATTTTGTTTTTGTATTTTTGTTTCATAATTTTGTTTGAGCTTTTTGCGTTTTTTCAATTGTTTCTTTTCAAAACATTTATTTCCCCCAGAATGTCACTTTTAACTCCAGATTTTGACAAAGCCGACAAGCAGATCTCAATCATGGATAAAGCATAAACCACAATATGTCACCACTTCTACACCACAAGTCTTGGTGACATAAAAACTGTAAAAATATATGTAAATTGTATATGACTGTATCTACAAATATATGCAAAAATCAACTGATGCATCAAGAAAGAATATGCGAGTACTCGTATATAGTATGGCTAGGAGGTATTTGTGACTAATTTAAGTTGAGGTTACTGTTTAGAAATACGAAATAATTTTGCCCATGGGGTTCAAATAGTCAGTATATGTGCTTCAATTTTTCTGTACATGGATGTTTAATCTTGATATATGAAGCAGAATGAAAGTAAGGTCATTTTTCAAAGAAAATATGTCATCTACATATTACAAGCTTGAACTGATGAATGATCAAATAAAATGACTGCTAAATATTTACAGAAACTCAGTGCGTGAAATCAGTAGTCAGTCATCAACTAAAATGAAATATACAGTGGACTGTAATTTGGAATCTTCATATTTAGATGATGTAAAGCATGCCAAAAATATCATCCTTATTTATTTTGAAATATTGAAGATATCAGCCTTAATGTGTTACCATGTATACTAATGACAAAATAAAGCAGTTATTTTAGTAAAGATGTTATATTCATCATTGTTGCTATTTACATCATTTACATTATATACAATTTTTTTATTTAATAACAATTTAAACAAGGCATTGACATGCAAAATGTCACCACCTACCATTTGTTACAGACGCCAACCGCCGGACGCAGTCGCAAAAAAGTTGGACACCATAACAACATGTCACCACTTGCTGAAGTGACATAACAATGCATTAACATGCAAAATGTCACCGCTTGTCATGTGTAAAAGACGCCCGCAAACTCCGACCAATAAATGCGAAACACCAACCGCCGAACCCCGTCAACAAAAAAGGTGGAGACTAACAATATGTCACCACAGCACTTCTGGTGGTGACATAAGATAAATTAACACTATATATTATTAACTTTTATATTACAATCAATTGCATCATTTTCCTTACATGTATATCAAACGTTTTGCAATAACAAACTTTGCCGTTGAGCGGGACAAGTTTATAGGTGATGTTCCATCTTTGTTACATGTCAATGTAAACGCATATGTATTTCATGTTGTTCAACAAATATTACATTTTTTAAACAATCCAATGGAATGGGCGTGTATAGTATCTTAAAGTACCCCTGAAATTCCTTTGACTTCCAAATTTGATTTTTCTCTGACCAGGATAAATGCAACTACATTTGGATAACAGCAATGCCAAGCAGAGCAAAACACATCAAACAGCCATCCATTATATCTCAAAATGGTCACTATGCATGTACTAGACACATAGAATATCAACAAAATAATTCTCTTAGACACTGGGGTTCGTTTTTGGTGAGATTGAATCTTACGATTCCACAAAAACAATCACTGGTGGATCCAGGGGGGGTGGCTCAAAAAATAGGCCTTTTGGCCAAAACTTGGCCTTTTTGGGCCTTATTCAGGCCAAATTATCAAACTTTGGGCCCAATCTTCGGTTTTAGAGGCCTGAAATATTTGGTAGAACTTAAAATCTGCTCCCCCTTGTTGGCTCCTGGATCCGCCAGTGACCATTGTCTACTTTTTGACGAACAATGTCATGCGTCCAAAAACGGACCCCTGTATCATAATTCTATAGCTTTATTAATTTTGGATCTATAGCAAAAACGTAGATTGACTCAACAAAATTGATCCATTTCTTGAATTATAACAAAAAATAAAAACTGACATGTATAAAAATGGCCACCATATCCCATAGTCTCCTTAACCCCTGAACTTCTGGGATAATGACTGTAATCCCTGACTACTGTAGGAGGAGTCATGTATTAAATAGTACTGCATGATTGGAAAAATGTCCAATTTATATCTCAATGGGTTTAGGTACAGGTTTGCGTATGTGGCGCATTGTTGATCCTTGCTCTTGTGGCTTGAATGGGGCATGGGAGCCATAGGGTCGAGGGATTGGTAGCTCGCTGTCATCATCGGGAATGTAAGCATTGGGACGAGGCTCAGCCGTAGTGGAAATACCCCCAGTTATTTGATATTGCTCTGCCTCATCAACAGCCTGAAAATAATAAGTTATACCACATGATTTATGGAACATTTCAAATGACTCCCCCTACTCCCCTTCTGAACATTTAAAGGTATATTCCATGGTTTTTTAAACAATACCATTGTATCTGGCAAGTTAAAATATTATTTGGTATTTTTAAATTTTTTTCATTTCATCATTGATATTTGGAATTATTTACAGATTCAAACCATTTGGTTGATGCTGCATCAGGAAACATGGTGAATAGAAGCACTTTTGCATGCACAGGTACAGTACTGGTATAATGTAACTTAACATACCATTTGGGCCTCATTTTTGTCTCTCATCCTTCGTTCTTCATCACGTAACATCTTCAGCCAGCTTCGTTCAATTTCTTCACTAGGGGCCTCTCCCTTCTCCATACGCATATAGCATTGCTCAACTTCTCCCTCGGCTTCCTAAAACATCAGAATACAACCTAATGTTATCAACTGAAATCCAAGCCACTATACAAGCAGTCCTATGTACTAGAACAATGGCAACTCCACGGAGTAGCAAATCCTAAAAAAGTCACTAACATGCAAAATGTCACTACCCGCCATTTGTTACAGACACTGGCCGCTGAACACCAAATGCCATACACTGTCGTCCACTATAACAATATGTCGCCACTTGTGGTGGTGACATAACAAAATATATTTATTGGAATCATAAGGGGATAATTATATATAAGTGAAGATCACACTTTTTAAGATTTTTCCATGTATCACATGTACCTTGACTTGTTGTTGCAACTTCATTGCTTGTGCTTGGTTCATTGAGAGTTCAGATACCATAGCCATCATCTTTCTGGTAACCTCTTTAATTTTGGCTTGTAGATCATTCACCTGGAAGAAGAAGGGGAATAGAGCATTAAGTTTAGGTACTCTAGTATAATATACACTTCTGTTACAAAAACACTCTCTGCGTTGTAATAGACTTTAATAATAACTTTTGACTCTTATTACATTCTTAGTCTCAGTTACATTGTCTTATGAAAATCTGGACTCTGTTGCAGTTGCTTTAGCCTGAATTATTCTTAAACTTCAGATAAAAATCATATCCTAATGCAAAATGATCAATGTTTGCCCCACTGTTGTTACAATATAGTCAGTATATAGTTGTAGAATATGATCATTATACCTTCTTAGCTAATGTAAGAGTGTCTTCCTTGCCACTTGAGGCCTTGTTCTTCACCCTCTCAGAGAGTCGGGTCACTTGTGAGAATATCAGATCTTTCTCTAGGAGATTCTCTTCCTTCTCGGATAGTCTTGTCTCAAGCTACAACAATAGCAAGAAACATTTTAATATTGCCTTAATCATGTCCTAAGATAATTCAAATTAATGAAAGTCAAATTAAAGGATTAATATTTCTTTATAAAGGAACACAACACAGTTAACTAATTACTGAAGATTAGTAATTGCACTGTGCAGTTACGTGTATAAAGGAACACACAGGTAGAAGTATTTCCACTTTCACTACAAGTTCTTGTATATTATAATATACACACTTACCTGCTCTATTTTAGTTTGCAGTTCTGCAGGGGATGCATCATTCCCCTCGACATAGCGACATCTCTTTTCATCAGCTGGATTCTCCAACTGCTTCTCCAACAAGAGCATTCTGTCCTGACATTGGGACAGCTGGATTTGGAGAGTTACCAACTCAGAATCCAAGCTCAGTTTATTTGGCATATTTTTCTTTAATAAATCAATTTCACGTTTTTCTTCAGCCATTTGCATTTTTAGGAAGCGGATGGCTTCTTCACGAGCCTGCATCTCAACATCGCCATTGCGAATCATTTGGTCTGAAAATATGAATGACTCTCTTGAAAGTCTAACCTTTTACTGCTAAAATGGAGAGAAATCTAAATATTTGAAAATTAAGAGTGCGACTTTTTTCTGAAGTTTCAGAAAGTTCACTGAAAAATGTCTCAAACTATATTTGAAGTCAAACAATGTTTGGTTGAATAAACAATATGTTCAAACTTTTCATGAGCTTTATAATGTGTGTAATGTACATGTACAGTGTATGTGTATATAATCATAATAGAATCGATAAGAGAAAGGCAAGATCTACAAGTCAAGTGCTCACCTTGAATGTTGACTTTCTCATAGAATATGCAGACCTCTTCATTCCTCTCTATAAGCTCAATACCCCTGGAAGTAAATTAAACATTACTCAACATTCTTTCTTAATTTAAAATGAAAAAATGAAAATACAAGCCACAATGTGACAAAATGTAACAAAAATATTATGTCACTACTATTTTTTGGTTTGTTGACTTACAAATGGACAGTACTACACATATTACAACACATAAGATCATTGTGGGCGAAACTCCAAATGAATCTTCAATTTAGATATTTTAAGCTAGCAGGAATGTAAAAGATGGTACTGTATATACACAAAAGAAGTACAGGTGCCTGTCATTCTGTATATAATACAAGGTAAGTGTAGGTACCTGTCATTCTTGCTATATGTATAATACAAGGCACATGTAGGTACCTGTCATTCTACATAATAATACAAGGCAAGTGTAGGTACCTGTCATTCCTGTTCTGTACAGCAGTCTCATATCTCTTCCTTAGTGAGACCATGTGTTCCTCTGCCTGATTGATCATCATGTTCAGCTTCTTTATGTCCATGTTCTGCTGTTCCTGCTTCTCTTTCATTTCACCAATTATCTGTCTCTGTTTACCCACTTCATTACGAACACTGTCTTTCACTACCAAACTGTTTACATGCTTAAGTCGCTGTTTCTGCAGTTGCCTAAAAAGATCAATTTTCATATTTGTAATTTCACTTTGTTAAAATGTTATTTTATTTTGGTAAATATAGCAAATCATTCAATGGTTTCCTCTAGTTGGTAACTGAGTTTGATTTGATTTTGATTTGAACCTGTGTGTGAATCTTGGTTGTATAGACTTATACAACCAACTTATATATATATAAGTTTATAAGTAGTTTTTTACTATGAATTAATCCCCCTTTCAAGTAAGTTACAGCCATTTTATTCATCCTTTGAATCTACTTAGGAAAGTTCAAGAATTTTTTCCTGAGAAATGTTGAAATGTAGACAACCATGTTGGCATCTTGATTGACAAGGTTTTGATTGCCTCAACTTCATGCCATAACACCTTTGACGTCAAAAGATGCCATCTTTGAGGATCTTATAAATTTCCAGTGAACATCAACTTTCAATTTATTCTATAATATCCTGCCCAATGGCTTATCAACATCACACTTACTTTTCTTTAGTTGAAGCTGCAGTTCTTAAAATTTCTATTTCATTATGTAATATTTTTATTTTCTCTCTCATTTCTGCAGCCTTCTGTGTACTGGTCTGTATAAGATTGACACATTTGTTTCTCTCATTCTTGATCACATCATACATCTTAGCAAACTCCTTCAATCTACAATGAACAACATTAGCATTAAAGCAGATATACATAGTAACTTGGGTAATAGTTGAGATATACTGATACCCATAGATTGTTGTATACCCAGCAGATAGTTGTGATATTAAGTTGTAATATATTATGGGAAAGGTGAATGTCAGATGATGAAAACAGACATGGCTTCTTATCATCGTATCATACAAACCCAGATGAAATAAAATACAGGGAACAACAGACTCACTTTGTTTGCATTTCTTGAAATTTTTTTTGGTGGTCCTGTATCTGCAATTGTTTTGTTTTGAGGTCTTCCACCGCCCTATGGTATCTCATCTCTGCACGCATGAAGTCCCTTGCCTTCTGCTCCCTCTCATCAGCCTATAAAGAGGAATAAACATTGATAAGCTTATAATTGTCCTAATGGGAACATTGACTGGCAAATCAGCCTATTGAAAAGATTAATTGGTATATAATCAGCCTAATGAAAATATTGACGGACTTATAATCAGCCTAAAGGAAACATCAATTGGCTTATAATCAGCCTTGAGAAGATATTGATTGGCTTATAATCAGCCTAAAGAAGATATCGATTGCCTTAGAATCAGCCTAATTAAAACATTGATCAGCATATCTGCCTAATGCAAAATTTGGCTGGCAACTAATCAGCCAGGCTAATGAAAACATTGACTGGCTTATAATTAGCTGATACCTTTATAGCAGCTAGCCTTGTAAGTTCCACAACTTCAATTCTGAGATCACTTTGGTCATACAAGAGGCGCTCTTCCTCTGCTACACTTTGTTCTACCTTCACCTGTTCTACTGCAGTCAAAGAGTTCTGAAACATAAAGAACAACACACTTTATTTAAAGAGGTCACTGCTGCAGTTTTGAAACACAAAGAACAACAGATTTAGAGTCTACTAATCAGTCGTACTGCTAAATGTCATACAAAATGTTACTCCATTGATCATTCATTCTCTGCATTCTAAAAAATGGAGGCACCCAGTTATAAATATCTCACTTAGAAATGCGGCCTTTTTTTAATTCTTATGAATTTGGACTTTTCTGCATATTATTAAATAAAATTAATTTCTGATAGGTATCAAAATTCATTTTATCAGAAAATATAAACAGAGTTGTAAGCAAACCATTGACTTCAAACAGTTGACTCCCATCTATCCCTTAGATTAGTGCCAACATTTTATATTTGCCTTCCCTATGAGTCACAATTTACCTGTTGCTGAAGTCCTCTTTTAGTTGTATCAACCTCTCTCTGTAACTCAGCACGTTTATGTTGTAATGTGCCATCATCTTTGGGAAGTGCATCCACCTGACCTTTTGCCTTATCATATATTTGTTGTTGATGAGCTAGGGCATCCAGTGAAACCTTAAGTTGAAGCTCAGTTTTTTTCAATGTCCTTAAATCACGATCTTTCTCTCTTAATTTTCTTGAGTGAATGTCATGATTTGTTTTTTTCTCGAGATGAATGTGTCTTAAATTAAGATCTAGTGTTGCCCTGGAAATAAATTGTACATAAATAACTCAATTGCTTAGTTTTTTAGTAATACTAATTTTTTGGTTCAATACATCTTTCCAACGAATATGGAGAAAATGTGTGTATAAGTATTTGAGTTATTTCCCAAATGGAACTGACAGATGCCTTAAAACATATAAACTTATACACTGCCTCATATATTTTGGCTTAAAAATAAAGCCATAGATGAGCTAGCAGATGGAGGGCTTCACTATATCCCTTAATTAGTTGAGATAATAAAGTACCTGTCTCCCATCAATACAGCTTCCTGCTCTTTGGCATACTCAAAGTCTTTCATTAAAACATCAAACTCCCGTTCCTTTTCCTCCAGTATGGACCTTTGCTTGTCCACTTCAGTGTCAAGTTCAAACTTCTCCTCTTGCAACTCCTGACGCTTGCTCTCAATGCTCTGGATTGCTGTGTGAAGGTCTTTATGCTCCTCATCTAGCTTTTTACGATTTTTGTCTGTTTCACTGAAATGATATGAAAATATTTTAAACTAAATAAACCCACTTTTGCATAACTAAGATAGAATCAGTATAAAAAAGAAAAAAGCAGTCATCTTATTAAGGGCAGGCTAGTCATGTTTTCATGGATCCTAAAATGGATCTAAGAAAAATTAGACAAATTTTTCCTCATGCAATGGTTAGTGATTTCAGGTGATTTTTCTAGAAACATTATGTTTATCATCTTAGGGGTAGCCTACAAATCAAAGGTTATGACTTCTCTTTGAACTTTGCTAAATGAGATGTTGAAAGGCCATATTGGGTCAAATGGTTATTTCGAGAATTAAATTTATTAACAATAAAATGTTGTTATCGGTCATCCATTCCTACTTATTCATACATTTGACCAAGCAAAAGGTACGTTACAATTTCCCCATACTAAGAAAAACATATTCATGTATGTACATTTGAAATAAGAACAATTGAACTTTAAAAATTCACAAACAACTGCCTCGCAGTTCAGATATCATATGGATATGGCAATTTATTGGATTTATTACAAACATCTCTTACATGCATTCATCTTATAGTTCACTTAACCTCAGGCTTGAGTTACGTCAAATTGATATATAGAAAGTGTAGACTTACTTTTTCTGTCTGGCAAGCTTGTCTGTATCTTTGGCAATCTGGTTTGGGATCTGATTCACTAAAACAAGGTCACCCTGAAAAAGTAACAGCATTTCTAATCAAGTATACTTTCTGCGACACACTGGTGACAAAAATTTCATCCATTTTAGAAGTAAAGATCATTTATCAAATTAGTACCTAATACTCAAGTGTTGGCAGATCTGAGGGAGGGGGTTTATTAAACGGGGTCTCAAGATGAATGAATTGTCATTTTAGCCTCATGTTCAATAAAAGGTGAAGATTCATGTAAATGCATATACTTTTTAAGCAAATTAAATAAAGTTTTCAAATCAAAACAAATCATATGTAAATATTTCAACTATAAAAATTGAACCACTTGTACAAATCTGATAAGTACAGCTAGGCCTGTAACTAGGGGGAGGGAAATCCTTTCGAAATCATGCAGTTTTTCACCATTTTGAGCATTTTTTCAAGTGATTTTGGGCCAAAATTTTCAAATGTGAACCCCCTGGATTTTTTGAAAAGTGAACCCCTCTTGGAAAAAGCTGGATACTGATGTGCATTGGCTAAGTTAATACAGTACTTAAAACATAAATCAACACATAATACAGTAGCAAACTTTGGGTAAAACAAAAGAAGTGAACAATCTTACTGGAGGAGCACTCAGTACATTTTCTCATTCAAGCCAAATAAATATAAATGGAGGAACCAACGGTATGAACTTGAACTTGCTAAAATATTTAAAAAATGACTTTCAGAATACAATTTGAAGCAACTAGGGTTGAATTGTTTCAACAGACAGCTTTTTGAGTGAGCAATTAGTTGTTGTTCTGTCATTAGTAGGTTTGAGGGGGTCTTTTATGGTATCACCTACAAGCTAATGTGTATAAATTGATCACAGCTGACTTACTCACTGACATCATATGTTTTTATTTTGGAAAGCCACATATTTTTGGCAATGGTGAAGGCATCACAAGTACAAGGCATTATAAAGGGAATGAGTTATTATCACGGAGTCAATATATAGAAGCACAGGCCCATAGCCAGAATTTTCCAAGGGGGGGGGTTCACTTTTCCAAAAAATTCTAGGGGGGGGTTCACTTTGGCAAATTTGGCCAAAAATCCTAAAAAAATCGGCAGAATGGTGAAAACTGCATGATTTTGAAAGAAATTTTGGAACCCCCTGGCTACGGGCCTGAAGCAAAGCATTCTCTGTACACTAAAGGTCTAGCCACTATGGCCCACTTAGTGCCTCATCAAAATCTCCACAAAGATCAAAATCATACCAGTGTGCATTGACCCTTAAAAGATACTTTCTTTGCAGTAATTTTGATGCATTTTACATGATCTTCCCAATTAGAGTTGGTTGGGATGCAGTTTATCTTAAGAAAACATACAAACTGTCCAAATGCAGGCATTTGCCAATTAGAAATGCCTGTGGGAATGACCACATTAATCTAGCTACTTTTAGACTTTTTAAAAACATTTAATCAGTATTGTCCTGTACAGACTAAAAATGAGGAGGACAAATGTGGAGGGGAAATGTCGAAGAAAGAACAATTTCAATATCAGGGGTTAAAGCACTGGTCCTCAAAGTCACGAATCTCCACCAAGTAAGAATGTAAAATTCAGAAAAGTCTTGTAATGACTTATGACTTCAATTATTCTAAATGTGCCGAAAGATGTTTGTAGGCATCATTAAATTAGGCAAACTGTGCAAATGAGGTTCACGGTGACCCCACTAACACTTAGTACATCAAACACATATAATTATTACTGACGTATATTGCATTTTTGAAATATTTTGCCTGGTAGACTAGGTTGTTTTGGCTTCATGTAATCTCACATTTTTGGGTTTTTCATTTGGTCTCTCTAAAGCTAGGTTTAAGTTTTAAAGGTCATCAAGAATGAACAATTTTGTACAGATCGTTATACAAGAACATAACCTGAAAACAATAATAAAGTTGTGTTTTCTAAATATGATTTTTCATCTGCCATCATTTTTAGAGTTGGCCTCCTGACAGAACATTCGTCAATTTTGAATGCCTAATGAGAGAACAGTGTCTTCTTATGATATCTAAGTACTGTAATAATATTGGGAGAACAAAATGTGTATTGACATTTGTTCTCGCTTCCACTTTCATCAAAATGTTTCACTATCTAACCACAAAGAAAATCCACAAGACTGCACCTACATACATTGAAATACTTTGGTGCAATGGTAATTACCTTGAGCTTCTCAAGTTCAAAGGTGATTTTCTCATATTCTTTGTTATCATTGGTGTATTGCCTCTTCCTCATTTCCAGGTCTTCACGTAGGTTCTTAGCCTCAAGTTGGCGCTGACCAATCTCTTTCCTCATGTCTGCACATGTCTGTTGCAGCTCTTCTATCTTCTTCTCAATTTCCTAAAACAATAAGACACACATATGTGTCAAGCAATTGTATTGCAATTAAAGGCAGAATCAGATCTATAGGAGGTGACAAAATTACAAGCAACGTGCATACTTTACCTACCAATCTATTCCTTACAATCTCAAATACAATATCTCCAAAAAGATTCACAATATGTTATAAATTGGTGAAGTTATTATGATTCAAAATTCAAAAATGGATGAAAAATGTTTAAATTCTCCCAAATAATAAGAATGGTAACCATTCTTATAAAAAAATGATACATTATTGTAAAAATCTTTTATTTTCCATGAATAAAGTATGCACTTTTGTGATTTTTAGAATATAGGCATGACAAGGAATGACATGAGCCAAAAATATTCTAAAATTGAAACAATTTTTTGTTTAGCCTGCTGCTATCTCTGATTCTCTCTTTAAACAAAAAACAAAAAAGGCACACAGTGAACAATATTGCACCTATAGACAGGCAATCTTTAAGTTTACCAAGTGTGCCCAGTTCTAGATTTTCACACCAAAAAAGGTCCCTGAAATTTGCATATCATTTTGTCAGAGGAAATGGGCTAACAAAGGTAGATGGCAGTACCCATACACCAACCGGATTGATGATAATATTATACCTGCTAAAGGTACAGTGATTATCAAGACTCATCTCATAGACTGTATAGTGTACACTAGTTCATTATCAACCCATTCAGCAAAGTCAAATGCATTCTACAACTTGCATTAAAACTATATGATATATCAGTTGTCTCCAGTTAAATAAGTTATTTAGACTATTCTATGAAGTATGCTTTCCATCTGCTTTAAGATTGATTCATGAGTAGCCAAAAATCTCACTGTACACATATCTATCATACCTGAGTGAAAAATGATGTAACAACCCTGAGCTTAAAATATGGAGGTTATTCAAGAAACATTTAACATAATATAATGGTGATCTAGATGTTTTAAAATCATACAAGTGAACATCTATACAATATTGAAGTAAGAGTATAATTATTATACAAAGTGAATAAATGAGAATAATACACTGTTTAATTTCAAACGAACAATTTGAATACTTAAATACTCTAGGCAGACTGACCATTAAGCATACCACACGTCAAACCTCCTCCCCACCCATACTAAAATACTATTTGCAAACTAGACAACCAACCAATAATGATAATGTTAAAATTGATAAACTGGGTAAACAGACAGTAATTCCAGCTGGTAAAGTTGCAGAAATGCCATCAATTTTCATTGTTAAAGAGCCATAGATACAAAAAACATCTGGGCTTGACAATGAGAACTTTGGAAATAATGAATCTAAAGGAACATTTCCATATTTCTAGAATTGTTTCAAACAGTTAAATGTAGATTTAAACCAACATAAGCTTTATCTAACATTTTTCTACATATACAGGTTACTTTCACGTAAACACATTTGATAAATATTGCACTAAATTAAACTATTTCATCAAAAAGAAATATAAAAGGAAATTGTCTTTTGTTAATTCTATTTCAAGAAATGTATGCATCATTGGCATAGCTAGTTGAGAGCAGTTGAGAAAATAAAGTATCACATGTTAATAACATAGTTATACATGAAAAGCGAGATATGCAAAACATGCAGACATAAGAATTCTGGATGAGCCAGTAACTTGTTGGGTTTAACCTAAAAGTCAAAGCAATTATAGAGTCACAGGAAAAAGTCATGTTCCTCTAAACTTCAAGGGCAAATTATAACTTACTCTTGAAGGCTTCAAAGCCAAGTTAAATATTATATAACAAGGAACACACACAAATAGCATGCAGAGAAGCAATCACCCACAGATCACTAAAATTATGGGAGACAGATTGCATATTTTGTTTGATCAAATGTTGAAATAGAGAACAAATAAACAAAGAATGACATACATGAAAAATGGCAGCATTTGCTGAGTGAAAAGAAAACATTCATGGCCTGGAGGAAGATTTGTCTTGACTCAATCATGGCAATATTTCCAATTATCTGATTGTACATCTGTGTCGATTTTATAAAATAGCTATGAGGTCTAACGTACCCCTTGCTTTGGAAGTCTGGAATATTCTCTCTCCACCAGTCTTTTCTCTTCACGCAGGCTGAAACAAATGATAAAGCCATTAGCAACAATAATGGCAAAATAAAGAGGCAAAGAGCTTTAAATCATTGGAGGGCATTGAAACCATTAATTTCAGTAAGCTATAAATGAAACACGAAAAAATGAGAAACAATTATATAAAACAGTGACGTACATGTAGATACCTGGGCCACATGTTTTTTCTTCACAAACGTGATGGCTAAGATACCCAAATCTTTTGACCAATCAGAACAAAGTAATTTATTTTTTGTTTTTTAATGAATAGGTATTTTTCTGTATGTGAAAGTATCAAGGAAAAATATTGAAAAATAAAAAAAATTAGTTTAATTAATTTTGTTTTTGCATGAATTAATTGAACGACCTAGTACACATGGACAGACCCTTAAAAGTTAATTTGCCGGATACCCTAGAAGTTTCAATGTTTGTGATCAAAGCCCCAATAAATCAGTGCTTATATGCTGGAACTATTTCAATCAATACTTACTGTTCTAGCTTATACTCTAACTGATACTGCCTTTCCTCAGTCTGGGCCATCTCATTGTGGTGCTTAAGTAACTGCTGGCGAAGTTTGGAGACATCAGAGTTGGAGCTTTCAGGGAAACCATCAGCTTTCTCCAACTCATTACGTTGAGTCTCCATGTTAACAGATGCCTCTTTAGCTTCATTAAGTAACTGAGTCTCATGTTCTCTTTTCCTACAAAGAAGTAATGCTGATGATGAAATTATGCAGTGTCATTAAAAAGGTGAAATCTAGCTATTAAGGTTCAGTTCTCAAGAAAATGATCATCACTTTTAAAGTGGTGGTAATCCTGATTTGCACACAACAATGTATCATTTATCCTTGCAGCAATCATGCTCTAATACATTCACCAGTATTTCAGATGGATGGTTCAGGATTGACAGAGGGGCTTTATTTTTCATCATACTTACTGTTTGAGCATGTCATGTAGCTCTGTGTATTTTGATTTCAGTTGTGACACTCTGGTACCTGTGATGCTTCCTTCTTGGAATAACTGAAAGTAAAGTAAAAATAAGAGGTAACATCACCTGGCTCTTATGATGAAAGTGTAACTATTTGTTGCAGATAATGAATTTGGATGCAGCACAGAACACAGACTACAAAAACTGGTTGCTGTAACAATGTCACCACTTCTTGGTGTAATAAAAAAAACTTTATATGCATAAAGTTATACCTTTTGTGAGGGACTGAGGGATGGATGGATAGATGGATGGATTGATTGGAGTGAGTGGGTGGCATGGTGGATGGTTGGAGTGGGTAGGTGGGTGAATGGATGGATGGACAGACAAGTGGAAGATTCCATAGGCCAACCTGCCTGTTCACCTAGCTGATTACAATAGCATTCCTTTTTAGTTGGATAAAAAGTGATTTGAACTCAATATCTTTTTAACATTTCCCACGCACTGAAACATGACCTAAATATTATGACTGGCTTTTAATAATACGGTTTAACCTGCAGTGGCCTGAGCAGGGACACAGACCTATTTACCTTAATTCTGCATACATCACTTTCAACAATCAATCACATGCTCTACATTTACTTCCGCTTTTATTTATAGTTTCAAGAGTATTTGGTACAATCACGTCATAAACCAAGGTATACTTCCACAATTTATCATTATTAATCTTACCAAGATGGCATGTCGCATTATTTGGAATGAAACCTACCTATACCATTTTAGATTAAATCTTCAAAATTCCCCTATCCATTGGTAATATAGTAATATCAGCTTTGTCATATCTTAATCATATCTTGTTATCAATCAGGCATCATTGACAAATTTTTTTAAAATCCTATATAATAACAAGGAATTAACATGGCATTAAAATGTCACCGACTTGTAATTTGTTACAGACACTGAACATTAACCGCCAACACCAAACACGATCCACAAAAAAAGTTAAAGACTATTACCACTTCTGGTGGTGACATGAAAATAGCTGTTTTAATATGTTTATGTACATAATGTGCAATTTGTATTAACTGCCAATGTTGACGGACAGATGCCTAATCAATCCCAAATCAAAACAGCCTGCAATGCATAGATTGCATATACATTTTAGTTTACATTACAAGGTTTTTTCATATGGGACTTATATTATATGATGTGTATTATGTACTCATGCACTTTTGCATCACAGTGACTCTACCAATTCTGTGTGAATGCTGCTTGCACAGGGTATATTATGAGAGGGCAAGACACTTGGAATATGAATCAGATTTTTACATCATTTCATTAAAATTTAGTCATTTCTGTTATCTTATTTACATAAATGTTAAAAAATTTAGAACTCATACTTTCTTGTTTGCCAATTTGTTACCCTTGTGTTCACTATATCCCATGCATGAAGCAGCCATGCATAATTGGTACAGTCAGTGTGTGTGTATTATATTAGAATGGCAGCCATAGTTTAAGAAAATGAATATAAATGAGCATCACCTGTGCTCTGTATCTATTGCTTTTTAAAATATAATATACTAAAATAGAGCTACAATTTCAGGATGAGCCATTTCATCTTAGAAATCATGGTAAACTTTTAAATAGTATAAGCAATAACCCAGATGCGAGTAGAAATAATCTTGATTTACGTAATTAAAAATTCAAAAGTCAGTCAAAGTAATATCATATTTAAAATCTACATGTAAAATTACATCTAGAAATGTGGTTTTTAAAAGTGTTCATCAACTTTGAAAAATTAATTTTCTTTGAAAATGTGACTTCTAGCTCGGGGAGATTCCCCATAGACCCCATGCTATAAAATCACAAAAAATGAAATATCTTTTCTTTTAGTGGACAGATAATATTTTGCTTTACTGGACATATTTTCATTAGTATAAGTATCAGACACATAAGGGTTATATTAAAATTAAGCCACTTAAATTGATAATATTCAAGTTTAAAGGAACTTTCTTATATACCTGCCATGTTAATTGACCCAAATCAGCCACCTGGTGGTGAAACTGGTAACTACCTACTCGCATTTGGGTAATTAGGTTTAAGCATTTCAATATAGCAAAGATTGCAAAGGTCTTCCTCCCCCTCCTGAAATTGATTCTAAAATGAAGAAATGACAAAAAAATTTAGAGGACTTAAATATTAAGTTTATAATTTAGGACAGAATGTGGGACAGAACTCAGGATCAGATGAGTGAGTATGTCATGATGAACACAAAATAAATCTTTGTTGAAGTACATCGACTGAAACATTTCAACTTGTTCTTTAAATGGTTCTTCCCTTTAGAAGCTGATTGGGCAACAAATATTACAAGCCGCCAGAGACAAATACTAATGATTCCAACAGGAGTGCTCAGTCAGTAGTCAAAGAGAGTAACTGTTCAGTACTTGTGAAACAGATGCTCGCATGATCAGCCACAATATGGTTTCGCTTTTATATGTCAAGGTCTAAGAAGGGCATTAATCAATCCATATCTTGGACCTCAGGAGAAACTTTGTGCAGGGATTACAGACAAAAGTTACCAGATATGGAAAAATAAAATATATTATAATTCAAAATAGTACTCTATTTGATTCAAATTATAAAGTACAGTGAGTTTAGTTTGAGATTTTTCTGCGACTGACAAAGAAAGGGAACAAAAAATGCATTTAAAACAGTTAACCATATTTGCTCTGTGCATTTGCATTTCTGAACTTAAGACAATCAATGAAGAAAAAGTGAGACTCGGTGAGCATACTGCAGGAGATGACCACAGTGGAATTATTGACAAACTGAAACCAACCAAACATGACGCAGATGATAAAATCCATCTGAGCAACCAACCACAACCAGATATAATTCCAGACAATCTTCTTCATGATGAACTAATAAAAAATCCTAAAACAGAAACTCAGAAAATAGCAAAGAGAGATGAACAACTCCAGGAAAAAATATCTGAGTTGGAAATGCAATCAGAAGCTCAAGCCCAATCAGACATGCCTAAAAACAAAAATGTTGTCTATGATGGATATTATGTTCGAGATGACTTCCGTAGTGAGACCATGCAACAACCTGTAAGGCCAAGTGACTTGGAATATGAACATGATCATCAAGCAGTGCACCAGTATAAGTCAATGTGTCACCATGATGGTACCTGTACATACATATTCACATTAACTATTCCCCGTGAGGGAGGCAATGTCCCAGGGGGCAACCAGTTGCCCATAGACCAAGTGCGTTCCATAGACAATATTTTCAATCATTATGTCGCTGATTCACCCCAACTAGCAGACTTTAAAAACCAATTAGTTAAACTGAATGAGAGCCTTAGAGGAATGACAAAGGTAAATTATATTTTCAAATTTATAGACATGTAGAAATATCCTAGAATCTATAATGATATAAATGAATTGTCCTACTTGAGGATTTAATTATACCTGATCAAGTAGCTTTGGAAAATAATCATTATTCTGGGCTAGCAATTCTCAATTTTGCTAATGATGAGTTAAAAGTGCCACATGAGTTATAAGTGGAATATAAGATACAAAAGTGATATGTTTCTAGAATGTAACAGCTATATTTTAAAAATAAATCATTTAATTAAAAACTCACTTTTAATTTTTAGAAAGAAAAAATGATGGAAAACTTAATATATATTGGGGGTCATTGCCATCTTTTAAACATTTTGAGAATGTTTCCTTTTAAAATGTGCAAATATTCAACAAAAAGATCATAGATCCAATACTGATATAACATATGTCATTACTACATTTCTTCACTTAACTGCAATATGATTGAGATTTTGGGGGACTTAGAAAATTTGAGGTTCTGAATGTCCATTATTAACAACCATTAAAAATAAACTTTATTAAAAAGTATTTATCATCCCAGGGTTATCAAAATGTATCTAAAATCTGTAAAAATTAAATTGTTTTGAATTTGAATAGCTTATGAACCTTGATTTTAATAATTGAATTTATTTCAAGTATAATTTCTTATCTGATACTAACTACCATTTTTGGTTAACATATTGAGTTATAAAAAAATTAAAGGTACACAGTACACAGAGTTTGTTGCCATACCTAATAATTAGAGTGCATTGAGGTCATATCTATCAATCAGGGGGAAAATAACTGACCATGGAAATGTGTACAATTTATCTCCACCTTTGCAATTGCCCTTAAGATTTAACATTTAGAAAGTCATTCATTATCCTAGTTCTTTTTCTTGATGCAAAATTTAGTTAAAATAATAGTGGAACCATAGCTACTTTGTTTCATCATATTGATACATCAAAAAAAAGGAAACATTTTGCATACTGTTAAACTATAAATACTAAGAAATTATTAAGAATGATTAAATATCCCATACAGAGAGTGCACAATTCTATTTTAAACAGTCTAAGCATGTGTACCAAATGCTAGTATTTAATTATAACAATTTGTCAAGTTAAAGAGCAACAACTTTATATATTTCTACCCAGCATGTCTGAGGTAGGTTGGTGCAATATTTCAAAACAAAAAACATACTTTCTAATTATTCATCTTCAAAAATAAGCTGTTTTATAACATTTAGGGAGCTAGAATGGTATTTAGGTGTGTATATTTTACAATCTCAAGCAGATCTAAAGTTTGTTGTATCATATGATCATAAATCTGAATGCTGAATATTCCATACCATGCATAACAATGCCAATGACAAAGTGTAGCTAATACAATGCCGACTTAAAATATGAACAAAATTGCTCAATTACTTTTCAGGTTTTAATTAAAAAAGGTAAAATTACAAACATAAGAAGTTATACCACTTTGAACAAAATGGCTGATTTATTAGCCAATTTTGTCAGAAAATGTGGTATTTAATAACAATATAACAATACTTAAAATTATCAACAGAATTGCTTCATCACTTTTTTAATCACTTAAAACTGACCACCACATTAGCCAAATTGTTAAAAGAGAAAAAACTTAAATAACACATATGCAAATAGCCTTCATATTTCAAAATGATTCCAATATTTTTCAAGTTATAGCAAAAACAATAAATGACAAATGTAAAATGTCATGCTTTCAACTAATTATTTATTCAAAATAATTTTTTTTTTAAACAACATAAAATAGCATTGCCATCATACAACTGTATATTTTCCCAAAAATTGGATTTTGGTCTTAATCAACATCCAAATTATTACTCAAAAATACTATTTGTAACAAAAATAAACTCTACTAAGGCAGAACTTGTACTTACAACTGGGTATATGTATATAAAATATAACAATATTGGGCCAACAGTATTTGAGTTATTGCCAAGATGGATGGACAGAGGTGACTTATATAATGATATAAATTAAATTGTTTTGATTTTGCAATGTGTTCCAGACGGCACATAAAGACACAGAAATGATGGGCGAAGTTAAATGGCTCAAAGACCATGTGTCTGAAACAAGTTACATGTGTGAAAAAATTGATTCTAAAATGAAGAAATTACGAAAAGATTTTGGAGGACTAAAAGATCAAGTTCATAATTTAGGACAGAATGTGGGACAGAACTCAGGAACAGCTGAGTGAGTATATCATGATGAACACAAATTAAAAAACCCTCAAAATTACTTTTCGTGAACTAATCAAAACTTGAACCTTTTATAGTTATACAAAGCATACAGCTACAGGGGTTGCACAAAATTACAAATAATTTCGACAAATAAGCAAATAATGTATTTACAATACAAAATACAATATAAAAGCTATGCATTAGATCATTTCATTTTTAAGGACCATTATATATATAAAATATATAAATAAATATTTAAAAAAATAATTGTGTTAATTTCCAGAATTGATGAATATAAACTTGACAGATGTGAACGAGATATAAAATCATTGGAAAAGAAAGTAAAATCATTAGAACTGAAAATTACAGGAAAAATACGAAACAACAAAAAGAATGATGTTTTAGTGATGCGTCCAAAAGAGCGAGAACCAAAACCAAAGCTAAATCCATCAGGTAAATCAAATCGTATGATATTTTGATTGTATTTGCAGTATTAATGCAAGGGTGAGGAAATGTGACCGTACTGTTAATAAGTTAACTGACAAACTCAATCGTCTTGAAGCAGAGTATACAGGTCAAACCGAACCTGGGCCTCATATACTCATCAGGCGACCAAGACCTGGCGATGATCTGAAAAAAATGCCAATAGGTAAACTAATTTTCATGAAATTTAATTTTAAAATGTTAGTGCCACATTTCCTCGCAATAAATGTGTTCCTTAAACTTATAGAGAACCTAAATAATTTGTTCAATTCTATCTTTACATCAGTGTGTAAACTGCACATGTGTTTTTGTATTTGCAGGAGTCGGTGTTGATTGTGCAAGTATGCGTCTCTCAGGTCTCAATGAAAGTGGGGTATATATGATCCAGCCAGATTTCATAGATAATTCAACAGCCTTCTTTGCCTATTGTGACATGGAGACAGATGGTGGTGGATGGACTGTCATTCAAAGACGTACAGATGGAGGGGAAAACTTTGACAGAGACTGGAGAGATTATAAGGTAAATCACACTCATGTACATAAAATTCTAAAGAGCAGTTATATACAGTAGCCTAACTCAAGATCTTGATTTGATATGTGCAGTTTTGAATTCTGTTTCAGAATGGTTTTGGTGATGTAGAGGGAGAGCACTGGCTAGGATTAGAGAAAATGTATTTGCTCAATGCTTATGGTAATAATGGGATCCGCTTTGATCTCTGGGACTTCAGTGATCTTTATGCCTATGCCCAGTATGACAGAGTAAGCAATAGATAAATTGATCATTGTTTTTGAGCAATAACACATTTGTTCCAAGGATGGACATGTAAAAAAGAAAAATATTCTAGTAGTTGACAATTTTACCTCAAATCTGTCCATATCACTATTGACTGTTTAGTCTCTAATTATACATATCATGTACATATCACCATTGACAGTTACACCTCTAATCTGTACATATCACCATTGACAGTTTCATCTCTAATCTGTACATATCACCATTGACAGTTTCACCTCTAATCTGTACATATCACCATTGACAGTTTCACTTCTAATCTGTACATATCACTATTGACAGTTTCACCTCTAACCTGTACATATCACTATTGAGTTTCACCTCTAATCTGTTCATTTCAAAATTGACAGTTTCGCCTTTCTGATGAGACTGACTCCTACAGATTGATGGTTGGGAAATACAATGGGACAGCTGGGGATGCTTTCCACTATGGCAACTATTTCCTACGTCATCACAAGATGAGATTCAGCACAAGGGATCGAGATCATGATCTACATGCTGGCAATTGTGCTGCTGCATATGAAGGTATAAAAGTTCATATCTTCCATAATAAAGACACTTTTTGAGTTATATAATTCATAATGTCAATTAAGGTATGGTGAAAGTTGCAATGTAACATGATATTATTTTGTGTATAGGTGGTTGGTGGTATCATAGCTGCATGTCAGCTAACCTGAATGGTATCTTCTACCAGGGTGGAGAATATGAGAGTATACATCAGGATGGTATCATGTGGCTACCATTCAACAGCGAACTATCCCTTGCAAGGACAGAAATCAAAGTGCGACCGCAGGAATTTGGAAAACTTATGGCAGAACGCCGAGACATTTTGAAAATTAACTAATCAAATTCATCAAAGATTTCTAAGCAATCTTTAGCAAGGTTTGCTATATATTTTATTATGGACAGGTCACAGGTGTATGGACTTCAAGATAGCAAGATTGAACTGAAATCATAATTAACTTTCAAACTATATAAAAGTATACAATGGTGATTAATTACCCTAGAATTTGCATTATAATTCCTAGCCAACAACTGCTACATGTAAATAATTTACCGATACAGGTCTTCAGCATGCAATAATACATACACTCCCATAAACTTTTTAAGGGTAGTGAACATCAAATAATTTGTAAATTTAGATTTTGTATATAACAGATTTATTATTATAATTGACCACTCTTATATCTAGAGTGTTTAGAATAGAATTGTTAATATAGTAGATTTTTGACAAAAGTAAAAAGAAATGACTTTTTTATTCTCTCAATTGAAAGTTGGCAGGTCTGTCAAATGTTACACTAAAACTTCATCGTTTATGAACCATTTCTAATAATATTTTTCATAAAAATTATGAATATTTGCCAGTGAAATCGTAATTTCCAATAGTTTAGCCTGTTGTTTTAATATATTTTCCTTTTCAAATTCTAATGAAATCCCTGAGAGGTTATGTAACATAGCAACATTTTCTCACTGATCTAAGGGTACAATCAACATAACGAGGGTGTGATCATCACTTACGTCATCTAAGCATTGGAATGCAGGACTGGCTGAGACCTCCATCTGACTCTCCTCATGTGCAATAACTCTGGGAGGGATGGCAGATATAGCTGGTGTATAATCAGGATTGTCTTGGCCATCCTCAGCCATTTCCTCACGCTCTTCCATCCTAAACGCTTGCACTTCTTTCTCTGATCTTTAACTGTGGCTAAATCAACATAGAAATAATTCAATTTAAGATATACAGTATGAGAAGATTATACTCCACAGAGAAGAAATTCCAAAAACTAAATTCTCTCTGCAATATGGACCCTTTCCAAATGATTCTCATATCCTTCCTCTACGGGGCTACGGTACTCTGAAGATATTCTGGATCTTGGATCTCAGCGGTCAGAGGATACCAATATTACAATAAAAAAAGATATTTAGTGCAACACAATATGTTTTAATAAAAACATTACATATTGTTCAAAATGCTTGTAAATATTTTGTCGATGCATGCAGAGTTTTCTGTAGATGGCAAGAACTTGGATCATATGTATATCCATCTGAAATGATCACGTTATTCCAGCAATTTAGAGATAATCTAGATTCGGCTCATACATACCCACATCTTATGCTATTGTTAATTGTGCAAGGTGACATAAAAACTGGCCTTTGAATCATTTAGAATAAAAATTCAAAAAGGAATAACGTTCAACTTTATGTAAATTTCTTAAATGTATACCTGTATTTCAGGGCCAAACTTTTCTTCAGAATTAAAATTTGACTGTATCTGAAATATATAAAAGTTTGACTAGATCTGAAATATACAAAAATCAGGGCAGGCATATACATGTATGTTTCTATTTTTCCATATATATGTACTGTTGCATTATGAGGTCCTTTGATTGTTTACTTTTTAGATTCAAATTTGTCAAAGAAACTGTAAAGAAGGTTGTGCATTTACAGATTACAAGGAAAAGATCAAGGAGGATTGCTTCCCAGAATTCCATTGTGATATTCTGCTATATATGGTCATGTTATGATTACAAAATCTGAATAGAAAAGCACGAGAAGTGATCAAGTTACTATTTTTTTCAAGGCCTGTCTGCGTCGCTAACATGCTAAATATAAGAGTTAGCTGACGTTTGGGAGTCTGACTTACCTTCTAAAGGTTAGAACCCGAATCTTAATGAAACTATATCACCTTTGTTGCGTCGATGATGATGCATAAACATAGCATTTGATAGAAATTAGCGTAAATGCTTTTCCGACTTTTTCATTTTTCATAAATGTTGACTTCCGGGAAGGCGTTGTAGTTATCACGAAATAACGCATTGACCCTTGAACTTTACTTTGTTGACGTGTCAACCAAGCATGTCTGGTGTGAAAATTAAAAGAATATTAAGCAATGTTCTACATCCGCCAAGCTAAGTGAAGTAGTCAATATTAAAAATTACCAATTTCAAGTGAAGAACGCAACGAACGAAACTGCGTGATCTACACTCCCACTATTGGTCTGAATGAAATGCTACGTAGAAATATGAGCCGTCTGCTGTATTAGTCGATTAATAGAGAAAGACCTGTTGGTGATGCTTTATAATTGAGACCAAAACATTGAAGAACAAACGAACCTGTAAATCGTGAAAACAACGAACAAATATTCGGTTTTCACATATGTTCGGTAATTTTTCGTATTGAAACTTCCGGAACTTACAAGGAAATCATTCATTTTCTCGATCCATGATTTACCTCTTGGATGTTGTGGCAAATGCTCCATGGTTGACGGAACAAAGGTGATATGGTTTCATTAAGATTCGGGTTCTAACCTTTAGAAGGTAAGTCAGACTCCCAAACGTCAGCTAACTCTTATATTTAGCATGTTAGCGATGCAGACAGGCCTTGAAAAAAATAGTAGTCTCGTTCAAATCTTTTAGATTTGCTATTTTGAATTAACAGCCAGTTATAATGCATGTCAGACATGAATGGCATTTTTGCTGTCATGTTTAGAATATCTGCCATTCAGCCTTGAAATATGCAGACATGATCAGCATTTAACAACAAATGGCAGTATAATGCCAATAGTGCACATGAATACATGTAGTGTCACACGGACACTTACGTAAAAAGGATCAAGAAGAAGAAATGGCTTGAATTAAAACAATATAGACTATCCATTTTGGCATAGGCCAAGGGAAAAGTAATAGTAAGCTGTATATAGAAGATCTCTCCTAGGCTATATACAGCTTACTGTGGCCTATGGATTTTGGAAAAGTGGGTGATAATAGAGTAGATCTAAAAACATCCAGTTGTTACAAGTCTACTGAAGTTTTTCTGCGCGTGTTTTATATCATATCAATAAACTACACTTTGGTCATTTGATTGCTTATCTCTACAACAACAAATAATCCTGTTTTATTAAGTGAATTGGATTGTAAGTTGAGGCCTAAGCTTACGAATAAGCGATGACAGCGATGAAATGAATGCCTTATTACTCAGGCTTAGATCTTTCACACTAAAGGGTGTATTTCAAAACAGATCGTTCTCAAAATCCATTAATATATTACGAAAGCGTTTCATCAACAATATTTATTAGAATGGACATATGTTACAATCTGTAGGCTATTGAAAATTAACAAAAACACTTACTAAAATTTGACTTTCCAAGATGGCACCTATCGTAGCAACAGTTACTATGCACTAGGCGAAATACAAGCATTGCAATAAATTCCCGGGGAAATCCTCAGAGAAAAGCCCCGGGAAAAAAGCCCAACCAAGTATAACCTACTACACAAGTTAATAACTTCCCGTCCCAGCTGCATTGGCAATTCCATGTAATTTTAAATACACTGCAAATGAGTATATAAGACCACATTATATTACTACAGAATCTGCATATCTTAGTTTGAAAAAACTCATCCCAAGCCCGGTTCCTAAGCCATCTAGATCTACAGTACAAGTTTAAAATGAAGTCATTTTAGTTAGGAAAATGTGACTTAATTACGGATTATTTAGTCCCATACCCATAACCATTGGTCGAGGAGAAGCTCTTACCCCCAGCCTCCCCCCACACACACATATAGCCTATAACTCCCTTACAAGACATCAGAGGCGGGAAAAAATTTGGACCCAATTTTTGAAAAATAATTAAATAAAAAACAATTCTCAAATGACACCAAACGTTACCTTCGACCTCGAAAGATAATTCTTCGAGAAAGCAAAAAGGTGTCCCCGGTAGTAGGTCTGCACAACACATTTTTAGGAGATTAAATATCAGGGAGGGGGCTCACAGTGATTCCGATTTATCAGGACCCCCTCTTTATCTAGTGCTCGAGATGGACTCTGATCTACCAATATAAATGAAAAGTCCACACTTTATTTGATGAACTGTTGTTTATTGATATGATAGTAATTTATTTCAAATAGAGTAGGCCAACATTTAAATTTATGGGGGTAGGCCGATGCTCTCAATCTCTCGTATCATGGCCTGTAGTCCAGCCCACATCTCCTGACCGACAGGAAGAATCTGATCAGGGGGCAGTTCAAAGCCCCAGGTGCCAGTGTCTCTCAGCTCAGGTGTGTAAGAGTACTCTATACCAGCACCAGAACCACCGGGATTACCTTCCCAGGCATATGCCCAATCTTGAGATGATCCCTGGGTACCGTCTGCAATTATAGTAGCCTATATAGTGATTAAAATGATAAGGGAACATTGCCTTTGAACAACTAATCATAACAGCATTTATTTGTTCTAAAGTCCCGGCTTTAAGTTTTTTGGTTATGTCCAAGGACACAACCGCCTTGCTAAAGAAATATACATGTACATATATGTACTTATATACATGTAAATATATATGTACTTATATTTTTATATGTTTTTCAACTAAAACTGTGGAATTGACAGATTAAATGTAGAAATATGCCTCTTTAATCCTAAAGCCTCGCCTTTAAATTTTTGCCTTGCCTTATTTTAGATACTGGTTACATCCCTGATCTCTATTCATTAGGGAAACTCTATCTAATTTCTCCCTCGTTACCAAAGTGGCTGTTTATGTTCCCGGCAGATATTGTATATGATAATATGAAAAACATATACTCATTGCTGATGTGCTACTTACATAGAACCACAGCAGATTGACCTTGAGTATAAACCCGACCGTGGACATTAAATATAGCATCGACGATGGCCTGTCCAACTTGATCCTAAAAAACATCATTTTACAATTATATCAAACTTGGCCATCAGAAAATTATGCAAAATTCCAGAAAATTCTTAATTGTATGAGTGTAAGTGAAAAAAGATCCAATAAAGTTTTTTTTACAATCAATGTAATCTTGAGTGACTTACCAATTCAGCCTCATTTGGAGGGACATCGAATACACTTCCCCAAGGCCAAAGCATATATTGTCCGAAAGAATGTACAGTCCAGAAGGCAATGAAGCGATCCTTGAAAAAATTGATTTGGATTCCTTGAAGATAACCTCGGAGAAACACTAATGGATTTTTTCATTTTAATAGTCGTCGGATGGAATCTATCCTGACCTTAAAATAGGGATTTTCCGGCGTTTCATCTCAAAAACGCAAATCTCTTAAAATTAGACAATTTGTATCTTTACTTCTTGGAGACCCTGTATATACATACAGTATGGAATGGTTTGTGTTTCAAATCATCAAATCAGAACACCATGATTTTAGTTACCTTGATGGGAAGGATGAAATCTCTTTGGCGTTGAGATTCCACCTCAGAAAACTCACTTGGTCCGTGGTATGTGTCTGAACATGGTTCATCGCTGGCCCCTCCTTCATCGCCTATATAACAGACCAAGTTTTATAACCGATTTAGCTGGTTAACTTTATGACATGTTTGCTACTCTTTAGGGCCTTTAAGGTATCTTTTGGGATAAACTGATGTACAAATATATTGTTGTCGTCAAGCTAGCCCTAGTGGACCTGATAATATAAGCAAAAATAAACCTCCGAGATATACAGAGAAGACCCGCCTTGGGAAATATCCCGGGGAAATATGCAATTCATCGTTCACTTACTTCCCCAATAAGAACCGTAGTTTCTATTTCCATCTGTGCCAATACATCCCAAAGCATCATTGTAGTCGGACCTGGTTTTCCTCCACAAACGTTCCTATGTAATAAAACAACTTGATTTTTATACTGGCACCATCGCACCCCCTCCTGGTTACGCCTATGTTATTTAAATGTTTTATATTAAGCTTAACTACGTAGACTAACCACATCTCTTGTATATTCATAGCCGTCTGGGTTCACAACAGGTTGAATGAAAAAGTCGTATGTATCAACTAGTCTGGTCACTTCAGCGACACTACCATAGTCTTGAGTCAGCTGAAACAAGTGAAGATCATGCAATCATTGTGCACACGTAAGTGAATCTGAGATGTGAAAAACAATACATGGATGATTGGGATTCCAAATATAGAAGAGAAAATACAGCAATGACAACGATTATTTGAAATTCTAGGACCATTTATCAAATAATCTTACAACTCTGAAGTAGCATCATGTAGGCTACGTTAAATGTTCATGTTATACTTTGAGCGCCAAAACCTAATTATGAAAAAGTGAACCCCCCTGGATATTATTGAAAACTGACCCCAACCCTTTGGGAAATCCTGGCTACGGGCCTGGTATTAAATAGTCAATTGTCATACAGTTTAGCTATCATTTTCACATATCTATTACCCTCCAAATGAAGTATGTGCAGGTTGCTGGTGCGATCCATTCTCTGGCGTGAATTCCACAATCTATGAACACAGCTCGTTTGGTGGTATTAGTTTGGGTTCCAATCTAAAGATAAACAGTATTTCGTATGTATGTTTTTGGCATCATCGTGTGTGAGGATATAAGCACAAGTAGATATTGTACAGCGCGGGCCAAAAAACGTAACCCAAACAAATATTGATAACTCAGTCATCCAGCATAGACGACACTTAGTGGAATGGAAAAAGCATAGAACAGGGATCAATTGTGCCAAATATGAATTCAAACCCAAGCTGGATGACATAGTGTTCACTGAACAATTCCAAACACAGTAAAAATATCAATGAGCAGTGCCATCTTTTTATGAACATTATTTATATCACCATGTAAGTGAATACATACTTTAATAAGACGGATATTTCTCCCTTCATAAGACGTGCCAATGCTGGTGATGGCACATCTTCCCCCGCATCTATTGGCCGAGATGTCTTCCGTCCAAGACATCAACTACAAAAAGAAATGTCATTATTACGACTCGTATATGTTTTCATAAACCCAGACTGTTTATATGTATGCACTTTCAGCTTCACGGAGTAGACCAACCGTTTTTCAAAAATAGGTACTTACAGTGTCAAATGGCCAGTATGCATCAAAGTCCTCCGGAACAATTTGTGAATAGTCCTTGGCAGACAGGATTGCCTCCTCCTCGTCAATCAACCTACATGTATATGCATTATGTATACGTAGAGTACATCGTATATACGGCGGTGCATCAACTACATGTATGGGTACGTATTATGCCATGGGGTGATATGGTAACTTAATTCTTGCATTTTCAATACCTCAACTTATACCACACGATCACATGTCCATGGAGTACAGATGGCCATGGGTCATGTTTTACAATCATGATGTTAAATTCAAAGTTGTGTAGTATTGCAATCCATCCTTCGACTCAACGCAAGGCTTTGGACACACTTTGACAAAATCCTTCCAGGGGATAGAGGTCCATGATGAAATAGAGTGGGTGGATTGGTGTCTGGAGCAATTTATTTGGAGGATGACTGCAACAACACAATGAAGATTGGTGTGTGCTACTTACGTTTGGATGTCGTTAACTCGGATGTCATATGCAATTCCTGCCTCATCTAATTGACGAGTTATTTCAACATATCGGTCCGCAGTAACCCGAAATACGATAGGGCTGAACACTGCTCTTGGTTCGGTCCACAAGTCCATCTGCAACCGTGAACGGACATTACATTTATAACCTAAGGACTTTTCTCTTTACACTATCAATCAAATCAATAGGGGCCATGAATCTACACGTTCACTTACAAGTCTTTTAAAAATGTGTAACTTAATTATAATGTATGTGGATACCTACATAGAGATATTCTCTGTTGTATAGATCGTGCATATAATGGACGGTGTACTCGTCTGTAGGATACACGGAGAGGACATGATCTCTGAAAAAGTTTTCAGGCAAATTGTTTATTTTTTTAGATTGGCAAACGTATAAACAGATAAATGGCTCCCTCATACCATGGGCTTTCAATGCTCATACCAAATAGACTGTATTTCACTTTTATTTTGTGATGCTTCAGCCATGTCACTACAAAAGCAACAAAAAACAAAAAAGTTTTCAGTAGCCTACAGAATTTGAACTCATTTCAAATCCCTGATATTAACATGGCGTTTTGTTCTCCGAGGTGTTTTACCGTCTTATCTCTTTAGTTTGGCAATTAATTAATTTATTTCAAACTAACAGATGTGTATACTTATTACAAACTAGTTCTCTTATGGCTGATTTCATACATCGAAATTATTGGAAGAGCGAATTTAGGAATTAAAATAATTAAAAAGGATTTTGACATACCCATCATATCGCTTCTTTATTGCCAAAGATAGGGCCACAAGGCCTAAAAACAACAGCACCCTCATCATCAAAGGTTCTCTTCTGCACTACAACGTACAGGAAATGTGCTTGACTTTACATACTGCAATATTCACACAATCAACACTCCTATCTACCTAGTAATATTGAGCTTACTCACGCCCAGTGATCGGACAGAATGAACGGAGGGGGGGGGGGGGCGATTTCTGCAAGAAAATTCAACAAATCTGGGAGATTTATTTTTCAAGAGAAAGTTTACATTGAATTGTTAAATGAATAGGCGCGCGATATGTTAAAATATGTTAGGTTTTCTGGGATTTTTTGAACAGATACGCTTCTAAGATATGAGATCTATTAAAAAGGCCAATTGTCACTAACATGTAAATGTCAATGTTTTTGCTATAAATCAGGCAATCAACGGTCTACACGATCTGTAATAAATACTTATAAGGGACATTATTATCACCGTTGACTTTTTAAAGTAAAAAAATTAAAATTGAACGGGGGGGGGGGTGTTGAACGGAGGGGGATTCTTATGTCTATGAGACGTGATAAGAGCTGTTACTTGACTTTATTTCTTATTACTCCAAATTTCCCCATTTTTCACCCTTCAGAGATATAAAATCCAGATTCTTACTAAGAGTTCATTTTTGAAATACACGAATTCGTGTAAACTTGTTCCATATTAAAGGCATATTATTCCACAATCCTCCGTTCAATCCTCCATCTGTACAACTTTGATATATTTCGATTATTTTTTAAATAACATAGCTAACTTTAAAAAGTCAACAATGACATTAGTTTTATGTGAATAATGTCCCTTATAAGTATTTATCACAGAAGCCTACAGGTCGTGTAGATTATTGTTAAAAAATTGACTTTTGCAAATTGGTGACGGCGCGCCTTTTTTGATGGATCTCATATCTTACAAGGGTGTCCGAGTTAAAAAGATCCTAGAAGAGATAACATATTTTACGATACCATGCGCCGCACCTCCCCTCTCCCTTCGTTCATTCTGTCCGATCACCGGGTGTGTTACTTGCGCCTGGGATTACCTTACCATATCACCATAATCACGTTATCTCTGTAAAAATACTGAGATGTATACGTGCATGCTTGTTTAGAAATGTTTAGAATTCAATGGATTTTTGCATAATTGTAGTGATTCACACACAGCTAAAGAAGATGTATAAAATTCCAGCCAATCAGAACATGGTACTTTAAATAATATGTTATTTTTGATGTCCATGGTTATTTTGAGATTCAGTGAAATTGATTACCCTCGTCAATTACATAATTTCAAGTTAGCAGTTGTGCATTATATCCTAGACTTTGAATTCGAGCTACCGCACTCCTTCAAAGTCTTAAAACAAGGCATTCGTTCACCATCCTTCAATTCATTGATTTATTCAAATACATGTGGTAAGTGTGTCTCAAACAATTTGTCAAATACACACACATTGTAAGATTGTTCCCCAGGTAAGTAGAGAAAAATAGCTTAATCATTGCTACAGGTTGGAGGTGAACATGGCATGCCTATGTATTTTTGACATATGGAAATTTATTTGCAGCCGGTTTGTTGATAAAAGATACCTAGGCCCGGAACACGACCCTTAGAAATGCTCGCAATGCCCTACTATGTAGTCTAAGATAGGCCGAACATACATTTTCACGATAATTGATTAATGCACAAGTGTCACACGCCCGGTGATCGGAAGACCTGGATGGAGGGGGGGGGGAGTAGCTGATTTTCGTTAGAAAATTCAACAAAACCGGACGATTTCGCTAATTGACTACCCTGCGCGCAGAGTCTAGTTATAAACTACGAAGATGCAGCTCTTTTTTGAGAAGTCGAACGAATGCAAAGGGTACTGATTGACCATTTCCGTATATAAATGGAAAATAGATGGCATCATGGGTGTTGATATGGCTAGAAATGCCAAGAATGAATGGTTATGTATTGGGAAGGTAATTCCATTGGAATCAACTTAAAACATCATTGGAATGTAGCTATATGGTCTTATTGACATGTGGGTTGTGATTTCACATTACAATAGACAAGACGTAATCTTGATTTACGCCATTGAAAATTCAGTCAACTTGATGTCATATTTCAAATCTACATGTAAAAAGTGAAAATTTAATTTTTTTTGAAAATGTGACTTCTATTTCAGGGAGATTCCCCATAGACCCCATGTTACAAATCACAAAAAGTAAAATATCTTTTCTTTATTGGACAGATAACATTTTTTTTTATTAGACATATTTTAATTTGCATAACCATTAGATATATAAAGGTGATTTGAAAATTGAGCCACTAAAACAGAATGTTATTAAAGGCAGAATCTGATCTATAGGGGGTGACAAAATTACAAGCAAAATGTATAATTGACCTACCAATCTAATCCTTACAATATCAAATACAATATCTCCGAAAAGATTCACAATATGTCATAAGTTGATGAAGTTATGAATGATTCAAGGTGCAAAAATGAGTGAAAAATGTTTAAATTCTCCCAAATAATAAGAATGGTAACCATTCTTATAGAAAAAGAATACATTATTGTAAAAATCTTTAGTTTTCCTGTAATAAAGTATGCACTTTTGTGATTTTTAGAAAATAGACATGACAAGGAATGAGATGAGCCAAAAATATTCTAAAATTGAAACAATTTTTTGTTTAGCCTGCTCGCTAGATCTGATTCTCTCTTTAAGTAAGGGAACTTTCTACTAATTCAGATTTGTTGAATTTCCTAGCGAAAATCAGCTACCCCCCTCCGTTCAGGTCTTCCGATCACCGGGCGTGTGACACGTGTGTATCAATCTTTATCGTGAAAATGTATGTTCGGCCTATCTTTTCAGGCCCGTAAGACACTTTTCTCCAAGGGGGGTGCGGTTTTTACTAAAGAGAATATGGAATTGTCAATTTTTGCCGCGTAAATCAAATCGCGTAAGTCAGAGGGGGGAGGGTCGGTTACTCCCTATATTGGGGCCATTCAGTCTATTTTGTAGTATTTTATTGTTTTTAGACTAAATATTGAATGAGCAATTTGGAGAAACACTGGATAGGGGAAAGGTGTGCTAGAAGGGCATAAATGTTAACCCGAAACTTTTTACCAGTTCAAGATCACATTCAGTGATTTCTGGACACTTTAGGAGTTTTAATCAATAGAATCAATATTTAAAGAAATTCAGATTTTCAATCATTTTCTTCTTAAGTAGCACAGAAAAATTCTATCAATTCCAGATGCTGTCTGATTAATTTTGAGCACTTTTAATGCGTTTGAGTAAATGAATGCTTTAGTTTTTGGGGTGGGGTGCCAGAAATTTTTATGATTTCATTATGTCACTTGGTGACTGTTTAAGTGTCCAAACTGTCCAATTGTTTTGTATGGGGTGTGAGGAGTTGCCCACTCCCCGTAGAAAATTTTACACTTTTTAGATGCTATTTGGTGCTTTCTGGGCACTTTCAAAGAGTATGCGTCAATAAAAAATGGGAATTCTTTTGGGGATGGTGTCAAAGAGGATGAGAGGGTGAAGTATGGGGTGCCAGAGGGGGACCAAGCGGTTGTCCCCCAGAAACATTGACCATATCAAGGTGCTATTTGCTGATGTCTGGGTACTTTAAAAATGTCTGAGACAATAAGTGAATTTTTTCAATTGTTTTGTGGGGGATTTGAGGGATGGCCAACTCTCTAAGAAAATTTCAATTTTTTTAATGTTGAGGTGGGATGCCAGAGGTGGGTGTTAGGTGGGGATGCCAGAGGGCGAGTAAAAATCATTGACTATATCAAGGAGCTATTTGATGATGTCTGGGAACTTTAAAAGTGTCTGAGACAATACACAAAATTCAGAATTATTTCAATTGTTTTGTGGGGGATGTGAGGGGTGGCTAACTCTCCTAGAAAATTTTACAATTTTAAAATGCTATTTGGTGCTTTCTAGGCACTTTCAAAGTATATGACTCAACAAAAAATATGAAAAAATCATTTTTTTTCAATTTGGGGGTTTAAGGGGGGGGGGGGGGGGGGGTGACAGAGAGCGAGGTGGGGTGGGAATGCCAGAGGGCGAGTAAGTGTTAGTCTCCAAGAATCATTGACTATATCAAGGAGCTATTTGATGATGTCAGGGCACTTTAAAAGTGTCTGAGACAATATATAAAATAAATTCAGAACTTTTCAATTGTTTTGTTTTGGGCATGGGGAGTATGGCCTACTCCCCCTAGAAAATTTTACAATTTTAAGACACTATTTGGTGCTCTCTGGACACTTTCAAAGTGTATGAGTCAATTAAAACATTTGAGAAAATCACAATTTTTTTCAATTTGGGGGGTTTAAAGGGGGGGGGGGTGCCAGAGAGCGAGGTGGGGTGGGAATGCCAGAGGGCGAGTAAGTGTTAGTCTCCAAGAATCATTGACTATATCAAGGAGCTATTTGATGATGTCAGGGCACTTTAAAAGTGTCTGAGACTATACATAAAATAAATTCAGAACCTTTCCATTGTTTTGTGGGGGTGTGAGGGGTGGCCCCGCCCCCCCCCCAGAAAATGTTACAATTTTGAGATGCTATTTGGTGCTTTCTGGGTATTTTCAAAGTGTATGAGTCAAACTTTTTTTTGGAGGGTGTCAAAGGGGGGTGCGGTCGCACCCATCGCACCCCCCCCCCATCTGACGGCCCTGCTTTTAGGCTACATAGTAGGGCATTGCGAGCATTTCTAATGGTCGTGTTCCGGGCCGAGATATATATTCTTTAGATCTATAGATAAGATATTAGATAGATGGTGCCCACTGTGCCCATAGTTCCTACAGTTACATGTATGTATCTTTTATTCCCGATCAAATCGGATATTATATCTGAATATCCGCCATTTTGGTCAACCCCTGATGCGTTAACGTTTGTTACCGTGTCTCGTAGCAGCAAAAAGTGGTCACATGACTTACTTCCCGTTCAAAATGGAGGATGTAAATTAAAGTTTCATTTGAAAATTATGAAATGAAGAGCTTTGAACAGTATTAACGATGCTTAACAGGTTTAAGAGTGTCGTTTCGAATGTAATGGGAGGTCTGCCAGCAATACCACACCAAACTGAAATACCAGAAGACCCAAATTCACTGCAAGTTAAGTTTCATTACAATCGACCTGATTTTCTATTTTTGACAAGTGACGAAGTAGAGTTGACAGCAGACCACATATCCAGACCAATACTTGTACCCAGATGTGTGAATAAGTTACCATGGAAAGCTGGATATGCAGAGTAAGTACATTATCTCATGGATAATGGGAACGGCTCTTTCTTGCTAAAATATTATAAGGGACCATGGTCACAGCAAGGAGTGGGACTCTTGGATCCATTCCTTGAATCGCCCTTTTAATACACTCGTTTATACTAGCTGATATGCATCCTATATTCTGTAATTTTATTGGTTCATTGAAACTGTTTCCAACGTGCGAACATCCCCCCTACCTTGCCTCAAACTCACCCTTTCGTTATAAAACGAACATCTGGCTGGTGGAAAAATAGAACCCCCCTTAGTAAATCCTGGCTTATGCCCCTGGGGGACATCCACGAGGGGACATCACCTCAGTCTACTTTTTATTTGTAAAAAGGAGAACAGGAAGTGACAGTAGACCCACTTCTAGGTTTTTTCTGGGAATTTTCCTGGCCAAAACAATCAACCGGGGCTGTCTAACATGTCTAGTGAGATCAGAGTCGTTTTCACTCACATCTAGGGGATTTCAGGAAAAAATTATCAACCCACATCTAAAGTTTTTTAGCTCAAATGGTGAGCTTTTGTTCAAAAAAGGAGACCCACATGTAGGGATTTCTCAGTGAAAGAGCCAATATAGGTTCTATTTTCCAAATGTGCATAAAAGTGCTTTCAAAGGCCACTGTTGTAATTTTATAGCCAAGTTTAGATCGAGGACTGAAAGTGGGCTTTGTACCCACCTACCCACGTATGTGGGACATGATACAGTCTTTGAAGGGCTCAATTTAAAAGATCTTAGTTTATTAAATCTTAGTTTATAATGAATTATAGATGCATTTGTAACGACCCTTGATAGCAAGTAGCTGGGTTCGATTCCCACTCGGGGCATCGAATTTAGCACACTTTCTTTCAATTTCTTTATCTGGCTTGTTGGACCTATGCTCGCGGTCATTAGTTATTTATTCCCTGGGGCACCCTCGTGTCATTACAGATTAAAATGCATCCATATGCCTTTATTTATGGATCTGTCATCTGTCTAGTCATAAAATAAAGCCGGAATTGTAGAAATGTTAATAATTTGAACTACATGTAAATTGAGATTTAATAATCTTTAAAACTGAACCCTTCAATTGACTGTATCATGTTCCACGTAGGTGGGTAGGTGGGTATGAGGTAGGAGGTTTTTTATACAAAGCCCTGAAAGTGTTTATGCTCTTTTTATCTCATCCTTTATTTGATAAACCTAGAGTAAACCTTTTAATGGAGAGAATAGGGAAAATGATCATGTTTTAAACTGGGGAAGTCAACATTTTTCTATTCTAATGGAAATCATAGTGATTTTTGGAAAATTGTAAAGAACTATTTAGAATTGAATTGAAAGTGCCTTTGGAAGTGGTAATTTAAAAGCTCGATTATGAAACATAGATTATTTCCTCCTCCTATTAAGTATTCTACATGCATAAGCAGGAAGTGAGATCATAAGCACAAATTTGCTTACATTTTCAGAAAGGCAGGCTACAATATGTCCCCTAACACAGTAGGACCACAGAGAATTCTCAATTTTAATTGAATCGAGATTTCAGATTTTGGAAAGTCGGACTTATGTACATTGTACTCAGCCTTTACATTTTCGAGTCTGTTTTCTGTCACTCATAAAGTGTAGGGTGGGATTTGCTATGCCTTGGCATTCTATGCCTGGGCATTGCTGTTGTAATATTATATCTAGTTTCTTTTTCAAAAGCTTAAAACCTAAAATCCCTATAGTTCTATTGATACCACATTAGAAAAATCATCGTAGAATGTAAGAATGATGAAATGAAAATTTATGATTTTCAGGGTAATAAATGCTGGCAAGAGCAAGTCAAATGAGGACCAAGCAACTGCTATGCACTTCCATATAATGGCACACATGACAGAAACACTGCTGAATAAGACAGATAATCAGGTGGAGATGACTGACATGGCAAACACTGGGGGTGTTAGTATTGGATGCTATTCTTCTGTCTCTTTCATTAAAGCAATGTTTAAGACTATGATGAATTATTACAAATTCATAAATAATCAAAGGGGGTTTAGTCACCTTCCAAATGAAATTGCATATTGGTGCTGCTCCTTTGTAGTTACCAAACTAAAAATGTCTGGTTATTTCAATACAATTTCTAGGTACAAGGATACATGTACTCTACTTCTACTTAATTTGGTGGCCGTAAATTAAATAGCCACCAAATTTCCCAGTAATTTTACAACCATGGAAATTAATACCATTAATACATTGTAATATTGCAAGTTTGTAGCTGCCAAATGTTCAAAAAAGCAAACCCGCCAAAATAAGTAGCCCCAAATTGAGTAGAAGTACAGCATGTGTTATGGAAAAATATTACACATATGCCATTGTTTCTTACAGGAGTTTGATAATAGTCTAGAGTACACATATTTTGCAATATTTGATGGCCATGCTGGTACTGGTGCTGCATTGATGGCTTCTAATACTCTGCACAAGCACATACAGGTCAGCAAAATATTACAATAATGTTTGAAATCATGTGTTCACTAAATTCACAGATTGAATAGCACTATCTCAGTTGCTCAATCAGATTTCCCCTTCATGGGCAAAATTAGTTTCTGCAAGCAGTCTTTAACTAATTACATTCATTTTGGTGTAACATAAGGATTCTTTAAAGATTATGTGTGTTTAAATAATCTGAAATTACATTAAGAAAATTATGAAAATTTTGAATTTCTTTGTTTTTCAGGAGAGACTGTTGGAGGTGAAAGATCTGCTCTTATGTTCAAATGAAGACAAGATGAATGATATACTGAAGAAGAGGAACATGTCAGCTAATGTCAATCTTCCAACAAAGAGGATCACCAAAGACTCTTTAGTCAAGGGGGCTTTAGAAACAGCTTTCTGTGATATGGTAATTTTATAAAGGCATACATTGTACATGTATTCCACCTCAATATTTCCTGAAAACCCATTTTTTCTTAATGACCTATGTAGTTGGACTGAATGTAGCTTTGTGGACATTTTGAAATACATGAACATGTAAATGTAAATCTAATTTTGATAAGTTATTCAACATGCTGGGTGTTTGCTGTTCAAGTGCAGAATTTATAATTAATAAATAAGGTCAATGATTTTTTAACCATGAGTGTGATAGAACAGCCTGTATACATGCATGGTAGATTCCCATACATGCCCGTAGCCAGGGGATGGGGGGGCTATGGGGGTTCAATCAAATCCCCCTTGGCAAATTCTTTCACAATCATGCAGTTTTTCACTATTTTTAGTACTTCTCAAGTAATTTTGGGCCAAAGTTTTCAAATGTGAACCCTCTGGAATTTTTTGAAAAGTGAACCCCCCTAGGCAAAAGCTGCCCATATCTGAAAAAATTGAATTCCATCGAGCTCTAGTTTCTACTAACATTTCATGCAATAACTGTTCACACTTCATTTTGTAGGATGAACAAATAGCAAGAGAGCGAACCACATTCAGGATAAAAGGTGGTTGCACTGCCCTTGTAGCCTTATTCTTTGGAGCTAAACTCTATGTGGCCAATGCAGGGGACTGCAGAGCTGTCATCTACAGGGGGGAAGAGATTATCCCTATGTCAACAGACTTTACTCCTGTAAGTGAAAGAAAGCGAATAGCCTACCTGGGTTACCTTCAGCCTGAGTTACTCCACAATGAGTTCACCCACCTTGAGTTCCAGAAGAGAGTACATAGACGAGATATTGGCAAAAAGATATTATGTAGGGATGCCCTTATGGATGGATGGTATGATACTTTAATCATTTAGTCAAATCAATAAAATGAATTTTGCATGAGGATAGTTTTGGAAGATGTATAAATGTACTAAGATTGCTTAGAAATCCTTGTCAAATTTTTGGCATTTGACTACTATTGGCATACTTAAATTTTGAATTGTCCTGCCAAGTGAGGATCACACTTCTTCTTGGTGAAAATTCAAGATGGCTCCCAAAGCAGATGCATTTTTGATAATATATTCTGTAGTGTTTTGAGGGTGCTATTGTATACAGCTGCATATGAGGAATATTGTAACTTAGGTATTGTACTTCACCATGTAGGTGTGAGAGGGGGGACAGATGAACCACACCCATATTGACTTCTTACTAACATGCAACTCCTGAGTTGCCTACAGTGCTTTGCAAGCCAGCAACAGCAACAGATTAGTGAGAATCATTCTTGCTTCCACTTTTAGTTTCATGATGAAGCATAAAATTTTAATGTGTACAAAAATGTATGATGTATGGCTCATCTGAATCCTATCTCCATGTGCTACATGTAGCTGCCAACCAGCCCTTTGCACCATTGCAGTGGACATGGTCAGAATAGGAGACGAAGCTCAAAGCTGACAATGATGATTGGTGGAATGCATATGCCAAGATGAAATTGATCTGCATCCTAGTTTATTTTGATTATGAGATATTCTGAATCATTAATCTTAAATACAATTCTACCCTTTTTCAGGTTCTATAAGACAGTAGAGGAGCAAGATTTAAAATATCCTCTCATCTATGGAGAAGGAAAGAGGGTAAGTATTATATTACAAAGTAGGGTATGGGAAATCAGGGTCTGGGATGTGGGATTGATTATGTTGTAATTCCTGTGGAAAGACATATTCATGGGTTACATAGAGGTTATTCAATGGGAGAGATGAAATATGAATTTTATTCTGAGGGAAGATATGATATTGGTCACGGAAAATATCATATTGACTGAGGGTGATAGCCTGAGTGTCAATGTGATATTTTCCATATGAGATACTGTATGTTATTGTTGTTCCACATAATGCATGTTCTTTCATGCTCATATTAAGCATGTTATTGTTGTTTCAGACTCGGGTATTAGCAACCATAGGTGTCACTAGGGGATTTGGGGACCATGATTTAAAGGTCCATTCATCTGATATTCACATCAAACCTTTTCTGTCTCCTGTTCCTGAGGTACTGTATCATTTAGAATACATATAATAATACTGCTAAGTATTAGATATTAGAATAGCACTCGATGCGTGTTTCCAAAATAGATTATTACTTTCAAATTTGGCTCCAGTATCAACTATGAGAATGTACACTGGTAGTGTGATGGACTGGTCAATAATGAAGTACAATGACATAAACTGGTTGTTTGACTCGTGATCTGTAAGCATAAAATACAATGAAATAGTGTGGTTTGTCACAATGTAAATATGTACAGATTCCTTCAATTTCATAATTGTTCATGTTCAGAGTATCTAATGAAAGCATCTTTTTGATAAACTATGATGGTAAATAATGGTTATGATTTCAGCAATGAAATACTAAAGTATGACCATGATATTCAATGGTCGAGGTTTATACATAAACTAGATCTAGAAATAACATCTTATTGTAGGTCCAAGTGTATGACATGACATCTTATTGTAGGTCCAAGTGTATGACATGACATCTCATTGTAGGACCAAGTGTATGACATGACATCTTATTGTAGGTCCAAGTGTATGACATGACATCTTATTATAGGTCCAAGTGTATGACATGACATCTTGTGAGCACACAGAAGATGACATCCTGGTGATGGGCTCTGATGGTTTATGGGATGTCATGACCAATCAAGACACAGGTAGAATAGTGCGGGAGGATCTTCGCAAATTCAGTCAGAATGAAGACAGTCGGTGAGTAGTATTAATCAGCAAGGTCATCTTAACCACTCATTTCTCTTGAAAGCCTATGATATATTTTAAAGTTATTTTATTTCCACATATTTATGAGAGTAACTAACATCCAGTATAATACACAGGAAAAGCATGTCAATACATTATTACTTGTACGTTGAATATGCTTTAATAATATGACTTGGAAAATGACTTGGATTCTTGGTAAATTCTGAATTGCCAAAAGAAACACCTGTAAAATTGCAAGCAAACTAACTTATTTTCACTGGTCATAACAATGTCAGTTTCATATTTTGAGTCATGAATCTGAAAAGAATATGCGATTTCCTGAACCAATTTCCTTTTGCAGTTACACTTCAGCAGCTCAGGAATTAGTCTCAAAAGCACGAGGTCACTTACACCCCAAAGGACGTGGTTGGCGCATGGAAAATGACCGACCTTCATCAGGTGATGACATCACTGCTTTTATAATTCCATTAAGTCAGCTCAATAGTCCTAGCTGTTCAATAAATACTCAAAATGGACACATCCCTGAAAAATTAGAAAATGGATAACTTGTAATTTAGAGGATGTAATTATAGTGGTTTCAGAAAGCTGTCTAAAACGCAATGCAGATTTTCTTTTATACCATGTAAGTTACATGGTAGTTACAGGTAATGAAGATTTTAGATGGTACAGCTAATGTAGAGACATAAATAAATTATATCTCTACATTACATGAATAAATTATATATCTACCTAATGGTTGTTTATTTTAAACATTATTAATTTACAGTATTTCTTGCCATTGGTATAGTTATGATGTTATTTCTGTTAATGATGTTATGTCTTATGAGAAATCTAGATAATGTGGTTTTGAAATCTAGTAACTGGTCGAGGAGACTGCCTCGCTTGAAGAAATAGAATAGTTATTTTATGTAATACAATAATGGGGAGTAAAAAATATGTGCAAAGATAGTTCTTGTAGATTTGTACAAGTGAAGTAATTTTGTATTGTAAAATTAGTGCCTTACAAATTAGTTTCATACAACATTTATATATAAAAGTGCAATATAACTGTAAACAGATATTCTCTTTACTATTATATATATGTATATACTGTATGCACAAATACATGTAGTTACACAAAATGTATAATATATTTTATTTCCAAATGTTTGTATGTAAGACAGTTAGAGGGTTTTTATTTTTTTTATAATTTGTCATTTTTTGGTAATTGGTGTTTAGTGGTATTAACAAATGGCAGGTGATGACATTTTTCATGTTAAGGCCATGTTCTAATAGGTACAATATCAACAGACATTTGTTTGTCAGAAATGATTCCCGGCCCACTAATATTTATCACAGGATGTAGTCATCAAATTTCAGCTAGGTATTGGAGTAAACTGTTTAAAGGGATATTCCTTATGAGCCAATTTCTCTCCTGATATGGTAGCTATAACCATTTTATATTATCCAAATTTAGCAAAACATGGCAAAATGATTTGATACTGTATGGTCAAAATTATCATTTAAAAGTGCAGTGTTCATTTACAGTAGACTGCTATGTTTAAATATGGTAATATGGGGATGTATAGAAATAATTAGCGAACATATGATGAGAGAAAATTGTATAGAAATAATAAGCATATCATGAGAGAAAATTGCAAGGAATATCCCTTTAACAAAGAAATACATGTAGTAATAATTTCACATAATTGAGCGTTGTCATAATGCAATACTCAGTTAGTGTAAAATGTGATAACATCCTACATTCCAAAGATTGTTTTTCCATTATAACCTTTTTAATACATTTAAATGAAGGCTTCTAATAAATATATAGGATATTCTAAATACTAACTCAAAATGTGTTTCTTCAAATTCATTTGTATGAAAGAAATCATGAAAATAAAGCTTTGTGAAAGTGCTAGAGCAGGCATGGAGATGGAGCAAAATAAGTGCACCAGAATATCACAACATTAAAATTAGGCATTGGCATCCTTTATTTGGTTACATTTTAGTAGGTTACATACAGTTTTAACATGTTCCCGCAAGGTTCTCCATATATTTGGAGATCAATAGTATCCAGTCTGAACATTTGTTATAACTCTGAATTTCTTATCAGGTAATACATGTATTCTATCCTACATTACCCAAAATAATATATTGTCAGTTCACACATGTATTATGATTGAATTACCAAAACTGAACATTTTGTTGAAAATTGTAATATAGTACATAGAAACCTGTGTACATTGAGCACCTCTGGAGCCACAGAAGTGTGTTCATTGTAGGTAGGTGTTCACTACAGAGGCAATTTTAACCAGAGAAAGGTGAAGTGTGTGCTATGAAGAGGTGTTCACTAGACACAGGTGTTTACTAGAGAGGTGTTCCCTAAGACAGGTTTTACTGAATATAGTAAACAAAGTATTGTTTAAAATTCACATAAAATAAATGAGTTCTCAATGGAACAAAGTGTTCAAATTGCAGTGTTTTGTATACTATACAAGTTCTTGTTTTTGAAAATGTGAACATGTTTTTTGTTTTCCCTCTTGACAAACATTCATGTATGCTTTAAATTCCAGTAAAACCTGTGTAAATTGAACATTTTTTGCCTATAAAAAAATGTTCAGTGTTGGTAGGTGTTCATCACAGAGAGGGTAATTTATACAGAAGTCAGTGGAGTATTTGTAAAGGGTGTCTACTCTAGAGAGGTGTTCACCAAGACCGTTTACTATAGTTCCTTTCTTATATGGGCAATAATTTGAGACTCAATTTGAAAGTTGCTTATTACATAAGGAGCTTTTACATGAGGAGTGTTTAATTGTTAACAGTTTAAGATTCAATTTCCATATAAAATGGGGATTATTGAAGATTTGTTAGTAAAATATGTTGATATTTTCCATATTGTACATTCAGTGGTTAGAGTTGGTTTAAAACCCTATCACATACATTTAATTGCATTTGATTATGGAGGACTGTCTCAAATTGGACAAGAGACAGGATTTCATATTATGTAATTAAGAACTATGCAATATTTGTTTAATAAAACATAACAAATAAATCTTAATATAATTTTTGTGTTTATTTACAATATTTACACATATGATATGTACACCATCTATTATGTAAACTACTGTAGTAAATAGGCTTCTTATACAGAATCAAATCCCAACCATCCATTACAATTATGATGTCATTTTAAATAATTCCTGAGTAATGGCTAAATAATTGATCTGGGAGCTATAGGTTTCTATTGATAAAGAGCCGAATCAAAAATGGAAATCATGTTAACAAAGGATTTAAAATATGCCAATACAGTTGTTTCACTTAGACATCATACACTAATAACAACAGTGGTAATTTTTGAAACTTGAGCAGAGATCCTGTGCCAATATTGTACCTACCAATAAAATATGAGCCGAATCTGACAAAGCGATCTCGTAGTTACTTTCCAGACACACTATTCCAAGGTAAACTTTGTTGGTTGGGGTAACAATTGTCTACATTTGGTACAAAAAATATAAAATATAACTGGATTTTACAAGGAACATAATGTATACTGACAACTACAACACTACAGTACATGTACAGTACATGTAATAGGCTAGAGTGCTACTTTTGACTACACTAATAATATTTCACAACTTTTTCATTTCTTGCTTCAAAAAATAATTTTTTCTTGTTAAGGCCTTAGCAAGAAAATGAATCCTCAGAAATTGCTGTAATTTATGACAACAAAAATAACAAGTACACATACTAATTTTCCTGAATAAACCTGTTACTTTTTTTATCAGATGAACATAACGAGCTTGCTATATTAAGTTCTGCCCATAAAACAACTCAATGTCTATTTCTGATCTTAAAATACCCCAGATCAGAAAAGCCTGGACATTGTACCATCAACAGACTTTGATACAACTTCCTTTTCAGTAACTTCACTCTACTATACCTTGCATTTTGTGTCCATGAGCAACCTATTTGGCATATCAGTAATGATTATGTGATTTGTTTTTGTGTGTCTATTCCTTATGAATGGTTTATCGGATGACTGTTAGATGTTAATAAGGTACTTTCAAAAATATATTAAACAATACAATTAGACAAACAGAATATCTTATGCATTTCTAGGGGTAAGGTATAGTAGAGTGAACTTATAGTGCCTGAAAAAATAGCTCAGATAGTAGGTGAACTGTCTTTTCAATAAACTAGATGCGAGTAGAAATACCCTTGGTTTACATTATTCAAAATTCTTCCACATGTGAAATTACATCTAGAAATGTGGTTTTAAAAAGTGTTTATAAACTTCGAAAATTTAACTTTCTTCTTGACTTCTTGGTGAGGGAAATATCTTTTCTGATGAATTAATCAACATGTTTCACAGTATTCAAGTTAAGGGAACTTTCTAATATCCTGCCATGTTATCTACCCCAAACTAGCCACCTGGTGGTGAAAATGGTAACTACCTACCCGCACCTGGGTAATTTAAGAGGTGCATGCACCCCTTATAATTTGCACATGTCATGCCGCAAACTACTGTTCTGTAATTGTGCAATAAGTTTTGTGTCAAAGTCTGCAGATGGTTCATATTGCAGGCTTTTATAGTTTTTTTTAAAAATAGGGCCTTTAAGAGATAGAATTCTTTTAGGCAAGAACACCATCTACTTGTTCCTGTCCCTTGAAATGTTCATTCATCTTCACAGAAGAGTATTGTAGAGATTCCATGACTGCCACATTAGCTAGAGCAGTTAATGGGTTGTTTATTTATTGCAGCTCTTAATAGATGACACCATGGTCTCATTCCACATCATTGGGCAGCCAGAATCCCTGCAACATTGACCATATATAGAGTCATAAGAAAGGCATTCATATGTACATGTACTGTATTCTATCCTGACACGTTTACAATTGTTATTTATTGGCTTTTCATTTTTCAAACATTTCAATAATTTTTCCAATTTAGTTTTTTTCCATATCTGACATTTTTATCATCTTTAAATTCTATTTTCTTAAATTATTTAAATTTTTCCCATATTCATTCTGCTTCATATTTATAGATTTTTACACTCTATAGAGTATAAAACAATATTCACAATGTGCACAGAAACAAAATAGAAACCAGATATTAAGACCAGAAGCCAGATCAGTGTGATCTGATCATATGTGGATGCTATACTTACCATCTGTGAGCAGGCTGTAGCCATCATCATGAAATGTGGGTTGAAAGCTATGCGTGTGACAGGTCCCTGGTGCTCAGAATTCAATACAGCCACTTTGGCTCCCGTATCTGTGTTCCAGCTATGGATCTTGCCATCTGATGAACCTATTATATACACAATATACAAGAAATGTTGAATGAATGTTATATTTAATGTGTGTTATATACTTTAAGATATCTGTTTTCTGGCCCACCTTGTATATTTTCATTCATGACGTTTAGAAGGTTGTCTGTGACTGCAAGACTTTCTTTACATAGGCAGGTATCCTATTTCATTCAGAGTCTTCTATTTCATTATTAATATTTTGAATAACAGGTGTTTGAAAGTATTGTTCAAGAAGTTTCCAGTTATGTCATCATAAATTCATAATTTTGAATGCACACAAATATATGATGTTGTTTAAAAGAAAAGCATTGTTTGGCATGAGGTGTGTTTGAAACTTACCACTGAAAACAAACTGTGAATCTGGACTAAATGAAGCCTCTATTGGGAGCCCTCTGTTGTTCATGTAGCCCTATAAGTACATTCATATACATCAATTCACATGTCAATGACTAAATGAAGCCTCTATTGGGAGCCCTCTGTTGTTCATGTGGCCCTATAAGTACATTCATATACATCAATTCACATGTCAATGACTAAATGAAGCCTATATTGGGAGCCCTCTGTTGTTCATGTGGCCCTATAAGTACATTCATATACATCAATTCACATGTCAATGACTAAATGAAGCCTATATTGGGACCCTTCTGTTCATGTAGCTCTACAAGTAGATTCATATACATCAATTCACATATCAATGACTAAATGAAGCCTCTATTGGGAGTCCTCTGTTGTTCATGTATCCCTACAAGTACATTCATATACATCAATTCACATGTCAATGACTAAATGAAGCCTATATTGGGAGCCCTCTGTTGTTCATGTGGCCCTATAAGTACATTCATATACATCAATTCACATGTCAATGACTAAATGAAGCCTATATTGGGACCCTTCTGTTCATGTAGCTCTACAAGTAGATTCATATACATCAATTCACATATCAATGACTAAATGAAGCCTCTATTGGGAGTCCTCTGTTGTTCATGTATCCCTACAAGTACATTCATATACATCAATTCACATGTCAATGACTAAATGAAGCCTATATTGGGACCCTTCTGTTCATGTAGCTCTACAAGTAGATTCATATACATCAATTCACATATCAATGACTAAATGAAGCCTATATTGGGAGCCCTCTGTTGTTCATGTAGCCCTATAAGTACATTCATATACATCAATTCACATGTCAATGACTAAATGAAGCCTATATTGGGAGCCCTCTGTTGTTCATGTGGCCCTATAAGTACATTCATATACATCAATTCACATGTCAATGACTAAATGAAGCCTATATTGGGACCCTTCTGTTCATGTAGCTCTACAAGTAGATTCATATACATCAATTCACATATCAATGACTAAATGAAGCCTCTATTGGGAGCCCTCTGTTGTTCATGTAGCCCTATAAGTACATTCATATACATCAATTCACATGTCAATGACTAAATGAAGCCTATATTGGGACCCTTCTGTTCATGTAGCTCTACAAGTAGATTCATATACATCAATTCACATATCAATGACTAAATGAAGCCTCTATTGGGAGCCCTCTGTTGTTCATGTAGCCCTATAAGTACATTCATATACATCAATTCACATGTCAATGACTAAATGAAGCCTATATTGGGACCCTTCTGTTCATGTAGCTCTACAAGTAGATTCATATACATCAATTCACATATCAATGACTAAATGAAGCCTATATTGGGACCCTTCTGTTTTGTTTTTTTACTTGCTTCACATTTATTTCTATAAATCAATAGTTTACATATATACAAATTGCCATTGTTGTCAGGACAACATTATCTACAATTGTTCATGTATCTCTACAAGTACATTTATAAACCATCACAATCTTTTCAGCACAAACATGTAAAAGCATCATATCCTTTTGTGTCTGGAAATCAAAGTGATTTTGCTCAAAATAGTATGTGGGATGACAGAGTGGGTAACATTTTCATATCAATTTATCATGAAACTTACCATGAATGTCTGTAATGGTGTGCCCTGAAAGGAGTCTATGAGACGGATGATCTGTCCACTTGTTGAAATGAGCACCAGCTTACCATCAGGACTAAACTTGATCCCTGTCCAGTCACAATCTCTATCTTGTTGCATCTTAAAGCTGGCAAATGGGCCCTGCAAGTTGATTGCACACATGTGATTGTAAATTGTGTTGTGAAATTTTATATGAGTGTCATGGGTTATATAAATTCATGTATGATACAATTACATCACATATGAAATATCACTAAATTATTCAATTAATGATAAGTTATTTAATGGGAGGGAGGCAGGGAATATGAATTTTATTCTGAGGGAAAATATAAAAATACATATTACATCCCTCCCATTAAACAACATCTATGTACACTATAGATATGTGCTACTCAAAGTATTTAAACTGCCAAACACATGTATTAAACTCAGTCCCACAAGTGTATGTCTTGTTCAGATAAAGAATGTCTGATAATATCCATATTTGAACTTGGAAACTGCTGTCAATGTATTTTTCTTTGACAAATTGATTACTTTTTCCTAAAAGTTAATACATATTTGATCATAATTCATCATCATTTAGTAAAATATAATTCAATAAAAATATGAAATTTTTTATCTTTTTATGATAGAGTAATTCACCTTATCATAAGATCTAAGATCATAGAGTTTCACCATCTCTGAGTTTATACCCGCTGCAAATATAAGTCCTTCAGGATCAAATGCTGCCACTGGTCTACCTGGTAAGTGCATCAGGCCCTATAAAATAATGAGTTTTTTATGTCAGATAAATGAAGTTGCCATTAATGGATAACAGGACGATCCTCTTATTTTAGAATAACCAATGATCTCCCAAGCATTAAAGCAAGTGGGCTAGCACCCACGTGAGATTTTGATAATAGGCTTGCACCCACCTGAAAATCCATTTGCACCCACTTGAAAATGAGAAAAATCATGAAAAATTGGCATATTTTGACCAATTTTGGAGATGCACTTGTATTATATGTACAATTTCTTTTTGAGATTCAAAGAATAAGTTGTACCCTTACCTGACAATTTGGTGACCGTAAATCCCATAGTCTGATTGTGTTGTCTAAGGAGCCTGAGATGAAAGTATCGTCAATGGGAGACATAGAGAGTGACACCACCTTCTTAGTGTGACCACCAAAGTACCTGATGTACTTGTTGTCATGAAGGGAGAGATACCTAATGGTGTCTGAAATATAACATAGCAAATAGGAATTGATATGTCATCGCAGATTGTAGATATTTTCATTTGAAAATGGGCTTAAAATGCAAGGTCAGATTTTCAACGAAATGTTTTAAGATAGAGTTAAAACAGATTGATGATTATTCATGTAATTCATTGCAATGATAAACCAACAAAAATCAGAAATATTACTTTTTGTTTTCAATATTTATTGCCATGGAATCAGATTGCATATAATTTGAACACATAATATGCATATATGGGTTCACTGTTATGATCAATTAGACCCCTAGTTATCACTATAATTATCAATAATTAGAGTATGTTGCAAGTGTTTATAAATTCTATAGTTCTGTGCTTTGAAAGCAGATATTGTGGAAGTTCTGTGAATTATGATTGCAGAAAGGAACAAGAATCATTACTCTTTATTTATGTTGAAAGCATTGAAGATGGAATACGGGACACTTCAATTTTGTTTGTTTTTTCAATCGAAGAATTTGAATTAAAAATTGCGTCCCAAGAAATGCCAAGGGTTTAATTGTTCATATCCCCTTTGGAAGATCTGTGTAAAATACGCAAAAAATCCTGCTAGCGTGAGCCCTGTGTCTAGAGGTGTTACTTGTATGAGATGTAATCAAACTGAAGTTTAGAAATTGAATTTTGATAAACAAAAATGATTTAGAGATCATGTCCAAATGCTGACATTTACGGAAGGAATTCATTTCATTTTGGTTTAACCCCTCAATATAATCTAATTCAAGGTGGGCTCTAAAGAATTGCTCCTGCTCCTCTGCTCCTCCCCACATAAAGTGAGAAAATTAGATAACAAACTGACATTACTGGGCATTTTTAAGAATTTTGGGTCTACCTTTTTAGGAAATTGTGCTTTTATACATACCATCTATTTTTGTTGAGCTGTGTACTGCAGTATTCTGTGTGTGGGTAAAGTTGATGAGATCAACTCCATATTTTTTGCTGTTTAGGTTCCTGGTACATCTACAATAATATAGTTCAATGACTTAGTTCTTTGATATAGGGTCACATTTCATTTCACAACACCCTTGGAAATGTACTTACAATTTTACATTGTCCAAAAAATTAAATATCAACATTTTAAATTGTTGATATGTGATATCTATATGCGATATATATTTTTAGCAGTATTATGACTACTTTTTTTCGCTATCGCGACTACTTCTCCCCTGCCCTATGTGAGATCAGAGATATCCTATTACAGTGAAACCTGTATAATCCAAACACCATTGGGACCGGCTTAAAGCGTTAAGATTGGGAGGTGTTCACATTTTGAGGTTTTTGCATCCGCCAGATTCTGAAGAAATGTGAACACATTTGTGGTACATATTTATAATTCATTTGACCACATAGCTTTACGGCATTTCGGAAATTTGAAAATTCAATTCAAATGAATCCAGTCATGCTGGAAAGCCCTATTATAGGTTAATCAAGACCATTTAAGTTCTTTCCCAAAGTTTTGATAAAACAATATTTGAGCAATTTTGTACAAAACATGTGAAATTTTATGAAAAGTGTTCAGATTAGACAGGTTAATTTTTCAAATGTGACTGTTCACTGTTCAAATTGAGAGGTGTTCACATCTTAAGTTTTTTTTAACATGGGAGTCAATGGGAGGAAAAGATGGGACCAAAAAAAAGAGTTCAGAATGGGAGGTGTTCGGATTAGCCAGGTGTTCAGATATACAGGTTCTACTGTAGTATACTTTTCAACATACTTCTTAAGATTATCTTGCTATTTTAATCCCAATATTTATTTCTAAAAGGTTTCTGACTTCCTATTCCTTATTTGTATCCAGTTTTATGTATTTTCTCTAGAGTTTTACCGCAAATAATGTGACAAAAATGTAAAGTTAGACTCTGGAAAAAACACTTTTAGTCTCTGGAAAAGCTACTAGACTCTTTCAGATAGTTGGTATATAACATGCAGATCTATTGGTTAGATTGCGAGTATATTGATTTGGAGGTCAGTTGGGTGATTTGGATTGCTTGGATTGTTCATTGGCATGTCTTAGGGTCACGGATAATGGGAAGTTCTCAATATAATATACTGAATACTCCAGGTTTGGCATCTTGCATCAGAAAAAACTGGCTATGCCCTGAGATTCACTGGCATTAGATTTAGAATACTTAGAACTGGCAATAAATTCATAATCCATACTATCGAAAGGTTTAGAGTTATATCCCAATCCCTGTCATGTGTTTAGAATTTTTTAGTACGGAATAAGACAAAATCTTGCTATTTAGCGGGAGAATATTCAAACTGGCAGTTTAAATTTGTAATTACAATATCCTTTGGATCGGCCTATTCACTCATGACAGGTGGAGCGAGTTTCAAAAAGCAACATAAAGCCAGTTTGAGATGAGAATAAAAATCTGATGTGTTACTAAAAATAATAATCCAAAATCGGAAGGTACAATGGACACAATAATTTACGCGGGAATTTATATTCCCAATCATGGAAAGTGGCGAAGAACTGTCAACACTTTCATGAAGTTGAGGGTCATTAGATATGTTAGATAGGAAATATGGCCTCGAGACTAGATTTAACTTCTTGTAACTAACCACTACAATTAGGGGTGGGACGGATAACCGAAATACCGAAAAACCGCGGTTCATAGCCTTCGGATCGGTTTTCGGATCACGGCCCTACTTTCGGATCAGCTTTTCGGATCGTTTTCGGATTAATATTTCATTGGTCAAGTATCAATAAAACAGTTAAAAACACTGTTTTACAGCAACATTTCTGATATTCCTAGTCCCTACCTTGTCTGTCTTGTCTGTTGCTAGCTCACTCGTTTACTAGATTCGTTTCGTATCCGCGTATTCGTATCCCTCTGTAATCAATCATGTGGTCCCTGGTACTATATTCTTTAGTCGTGTATTCTAAATAATATGTATTGTTCATGAAATACTATAACATAAAATTCCATCTATAAAATATTGTTATAACGTGGCATAATTGATACAAAGATTTGCGCAAATTTATATTTGCGCAGGTTCGATATAGGGTATTATTTGTGCGCACCCACAATACATTCAAATATGGCGTCTGGATCTCAAATTCCCGTTTTCCCAAAAGAAATGAAGATTATTGCAGCCCCCACAAAGCTAAAATCAGCCGTTTGGATAAAAGAAAGTGACAGTCAGCAGTGAAGTCCGAGACAAAGCAGCTAATCATGTCAATCAATACAAATCCTTAAAATGAATGAACCATACCGAAAAAACCGAACCGACGGCTGATGATCCGAAAAACCGAACCGAACCGAACCGAAACGAACCGTCCCATCCCTAACTACAATGCCTCAGAATCGAGCATGAACTTTTGCAAAATACTCTCCACTTACTTTCCACCTTGACAGTCATATATAACAATTTGGTCGTCGTAACTCGATGAAATCAGAAGCTCTCCATTAGCAGAAAATGCAATCTTATTTATTGGTTGATTATTTTCCCTAAATAACTTAGCAACCCGTAGATTTCTAACAACTTCATCGGTCAATTTCATTTTCATGCTTTTTTCTAAACCGGAAGTTGCGAAATTCACTCCGCGACGAAATCAATCAAGTTAAAATCTGAACTATCAGTACAAGTAATTGAAACTATTAAGAACATAGTAAATTTAAATAAGAATTGCAGAAATTATACAACCACAATTTTACAACTCTTCAATCACTCTAAATAATTTTTTATCAAAGCGCTAAAGCGCCATCTATGGTATGAGCTACTTGTCAAACTCCAAAGGTCATAAGATCTGGTTTGTATTTCCATTTATAAGCTTATTAGAAGACTATTTCATTATTATGCGTTTTATTGTACTTACGCTTTGGCAAATTGTACAGATATCAGATGCAGATATCAAGAATAAAATAAAAATCTGTACCTGATTTACGTATCTGATTGAAATTTGGATTGAAAATATTCAGACTGATTTGTATGTGTGCATACTGTACAGGGTCTTTATTTATAAATCTGATATAGAAGGTGACCCTACTGATGTAAGTCAAAACTCCAATAGTCCAACTCATCCGGGCATCCCTGTCTAACTGATTTCTAGTCTGTCTGCTGGAAACAGACGAGGGGGGTTATTGTTTTCGCACCCCCTTGAGGCCTTGACAATTGCTAGCTATTCCCCTGTATACATCAAGGGCCAACTAAATAGTACAGGGTGGTAAAAAAACTGCAACGCTATTTTCACCATATCTTTGTCATTTTAGGAAATTACTCCCTGATAATTGGCACATAAATGTACATGTACATGTATGTGCCTCATCCTCAGTTTTTTGAGTCCATATTCAACATAAAAGTCACATGTGCCTGCATTGGAACCTTGCGCTTATTAGATAGAATATGGTTTCTTAAATTGGTGAAACTGTAGAGGGGGAGTGATGACCATCCTCTGCCAAATCCACTCTGGCAAGCCATATTTTAATTTTGTTCGACTCAAATACACCAAAAGTCCTCAGAAATCAACAAATACAGGGTGGGCCAAAAAAACGCCACTTTTTTTTCAAGACACTACAACTTTTTTATTTTCCAACCTACATACCCCAAGTTTTGCAGTTATATAGTGCCAAGGGTTCTTAGTCATTATATAATGTAACAAGTCCTTCAACTTTGATTATATTTGATCCAAAAGGGGAGTTCAATTGGTCCGCCACCCTAATTAATGATGTATTTTAGTTTCAGTCGCCTTGCTGATATTGCAGTATCAATGAAATGTTAGCTAAGTTTTTTCAACCTGTCTTAATTGCCAGCTTTAGTTGAGCAATTTTCTAGATGGGTGGTCTTCATACAATCTCCTGGAGACCTTCCCATACCCTATACTCACTGGGGTTTGCATCAGGGCTATTAGCTTGGCAACCATCAGGCTGTATCAGTTCAGGAACATTTTGCAAATTATGCTTATTTCTCATGGAACACCACATGTTTAAGTGAGACGCTGGTGGCATATTTTATTCAAGTAAAAGTATATAATTTATGATCCATGGCTAGATAACAACCTCAAGTTTCATTTGGTATGTAAATTATGATTTAATATCAAAAATTAAAAAAGTTATAGCATTTTGAAAAAAGTGGCGTTTTTTTGGCCCACCCTGTAGTATCATAAAATGAAGAAATTCAATGGAGTGATCGGGACACCCAGAGTACAGTATGTAATGTTTTATTTTGGCTCTAAAACATCACACCAAATAGTACCTTAGTACCTGGAAGGAGGGTGTATTTTCTGGCTCAATTAACCTTCGCAACCCTCAAAAACAAAAAACATTTCCATGAGAAAATGTTTTCAAGCAATCATATTGGTCAAATTATTTTGAAATTACATTATGCCGAATCCATTCAAACCAAACTAATTGATGAATTGATTTTAAGTTTAGAAATATGTTTCTTGCATGGAAAGAAAACCTTTCTCTTGAAAGCCCATGGTTCTAGAACTAATGACTTGTTGGACATTAGAATGAAAAATCAAGATACATGTATCATAATCAGTGATCTCCCCAGCATTACTTGAAAATGAGAAAAATCATGAAAAATTGTCATATTTTGACCAATTTTGGTCTGAATTGTGAAAATGAGAATTTTTGCACCCACTTGAGAAAAAATCCTGGGGAGATTGCTGATAATGGTCACCCATTGGTTGGTAAATGTTCTTCAGGTTTGTGTCCTTGTTGCAGTCTGGTATGTATGTACAAGTATGTATGTATAATTTATTATCCCATCGAACGAAGTTCGGAGGGATATAGGGAACGCCTCCGTCCGTCCGTCCGTACGTACATCCGTACGTACGTACGTACGTCCGTTCGTCCGTCCGTCTGTCCGTCTGTCCGTCCGTCCGGGCAATAACTCCAATACCGTTGGCCCGATTTTGTTCATATTTTGTACACATATACCCTATGGTGCTAGAAGTTCTGCTCGAAAGCCGATTTTCAAAATGGCCGCTCATTGCAAAATGGCGGCCATTTTAGTGCCGATTTTACAGTAATTTAGATGCAATATGTAAAACTGTAATAGCAATATGTTTTAAATGTAAAAAAATTATAAAGGACATTAATAAAGCTACAAATGTAGATATTAAAGAAGCATATGGCAGCCATCTTGAAAAATGGCGGCCTTTACTCGTTATTTTATGATTTTTGCTATAACTCGAAAAGTAGTGGAGCGATTTTGTTCATATTTGGTATGTGAATACTATAAGCATTGGAAACTGTCTAAAGACATTTTTGGTAGAAGGCGGCCATTTTTTAAAATGGCCGCCATTTTAACGTATTTTACTATAACTCGAAAAGTAGTGGAGCAATTTTGTTCATATTTGGTATGTGAATACTATAAGCATGGCACACTGTCCTATGACACTTTTGGTAGAATGCGGCCATTTTGAAAATTTTTTTGAAAAATGGCCGCCATTTTAACGTATTTTACTATAACTCGAAAAGTAGTGAAGCGATTTTGTTTATATTTGGTATGTGAATACTATAAGCATGGCACACTGTCCAATGACACTTTTGGTAGAAGGTGGCCATTTTGAAAAATGGTGGCCATTTTAACATATTTTACTATAACTCGAAAAGTAGTGGAGCGATTTTGTTTATATTTGGTATGTGAATACTAAAAGCATGGTACACTGTCTAATGACACTTTTGGTAGAAGGTGGCCATTTTGAAAAATGGCCCCATTTTAACGTATTTTACTATAACTTGAAAAGTAGTGGAGCGATTTTGTTCATATTTGGTATGTTTCATATTTTATATGTGAATACTATAAGCATGGCACACTGTCTAATGACACTTTGGGTAGTAGGCGGCCATTTTGAAAAATGGCCACCATTTTTACGTTTTTACTATAACTTGAAATGTAGTGAATCGATTCTGTTCATATTTGATATGTGAATACTCATGAGCCTTGCACACTGTCTCATGACACTGCAGATAGTAGGCGGCCATTTTAAAAAATGGCTGTCATTTTTACATTTTTTACTATAACTCGAAAAGTATAAGTGGTGCGATTTTGTTCATATTTGATATGTGAATACTTCAAGCATGGCACATTGTCTCATAAAACTTTGGGGAGTAGTCGGCCATTTTGAAAAATGGCCACCATTTTTATGTGTGTTATTTTACAAGTACATGTGTGTGATTTTTCAAAAATTTTATAGGTGGCTACTAAAAAGGATATTATTTCTTCTGATGACAACTTGGCTAGTGAGCAACCATTTTGGAAATGGTGGCCTCTCTGGTGTGTTGTTTTATGATATTTGCTATATATTTCGTTTGTAAAAATACCAGCCATTTCTGTTCGATGGGATTCGCTACGCTTTGGCGTTGCCGTTGTTCTGGTTTATCTTTTATATAAGACAGTTACATTGCAAACAGTAATATAATTTGAATATGTGTTCAATAGCTGAAAGTCAATGTTAATTTTTTAGTTGACGATGAGGGGCGTCTGGCTACGTCTGCTATTGGACAGCCCAAGCCTGGTCACTAAATCACCAGTTCTATATCCTCTTACCAGGTGTCCCAACAAAGAATCACCCCATAGACGTTATCTGATCAGGTCTTCTGGCAAGCATGAATCACCACATGAGCAGCAATGTCGACATTATGGGATCAATGTCGGTGGCGAGTATGAACCATTGAGTAGAGAGGAAATAGGCCAGCATGCCAGGGGGATCTTCAATACAGCTATTAATGCTGTGCTTCCAAGTCAGATGGTACATGATGCTTTGCAAGTGAAGGATGGGGTCCTCTCAGTGAAGGAGCAGACATACGAATTGAAGAAGAATGTCCACATTTCTGCATTTGGTAAAGCAGTGATTGGTATGGTTAGGTCAGCTGAAAGTGTACTTGGAGACGAGATAGTGCAGGGAATAGCAAGTGTGCCTTTTAATATACAGAACGTATTAAGAGAGGCTGGAAAAAGGTAATGCATTCATATCACTATTTACAAGGAAATGAACTTAAATACAGAGAACATTTCCAAATGAAGTGTATCAAGTTTTTGAATGGCATAATATTTATCAATGAATCAATATAGTCTAATATCAATTTTCAGTGTAAGTAAAATTCTAAAGTATGAATACGTGTATAAAATATTCTTTATATGTTGGTTTTATGAACTGATGGTATGTTTCAGTGATCTACTTCCACTTGATAACAGTAAAGTGAAGATATGTGAGGGTGCCAAGAACAACATTCCCGATGAAGCAGCTCAGACCACTGCTATGGCCATCTATCACCAAGCCCAACAAGTAACTGCAGATGACATATTATTAGTTTTGGTTTCAGGTAAGTCATGCTGAAAGTCCTGTTTGTGCATTATTAACCCATGGGATGAAGTTTGTAGGAATATTGAGAAGCCGTCTGTCTGTGCATCCATCCGTTTGTTTGGGCGATAACTGATCCAATACTGGTTCACAGATTTGGTTCAAATTTTGTAGGCATATGACTTGAGGGTGTAGGACCTCTGCTTATAAAGAATTTCCAATATGGCTGCTCAATTCAAAATGGCCACCATTTTTTGTAAATAATGTAATCTTACATACTGTACCTGTATTCCAATTTGACCTCTGACCACCTTTTTATCAAAATTTAATAAAAATGTATTTTTAGAATTCGATAACTCAAATACCATTTGACAGATTTGGTTCAGAATTTATGTGCTGATACTTTATTGGCATAGACACTGGTCACTAAGAAATGCTGAATACCAGCTCAACTACCACTGACTGAGATGACTTGTATGTTTATTTCTAGGTGGAGGCTCAGCTTTGTTACCATCTCCAATCCCACCAATAACTCTGAATGAGATGGCAGAAACAACAAGGGTAATGGGTAAAGCTGGGGCTACCATACAGGAACTAAATACAGTCAGAAAACAGCTTGAGATTCTTAAAGGGGGAGGTCTTGCTCGGGCTGCCTTTCCTGCAAAGGTAAACTATCCAAATGTGTTCCTCCATTGCATACATTTTTGTCAAACATGAAATTCTGTCATGGAGTACACAAATGTTGAGACCATAGTTAAGTTGTTTTGGGAGATAACTGAAATACAATTTTTCAAATGTTCTAGAAAGCATGTAGATGCAATTGAACATTGTTGCCTGAAAATTGTGACTGTATTGTATCTGGATGTACATGATAGGGATATACCGTTGTACATGTGTTCAAACAAATGGATGTTTGGCCAACCTAACGTATACTTTTATTATTCCAACAAAGTTGAGTTGGGATATTGTGACGCCCTTCTTCTGTCAGTCCATAAGTCCATCCAGAAAATAACTTGAATACTAGTAGACGGATTTTCTTCATAGTTGGTAGAAGGATGGATATTGATAAATAATTTTACAAGATGGCCACCACTTTCAATATGATCGGAGTTTTTCATTTAAAGCCTAAGTGATGAGTATTACTTATTGAAATGTTGGTACTGTAGTTTCCATAAGATACATGTATATCTATTTGACATCTATTCCTTGTTTTTTGGCACAACCTCCAGGGGCTGTGTATGGGCGTTTGGAAAACAGGAATTTTCATTAATATTGAGTTCTTTCTGAAGTATTAGCTTTATTATACTCATATGAAAGGTAATCTAGAGTAGATTGCAAATGTTGTATTGATTTTCTGATTCTGGGCTTGAAAAATTAAAATTGCTGCCTAATTTGGGATTTCACAATAATCCCTGATCTCTTCAAACTACATGTATGTGTTATACTCTAATTGAAGGAATTTTAAAGTAGATCACAATTTTGGTATTGTTCTTCTGATTCATGCCTAAGAAAATTCAAAATGACAGGCTGAAGTTGGAAATCACTATAATTTAGAGATCTCTTCAAAGTATGCTTACGTTTATAATACTGCATTAGATCTCAAATATTGTATTGTCTTTTTGATTTGTGGCTTTGAAACTCCTAAATGGTCACCCAAAATGCTTAAATTGGTGAAAATTCTGATCCAGTGTCTGTCTTAGTGTCTTTTATTATCTGCAAATCAAGGTTAGAGTAAAGGGTTAATATTACACTGTGACATATGATGACAAGATTTTACATAGAAGATTTTAGAACAGAAAATGTATAGATATTCATGAATATTTTTGTTGGGATTGGCTACTCCATGGATTGTTCGATATCTAGTTATATAATGTAATCAAGTTTTATTTTCAGGTTGTGACATTAATATTGTCTGATGTTATTGGAGACCCGCTTGATCTTATAGCAAGTGGTCCTACCGTTGAAGACCCCTCCACAGCAGCACAATGTCTTGGACTCTTTCAGAAACTTAATGTACATGAAGATATTCCAAATACTGTTAAAAACTTTTTACAGGAAAAATTAGATAAATCACAATGTGATAAGGATTCAGATGTAGGCTTTGATCATGTGCAAAATGTTCTTGTGGGGACCAATAACATTGCTATTGATGCTGCATCTAGTCGTGCCATACAACTGGGATATCTGCCATTTGTGCTTAGTACATCGCTAGCTGGCGATGCATCAGAAGCTGGAGTATTATATGGAAAACTTGCTGAATTTGTGTACTTGTCCTTTGCCTGTGGTAAGAAATCTGACTCCAACCGTGTACTATGTCAATTAGAGATGGATATAGTTCAAAGAGGAGTAGAGAAAGCCAAGTTGAACCAGCTTCTGGACACTTGTCATAAGGCCCAGGCATATGGGAAGGGTGTATGCATAATAAGTGGTGGAGAAACCACAGTTGATGTTAAAGGGTCTGGTAAGGGTGGGAGAAACCAAGAGCTTGCCTTATCAGCTGCCATGCAGTTACGTCACAGTTTCCAGGATTTAGACATACTGAAGCATTATGGGATACAGTTTCTGAGTGGTGGAACGGATGGACAAGATGGGCCCACAGAAGCTGCTGGGGCAACAGCTGACCCTGAGTTGATCAGGGAGGCGGAAGTCCAAGGGTTTAACCCGCAGAAGTATCTGGATCAGAATGACACATTCACATTTTACTCAGCAGTGAACGGGGGTGCTAACTTGGTGACAACTGGCCTGACAGGCACAAACGTAATGGACATCCAAATATTACTTGTCAACTGCTTCGACCAGATGGACAAAGGGAGTTTCTAAGTGTCAATAGATATAAAGCAGAGTATCAACTGCATGCAGCTTGATTTCTTATTACTTAGTTTGTAAAAACAGTTCTGTGTATTTGACCACAAGGCTGTTGCTTTGTATTTTACTTTTTATTGTGCAATAATGCTACGCATGGAATTTATTTTGCTATTATGTAAAACAGCACTCATCGTCGCAGTGAGTATTCGCTCAATTTTTTCCATATGTGGACAATTCAAAAAATAGATTTTTAGACAAATATAATTTTCAATTTTATATGTTAACCATTGTCTGTTCAGCATTTCATATTCTGTCTTTAGCTGAATTTTGAAAGGATGAAGGTGGAATATATCAACAACTTTTGTGCCATCATAAGGTATTGACTATAACTCCTTGAGTGATACTTGTGTCCAACAGAACCCCAGAAAGTGTTTTGAAAATTCACCTTACATGTTTTATCTACTTCAGAGTATAGGGCTTTTTGGATGGGTTAGCCCATTGGTGTGGTCAGGCAGAAAAGTATTTGCTAAATTTCATAAATTTTAACCTTTGTTTTTTAGTTTAGAATGTAAAGAAAACCCTGATTCTGTAATTTATGAAAAAACTTGATTCTATGATTTATGGCAAATATATGACCTAAGATTTTATTCTGGCCATTGCCAAAGACCTCAATGTATATTATTCTGTAGACCGCATTCTGCTATAAATCTGTTATATCTGAAATAAGGTCATCAAATTTATACTTTGGTGTGTCTAAACATTCTACGAAATGTATTTTATATTCATTAAAAATAAAAAAATACCTCTTCAAGCCCATGGGTGTTCTTTTCAAATCACTTTCAAAGGAGGAGGGAAAGTATCGCAACAGATTTTGGACAGTCATGTGTTGGATTTTGGCTATTTTCTGAGGATTTAAACAGGTGCATCTGTTAGGTCAATGCATTACCTCCAGGAAAAGCACTCATAGAGATGATAAAATAATTTCGACTTTGAGACCGGGTAGATGCAAACAACCTACCCACATGTTTTTTCTGAAATGTTGTTCTGATTTTCAACCCCTTCCACCCCTCCTTTTTCAATTTTTGTTGCATTAATATATTGCGTTTTGACACACTCTAGACCCCTTTGAAGGAATAAGTGATTCCTTTGGGGGTTTTAAAGATATCCATTATGGCTGACCAAAATTAGCTGAAAGCAATGGATCGCATGAGTTTTCCCTATGGGAAAATAACATGGGAATTATTGTTTTCCACTTTATCTAAAAGGAATCACTTTATTCCTTTAAAGGGGTTAACTGTGTGTTAAAACACAACACATTGATGCAAGAAAATTTAAAAAAGGAGGGGTGGAAGGGGTTGAAAATCAGGAAAACATTTCAGACAAAACATGTGGGTGGGTTGTTTGCATCTTCCCCATCTCAAAGTCGAAAATATTTTATCATCTCTAGGAATGCATTACCTGGAGCTTATGCATTGGTTTTACATATGCACCTGTTTAAATCCTCAGAAAATAGCCAAAATTCAACATATGACTGTCCAAAATCTGTTGCGGTACTTTCCCTCCTCCTTTAATAAGTGTATAAATGTGAATATAAAGATGGCACTACTAGTGGTCTGTGTACTTACATCCTTACTTTGAAGTGTCCAATGGTCATGTAGGAAGTACATTGAAAATGCAGTTTTGCACCTTAAAATCTTTCTGGCACCCTATTTACAGTTGAAACTAAGTGGAACACCACTGTAAGTTGAATACCTCACAAGTGAAACAGATTTTGAAAATCCTGTAGCTCATTGACACCATGTTAATGAACCTCTGTTGTGGAACACCTCACAAGTGGAATACTTTTTGGTACCTCTAATAAGTGTTCCACTTGGGAGGAGTTCCACTTATAGAGGATCATTTAACATTAAGTCAGTTGGTCTTGGGACTCTGAAGTGTTCCACTAACAAAGGTGTTCCACTTCTAGAGGTACATTCCAGGTTTCACTGTATATGCTTAACAGGAATACATACTCAAATTTAAGGATATAAGGATATAAAAAAAGAATAACAGACATTTGTTTTTTTCTCTGATGAATTTATATACTGTTTTATTAATAATTTTGCCCAACCATAATACAAATTTTGGAAAATTGTAATTCATCTTTCACTTTATTGAGGAATATTCTATAACTCAGACTATTGTAACATGTAGAAGGTTTTACCTATTCTTCAGTAAACTGCTCTATATATACACAGATCTCAGTTTGGACACTCTTCCATACATACTGTTATTGGCGGTCATATTCCAAAAAGATCCATAAAAGGATAGACATCTTTTATTCACATTTTTAATTCACTGTATCTTTTCATGACCTATCAGAGCTAAAACTACGACACTGTAGCTCATTTTAAATTTCAAAAAACCAATAGCCCTTTTTGACTTTATTTTTAACATTGCACGCTGTTAACGCAAAGAATGGGGTGTATGACCATCATGTACCAGTTTGTAAGTCCACATCAGTACCCCATACATTACAATCTTAACTAGTATTATATAAAGATGCTCTGATATTATTCACCATAATGTGATCAAACATGCATATAGTGAACTAATCAGACCACAAATGGTAAAAGAAAGCCATGAGAACAACATACTTATCCAATTCCAGTGTTTTAATGTCCTCAGCTAAAGTATAATTTCAACCAAAATTTAGCTGACAATACATGTAATTTGATGCTCGTTACTTTTTCTCATGACTTTGCTCTCATTCATTAGATCTACATTTCCAATAATGCATATAAACATGCAGGTTTTCTCCATATACATACTAGAATTTATCTAATTTATGAGTTTGAGTTGAGTGAGAGTAGAGTGACTGCTCCCAAGTTTACTCTGAATATAGAGGTGATATGGTAAATAAAGAGTTTGAATTAGAGCTCATTTATTAACTTAGATGTACAATATAAGATCTGTTATACAATTTGTAAACACTGTTAATCAATCTATATCCAATGTGGTGATGCATGGTTTTGAGTAGTTTTACATTTTAGCACAACAAATGTTCAACATTTTTGCTGTTAATTAGATTTAATTTTATTCCCAAAATTCATTCAGCACAAACTCATAAATCAGATTTTCTGAACATAATTAATTACAATAGCTGCAAATATTGAGTATACATACATAATATAACTACAATAGCTGCAGATATGCACACATAACAATTGTCATAGCTGCAGATATTGGATATACATACAAAATATGGTTGCAATAGCTGAAGATATTGGATATGCATACAAAACATAATTGCAATAGCTGCAGATGTTGAGTATGCATACGTTACATAATAGCAATAGCTGCAGATATCAATTATGCATACATAACCTAATTACAATAGCTGCAGATATTGAGTATGCATACATTACATAATTGCAATAGCTGCAGATATTGACTATGCATACATAACACAATTGCAATAGCTGCAGATATTGACTATGCATACATAACACAATTGCAATAGTTGCAGGTATTGACTATGCATACATAACACAATTGCAATAGTTGCAGGTATTGAGAATACATACATAACATGATTGCAACAGCTGCAGATATTGAGTATGCATACATAACATCAGTACAATAGCTGCAGATATTGGGGATGCATACATTACATTATTATAATAGCTGCAGATTTTGAGTATGCATACATAACACAATTGCAATAGCTGCAGATATTGACTATGCATACAGTACATAATTGCAATAGCTGCAGATATTGACTATGCATACATAACACAATTGCAATAGCTGCAGATATTGAGAATACATACATAACATGATTGCAACAGCTGCAGACATTGAGTATGCATGCATACATAACAAAGTACAATAGCTGCAGATATTGATTATGCATATGTAACATTAGTACAATAGCTGCAGATATTGGGGATGCATACATTACATTATTATAATAGCTGCAGATTTTGGGTATGCATGCATAACACAATTGCAATAGCTGCAGATATTGACTATGCATACAGTACATAATTGCAATAGCTGCAGATATTGACTATGCATGCAGTACATAATTGCAATAGCTGCAGATATTGACTATGCATACAGTACACAATTGCAATAGCTGCAGATATTGAGAATACATACATAACATGATTGCAACAACTGCAGATATTGACTATGCATACATAACACAATTGGAATAGATGCAGATATTGACTATGCATACACAACACAATTGCAATAGCTGCAGGTATTGAGAATGCATACATAACATAATTGCAACAGCTGCAGATATTGAGAATACATACATAACATGATTGCAACAGCTGCAGACATTGAGAATACATACATAACATGATTGCAACAGCTGCAGACATTGAGTATGCATGCATACATAACAAAGTACAATAGCTACAGATATTGAGTATGCATACATAACACAATTGCATTAGCTGCAGATATTGAGAATACATACATAACACAATTGCAATAGCTGCAGGTATTGAGAATACATACATAACATGATTGCAATAGCTGCAGATATTGGGGATGCATACATTACATTATTATAATAGCTGCAGATTTTTCGTATGCATGCATAACACAATTGCAATAGCTGCAGATATTGACTATGTATACATTACATAATTGGAATAGCTGCAGATATTGACTATGCATACATAACTCAATTGCAATAGCTGCAGATATTGACTATGCATACATAACACAATGGCAACAGCTGCAGATATTGACTATGCATACAAAACATAATTACAATAGCAACAGTCTGCAGATGTGGAATATGCTCACATAACAGCTCCATATAAGATTACTAACCAAGTAATTGATGACATTTTGAGCATCAGATCAGTTCATCCTTTGCCAAATATTAAGTACATGTATACTTTTCTTTCACTCCACAATTTATCATTGACACGATTGCCTGATGGAAAATAAGTGGTTACCATGGTTATTAGGATAAATACATTGTTACAAAGCTAACACAGCTATATTAATGTACGATGACCAGAATAGCCAAGTGAAATGATTAATAACCATGGAAACTTCATATCTATCAATAAGATTTTTCTTCAAAAATGAAATAAGCATTCCCTTTAAATTTTTTCAACTTCTTATCTCCACTTTCCCAATCTCTATCTCCTACACTTAGCATCTCTCATAAATATATTCATTTGTGTCTATGTAGATAATATATCAAAATTATAATCTATATTATATGAACAGAACAATATAAGTACATACTTTATTTGCTTTCATAAATTAATGTTTTGCTGCTAACGGCTATAGAGAGGCATGAAAAGCATCTAATGATATATACTTTTGATTGATTTCAGTTTATACGTTTCCTTAGCAACCAAAAGTGAAATTCTGTCAGATATATGTCATATGTTATCCAATATTACCAGCCAGCGGTAAGCATTTGTCAGATCCCTAGTTCCTGTTAGACTAATATTAGTAGAAATGAAAATGCATTTTTTAGAATTTAGCAGAAAAGGAGCATGTAAACTAAACTATATTAGTGATTTCACCCTGGTTTTTTGGTCCTCATGGCTGAAAGAGCCAACCTCCAAAGGATGTCTTATCTTTTATCACATGATATATGTGATTTTGTCCCCTCCACCTTAGCTCTCCTATAGAATGCCTATCTTAACTACTTAAGACAACTGTCTAAATTAGTACCTTCATCTTTTGTAAATCCAACAGAATATTATATTTGGTTGCTATGGTAACATAATTGTATTGCACCTTTAACTGATTTTAGGGTGGTCTTTGATTGGCTATTTATACGGAACTGCTTCTTGAAGTTCTATTTATTTACTTGATGAGAGTATGAAAAAAGACTTCCGCATTTTTAAGATTTTTAGAAATATTTCCAACTTCAGAACATAAGAGACAGTTCTATGATAGTTCATCTCGCACTTAGTCTATCTCACAATGCTACTGATCCAGTTAGTATACTCCTACACTAAATATAATCTACAGGGAAAAGAACATTATGATGTAGACTAGGTTCCACCCTTACTTTACAAAGACCTTGCAGCTTCGGTCGATGTACATTTTTCCATTGCTAAAAATATAAAAATTTCCCGAAATTTTTGCAGGATACATTTAAGTAGAATAAATAGCGTGCCTGTACTATTAAGACAAGAAATGTATACTACACCGATCTGCTAACCTGTACAACAATATATAACTAGCTATAAATAAGGTGAGTTTTATAATATACCTGAGAAAACTATATTTACACATAATTCTATTAAATGGTAAGTTTGACTTGATATTTATGATATTTACAACTCATCAAATAATTGTTCTTTAACAACACAGCCCTGTTGGGATTGTGTGATTGACCTGGGCATATTGGATCCACATGTTGTTGAAATTTGCCCAATGTGAATTCCTATCCATGTGCTTCACTGCTCCATATGTATGCTGACGGTCTCTACAATATATCAGGTAATATTATATGTAATATATAAGTGACGTAACTACACGTATGCCAGGAACACTACAAGATCCACTCAAATTTAAAGAAAAAATCAAATCCTGGAGTTTTGAAAATTTCTATGAATATTTTAAATAAATCTTGTTTCTTTTACAACATTTGCGCATTTGAATTTGTTGTTGGATATAATTAAGGTCGTGAGATGGATGAATAGAGCTTCTGCATACAATGACGAAATGGCATAGTTACGACTCTCATGAATATTTTATAATATATCTATTTTCATCAAACAGATGTTCATACTCTATGGTATATTTATTTACATTCTTGTATTCACTGTTCTATGCAGCCAAGTCTGTTGTCAGCTTATCACTCGGGTTAGTGTTTTATATATGCTATCTCCCGTGCATCTTGTAGCCACATTTTAAGCAACCATTTGCTGTAATGCTACTGCAACATTATCTTAACATATATGAAATAATACTAGCTAATTGGCACCTTTGTCAAGTTTAACAATACCAACCGACAAAGCCTGGTATATATGTGCTGTAAAAACAGCAACAATTCTTCCTCCATCTGGTGCGCCCACAGTTTGGCTGGACTAGAAATATTGAGGCCTGGGCGTTTGCCCAATGTCAATTCATGGGTTCTGCTATACTGATATTGCATTATCGTAAGAGGTGTTGGTCAAGTCTTTAAAGGACTGGGGTTATCTTTGGTTGTATGGTTTACATGAAGCACATGTATACTAGACATCACATATATCAAACCAGGAGTCCAGTTCATACCACTTTCCAAGATAGACTATACCATTTACTATATGATGTCGTACAGCGAGGTTGTACATTGCGTTGATATAAACGTCCTCGCCATGAAAGAAAAACAAAATGCCTTTGACAAAGCAGTAATAAGCTGTATCCAGATTATTTGGTAGTGCCCTATGAGGTCCTTTATACACCTTACCACTATAGTGAAAATCACCCGCATAAGGGGGAAATTTTTCTGATATTAAACTCACACTGTCCACAGTGTAGAATTGAGGGATCCTTGGGTCTGCGTTCCAAACTGGGTCTGCTGTCCAAACCTGAAAATTTGAAAGGCATATTTTTGTATTTCATATTTATCACAATATAACAAACTTATAGGGTGTTTCCCATGTTTGGGATCATGTTGTTTGTTGTGGTTTTAAACACTTCATCGGTGATTTTATAAAAAACTTCATACTTTTTTCAAAGACATAAACAATGTTTAAATATTTTAATTAGCAGTAGAATTTTATAATGATTTTTAGTGACAGCACAAGTTGTCATAAATGTGTGTCAATCACACATTTCACACGTGGACGACTTCGTTTACACTAACAGTGTATTCTGTGTAACATCACACTTTATCTTTATGTAAGGCCACTGAAGGACCAGTACCTTATCTCCCTTGAAGAAATATATTTTCTGATCTCTGAAATCATAGTATGCAGTGTCCAGATTGTTTGGTAAGACCAGATTGGGATCAGAGGTGTTTGTATTGAATGCTTCATTAATCAGCCTGCCATCAGTCCCGGGATACACAGAATCAACTACATCAGAATAGATCCAGAATTTGTCTCCTAAAACAAAATAATGAACAGAGTCAGTTTTATATTTTTCTATATTGACTTGAGCATTTCATGGTACTGGGCCATAACAATCAATGAGGAGTTGAAATGGCGTTATTGGTATATTATGTATTACACAAATAAATAGAGGATATCCTATGATTTATGAGTGATATGATTTTTATCCACGAATGGATATGATATCTGCACGAGCGAGCGTAGCGAGAGAGTGCAGATATCAATATCCACGAGTGGATTAAAATCATATCACGAGTAAATCATAGGATGTTCTTTTTATTCCATAGTTAAAGTCATCATCAGAATCGTCGGAAATTAAGTTATTTCATTCGAATTTCCAAACGATCCGGCGATGTTGACACTTAGCTTCGTTTTGAGTCTGAAGTAGCAAAAATCCATTAACCATCGCATACGACGTCGTATGTCATGGCTAAAAAACCGTATGTTATGGTTAAGTGAACATTTGTCAAAAGTATCATATTTTACCACTGATTACAAAAGTACCGTTTTTATTTTCACATGTTATTATGTCACCACCAAAAGTGGTGACATATTGTTATGGTCTCCGTTTTTTTGCGACGGCGTCCGGCGGTTGGTGGTTGGAGGTTGGCGTCCGGCGTCTGTAACAATTTCTTACAGCTTCCTATAACTTAACAAATACTGTTTAGACTGACTTCAATTTTTTTCTAAATCATCTACATGTTCTCAGAAGTTCAAATCTGACTTTAGATTTGACATTTGACCTTCAATGACCTTCTCAAGGTCAAAAAGGTCTTTTTTCAACTTGCTTCACATTGACTAAATTTTTTTTCAAAATCATCTACATGTTCTCAGAAATTCAAATCTGACTTAAGATTTGACATTTGACCTTCAAATCTGACTAGATTTGACATTTGACCTTCAATGACCTTCTCAAGGTCAAAAAGGTCTGTTTTCAACTTGCTTCAAATTGACTAAATTTTTTTTTCAAAATCATCTACGTGTTCTCAGAAATTCAAATCTGACTTAAGATTTGACATTTGACCTTCAATGACCTTCTCAAGGTCAATAAAGGTCTAAAAGGTCTGTTTTCAACTTGCTTCAAATTGACTAAAAATTTTTTTCAAAATCATCTACGTGTTCTCAGAAATTCAAATCTGACTTTAGATTTGACTTAAGATTTGACATTTGACCTTCAATGACCTTCTCAAAGTCAAAAAAGGTCAAAAAGGTCTTTTTTCAACTTGCTTCAAATTGACTAAATTTTTTTTTCAAAATCATCTACATGTTCTCAGAAATTCAAATCTGACTTTAGATTTGACGTTTGACCTTCAATGACCTTCTCAATGTCAAAAAAGGTCAAAAAGGTATTTTTTCATCTTGCTTCAAATTGACTAAATTTTTTTTCAAAATCATCTACATGTTCTCAGAAATTCAAATATGACTTTAGATTTGACATTTGACCTTCAATGACCTTCTCAAGGTCAAAAAGGTCAAAAAGGTCTTTTTTTCAACTTGCTTCAAATTGACTAATTTTTTTTTTCAAAATCATCTACATGTTCTCAGAAATTCAAATCTGACTTTAGATTTGACATTTGACCTTTAATGACCTTCTCAAGGTCAAAAAAGGTCAAAGAGGTCTGTTTTCAACTTGCTTCAAATTGACTAAAAAAAATTTTCAAAATCATCTACGTGTTCTCAGAAATTCAAATCTGACTTTAGATTTGACTTAAGATTTGACATTTGACCTTCAATGACCTTCTCAAAGTCAAAAAAGGTCAAAAAGGTCTTTTTTCAACTTGCTTCAAATTGACTAAATTTTTTTTCAAAATCATCTACATGTTCTCAGAAATTCAAATATGACTTTAGATTTGACTTTAGATTTGACATTTGACCTTCAATGACCTTCTCAAGGTCAAAAAAGGTCAAAAAGGTCTTTTTCAACTTGCTTCAAATTGACTAATTTTTTTTTCAAAATCATCTACATGTTCTCAGAAATTCAAATCTGACTTTAGATTTGACATTTGACCTTTAATGACCTTCTCAAGGTCAAAAAAGGTCAAAAAGGTCTGTTTTCAACTTGCTCCAAATTCTTCAAATTTTTTTTTCAAAATCATCTACATCTTTTCAGAAGTTCAAATTTGACTTTACAAGTTCACAGAAATTCAAATCTGACTTAAGTTTGAACTCATAATATTGTGAGCAACTAGGTGGTGACATTTTGTCATGTTAATGCCTTGTCCTATGAATATCATGCTAACTATGGAATAATCAGCAATACAAGACGACAATATTACAAGAAAGTCAAGGTTTTAATTCAATATTTTAGGTGTACTTACCACCAAAGAACATCTTGACGTTACCAATACTTGACCATGCATGTACGTAAGCATCCAATTGGCTAGGCAGACCTTTCCAACTGTTACTTGTATACTTTGGATCACCATATCTTGTTCTGAAAACACCGTGGAAACATATGAAGTCCCAAATTTTGTGTTGATTTGTATTGTGGGTCGTACAAATGAAAGAGCCGTTAACTGACTGACAAGTATATATGGTTACCTAATATGTATCATATACCAGAAATTATGAATTTATTGGTACATTCACCATCTTCGTTGTAAAAACACAAATGTACAAATACAGCTTTCAATAGTCTACAGAAACATAGTATCAAACACATCTTATCATTTACAATGCTGCTTACCTATTCTCCTGGTTCTCATACATCCAGAAGTGGTCATTTCTGAAGAAGTATGTGTTGAAGACCCATTTCTTTTCATGATATTTAACATAGTCCATGATAAGATCAAACTTACCCCGACATACTCCTATAATAAAGAATACACCATTAAAGAACAAAGAGCATACATTGACCAGCTGATAAAAATACACATAAAGAACATTACAATACTGTAGTCCCCAACAACCTTACTGAAAACACACATTGTAGTAACATTGAAGTCAACTGTTCTTTGCTCACCAAAATACATTGCTTGGTACAATACTAGAGGTGACACAAAACAAATAGTTTTACAGCAGATTATCCCCCATCACACCAAATTTAAAATTATTTTATAAAATGCCCAAAATAAGACACGTGGTGGCGAACGAAGAGTCCACACAGCTAATGTAACAACCACTTACCATAGAGTTGTTGTATAGCTTGTCGATCGTGCCAAGGTAACTCGATGTTGTGTGTACCTTTGTAGACCGAATACATAACCGAATCGTATCGCGGCGTGTGTGCCAAACCAAGAACGTGCCCAATTTCATGGACAGCAACCGTAAGCAGATTGATGCCAACGTTATGGACGTCTTCTTGGATATAGTTCTCATCATCATCGAAATGAATGTGACCCTTTTGATTCGAGTCCCGCCATGAATGGGCCATCTCGCTCCCCATACCGTCAAATTGACGCTTACAGCTTAAATGCCAGCCTGAAATACAAATTAATAAATCTATTTTTTGCATATTATCTTTCCATACATGATTTTGATTGGTACGATTTATTATACTAAGTAAGAGCATTTTAAAGCAAAATAATTTCACAAAATATTCGATAACACAAAAAAATTAAATGTTTATATTTTCTAAGAGCAGTTGCAAAAAAAATTCTTTAATACTTTCACTATTATGTGCAAAAATGTAAAAAAGATGTTAAGTTTTGGAACAGTCTTACGGCTTAAATGCCAGCCTGAAATACAAATTAATGAATATATTTTTTGCATTTTATCTTTCTATACATGATTTTGATTGGTACGTTTTATTATACTAAGTAAGAGCATTTTAAAGCAAAATATTTTCACAAAATATTCGACAACACTGAAAATTAAAATTTTTATATTACAATTTTTTCTTCAATAGTTTCACTACTGTACTATGTTTTCCTCGTTATATTTTCTTCTTCTCCAGTATATAATGTGCAAAAATGTTGAGTACCGTAATTTAGAGTATGCCTTTAGTATTCGATATTTAGGATTGGTTTACGAGAGTCCTGGATGAATTGCTAACTCTACGTTTTACAACATGCAAGCGAGCTGATCAATCGGTGTACTTCAAGATTTATTGATATGTATCTTTGTTTAATGGGCTAAGTTTTGTTATTTTTTCTCAGTTCTCGTCTGAGTTGACATTTGACAAAATCCAGACCTGTGTAGTGTACAATGTACCATCCGCCTTATGACGCAAATTATAATCACGATACGAAGTTTGGATCACAACATTAATATATATGTTTTACAACTCCTTTCCATAACATTTAACTGCTTTAACGATTCAATGCGTTACTTATCGGTGTATCAATTTGTTTTTTATATTATTAATGGTGATTCTTCGTGGCTTTATTTTTTCTTAACTTTAATTGAAATGTGGCACTGCGTTGCTTTTATACGTGTTGGGTGGGAGTCGCATACCGTACGAGAGACGTGATCATATAAATAACACCCAGATACCTTTGAGTGTATGGCAAGTAGAAGTTGTCGTACCATTTAACATTTCCCAAAGATGCTATAGAAAGATATGACGGTGTAATACAAGAAAGACATTAATCCATGTTGCGCTTACTAAAACACCGTTTTACGAGGCTGAACCAAAAATCAAGTGTCTAATTAGACAAGGGTGGGAACGATATGGACCACTGCCCTTACACGCCATTTAGCAAACGTTCATAGAGGAGAATCAAATTAAGATATCACTTCTTTCAAACCAAGGTTGAAATGTGACATATTTTCTCATTAAATCTCCTTGAACAAGTTAGCTTTCACTAAATACACCTTTTTGTGTTCCAATTTACTTTAAAACTTTGTGTTAAATTCACCATTACAAATAATTTATTCTAATGTAGCAAATAGCCCGCCTTTAATTCAACGCAAAACGGTATGGGGCTAACATTCTCTCTTTTTTCAAAATCGAATAAGGCTACAGCTCAATTGGCAAAAGTTTGATCTTGTTCTTAAAAAGCGAGCTTCACGTCTTATTTGGCACTAATTATTTCACTTAAAATCTAAATCGCATAAAATACATGGAAAAGTCGTACGTTACTTTGTTACGTATAACTTATCTACAATTGGCATATCTGAACCAGAATCCAATGTTAGCTTTCACTAAATACACTTTTTGTTTTTCAATTACTTTAAAACCATGTGCTTAAGAATCCAATGTCCCCGCATCTTGCAACAAGAACTCGTCGTTGCCCTGGTGATTTATTGCTGACGTCATGCCAACGCAAACGTTGATATTTACCATATCATTCGAGCATTGAATTTTTTGTCTAAACGCATACATTCACTTACTCGTTTTCTATACCATTTTATGATGAAAAGATGAAAATAACTTTCTCAAAGCGGAGCTTTGCATTTAAGAAAATTCAAATCAAAACAAAGCAAAGGTAGAAATTATAGAACTTGATTTCTGATATTCAATTCAGAAACTATTCAATAAAAAAACTATTGTAAAATTGAACAGTTGTGTACACATTGCTACATCAGTTCCACCCACAAACATAAACTTTTAAACAAATCAGAAGCAACAATGTGTAACTGTAAAATGTATAACATCGTCAAGTATCTTCTTCTGATGTTAAAATGTTAAGCACCCCGTAGGTAAATATTTATTCATCAGCAAAAGTTAAGTGTATAGTCATTTGACGTGTGATGAAAAAAATGCCATGGGTTGCCCGTGATATGTGTTTAGGTCATAGGGGACGAGTGAAGTGGATCTTAAAGGAATAAGATCCGTTCGTGTTTGAGGTCGTTGGGAGTTAAATGATTCAATAATCCTCTGGAATGTTTGCTCAATACTAGTCACATTTCTACAGACAAATTCCAACTAAATTTCAAGTCGCTTGTCGTATTTTTAAGATGTTTGTCTACAAATCAATACATCTTTATACTCCTGACCGAGAGGAATTCTTTGATAAACACGTAAAGAAATCATTGTAATGTAACACTGCCAGTAATATAGAAATATCCTTACCTGTTCCAAAAGCAATTTGGATGTCAACTTGTTTAATATCGCTGTGGTCGTCTTGGAAGAAATTCAGAGGAATTACCTCACTCCAACGTCTGAATGCATCTTTCATGATCATTTCTTGTAGGTCGTTTGGTATCCGTCTGCTATATCTATTCTTTAGTATCCTCCATGTGATTTCAGTTTTGTTGAATACCATTGTGTTGTTAAAGATGTCATCCTCTGTTGATCCAGATGATGCCGATTTTACTATAGATCGCTTATGCCGCCTCTTTCTCCCAAGAGTATGCTTATGTTTGCCCATTAATCGTTCCTTCCAATGCACGTCCCTCTTGCGTCGCGGATTATTCACAATGCTGGACTCGTAATGTTCGTGGCGTCTCCTATCAGCCGCTGAGAAGGGGTAGCTGTGACTAGTAGAAATAATGTCCACAATAGATCGGCGTTTTCTCCGTCCTGTTGTAGGTGCTTGCGTAGGGGCCTCTGTTGTAGTTGCGGCAAATGTATCCGGACTCAATGCGAGATCGTCGGGTGGAATTTCGTCCAATGGAGTATCATTAAAAAAATCTGGGTTGCCACATCGTAGCAAGTTCATCCGTCTCTTGGTTTCTTCATCCAATACTTTAGTAGGTGCGAGTTTCTGGTACTCCTGGTAGCGTTTCAGAGACTCCTCAAAGGATAAGCACTCCTTTCCTTCATCGCTATCAGTCCTGCCCTGTCCCTCTCCGATGACAATGGGTAGCGATAGATCTCGTCTACGTCTTCTCTTTGTTCCATCTGGTTTACAATTCCTGTATCCCCACTTTTCCAACAATGCCTGCAATAATAAAATCGAAATTAAAAATGATTCGACCTTTAAATGATGTGGCAAACCTATTGACAATTAAAAGGCGGTTTATTCAATTAAATCGCAGTTAATAAATAAAACAGATAAAATAATATTGTCGCAAAGAGTAGTATAAGACTCAAACTCAAGTAACCATATTTACAATAACATGCAGAAAGGGTTGTAAATCTGAAAATAAACTAAATTGATATAAGTTCTGTTGTGACTCTACTATTGTATTTTTTTATACTAATTGTTATACCATTGTAATATAATGAATTTTTTAACATGAAATCCGACCTGATCGGCAATGAAAGATACATAAACAAGCTGACAAAGATCAGTCATGCACCGGTTTCATAACTTTAAGGTTTTGAGGGACGTTCGTTTTCTTGACATCTCCCCTTGTCAAATATTTATAATTTATATCTGGTAAATATTGTCGTATATCTCAAAGTAATATTTTTGTTAGTTTTATTTTGGATCAATAACTTTAAAGGCACACGATCCCCTTTCAATAGTCGCTAAATCCCTGTGTGATTGTTATGCTTTTTGTACCCCTAGATTACTGTTCGAGCCTTTGGCATTCCATCGCGTAGTACTGCTAACCCTAAATATTGCAAACTAAACACGCCTACGTTTGATAGAAAAGTAAAATATTTTATCATTGAACGATCGCTTCTCTACCAGGGATCGGAAACTTGGAAAACCTGTCACGTTGTTATTTTATCATCATTGTCAACTTAAAAACGGTTAATTGCAGAAACCATAAAAGTCCCAATCCCGTCTATTATGTCATGTATGACATCTACATCAAAATAACATACTAGTAATATTTCGAAATGGAAAAGAGGATTTAACAAAATTCGTATTATTTTATTTTTTATCCATTTTGAGCAACGTTTCACGGTTGACATATGCATGCCATGGTTTTCATATGGTGTAATTTGTGGATAAATACGCTATTAGGTTGGTATAATGTTTTTAATGCAACAAATGATATTCTAAAACGTTTTGAAGGTAATGGTAGTTTGAGTCAATTCCCCGTTCATTCAGTTTAATTTCTACATGTCGTGTTAATTAAAGGAAAATCAAATTATTCAGTTTTGAAATAGTGAAAACATTTTGAATCCTTTGAATTTGTATTGTTATTATTACTTTCTACAGGGTGTGCCTATGTATATGACAAGGTTAACATGGTCTCTATTCAGAAGGGAGGTGCAACATTGGCCCCGACCCTGATCTTGAGAGCTAAACAAATACAATGTCGATGATATGGCACCTCGCACAGCTGATCGAAACGAGATCTTGGCAATCGTTTTGAAGATTTATTGTAAATGAGCCACAAGTACTTCAGTAAACAATTTGTTTTAAAATATCGAATAAAATTTTTTTTTAGCTAACATTCCTTGATTGCGTGAACATTTTTTGTGACTCATCAATGTTTGTAAATAGCCGTTATACTCAAGACGTCTAATTGCTTTAACTGTGAAATTATGCAAAAAAACAATGCGTTAACATGCAAAATGTCACCACCTGCCATTTATTACAGACGCCGAACGATAGACACCAGTCACCGTCTAAATGATGATGGCGTAAAAATGCATGTGATGCAAAGCTACCAGTAGTTCGTCCTCTAAATTTTGGAAGTTATAAGCAGTCAACCGCAGTAAAAATATATTGTCTTTATTATCGAGAAACCAAAAGGGTGTGGCTATTTGCACGCTTATTTGCATACTTAAGTATCGATACTGGTTGTTGTTGTCATTCTCCAAAATCGAAAAGTGCATGTTCATTGTTGACAAGTCATTTTGACTACATATTTTTCAAATGTTAATATTTTGATATATTTGTATTTGTACAAATAGGTGCATTGTGTTTTCTAAACGGTTCAAAAAGTATTCTTAAACAATCGGATTTTCTGCATTCGTGAATAGAAGCGTCTGTGTCAACACGTTTCCATGTTTTTCCACTTTTTATTGAGCTCAAAGTTTCATTTATTTGCACCCATGCACAACGACATCCTAATGTAACATTTCGACTATAGGATTACCGTGAAATATCGTACAGAGCGTTACCGTTATATCAAATGTTACGCTGCTTTAAAACAAATGATTTCTTAATAAAAATAGTTGTAGGTTTCTTTGCTGACAAAACGACACGGTAACTTGGTTTGGTGCTCTGTAATTTTTAATTATTTAAATATATCAAAGAAGGTGTAAAATAGTTATGATTAAGTATATTCATTTGATTTTAATGAATACTGAATGAATGGATATCCCGTCGTTAAAATTGCAATGAACCGACCATTCCCATTGGATAACATAGGGCATTCCGTGTCGATACGTCATTAACATGGCAAAACCAGTTCGCATATTTGACTGTTAACGAAAAAACGCTAATATGTATCTGGTATACTAATATTATTTTTGGTTACTTTCATCTATTTTATTAAAGTGTCACCTATTTTACTTAAATAACCAGCCTTATCCGGGCATACAAGACATATGAAACTATTAATTAATTTTATGCGGTATACGTTTTTTTTGTAATGTTATATGTACAATTTAAATAGTTATAAAACTAGCTTTATGCTTTGAAATATGATTCAATGCGTCAAAAAGTCTTTCAGTTTAACAAACCTTACATTCAAATCATATGAAATGTGTTTTTTTATCTTCAACCTTCTACGAACTGGAAAAATGGCACAATCTTTCTTGAACTGATACTTTCCTTGGCTGCTTATACCAACCGATCGATGTTGCTAGGTGGAGAATACCACGCGTTCATTGTGCTATCTAATTCATTCATATTTTGTAAAATTCAGATTTGTCCTTTTAAACGTTGCATTAAAATTCCCGTTTTCTGACTACACTAGAAGGCAAAGGTTAAGTTTAAGCATAAAATATAAGTTATCATTTATCTATTTATGTTGCTTTTCATTCCGCTTTCTAACGATACATAAATCAATGAGGGTTGCATGATAAGTGAACGGGAATATGTGGTAAGTTTATTGATGATTTCGTTCAATGAATATTAACTTCATCAAAGCCAGGTATTTTAACTGTGTTCAAGTGGGTGTGTATGTACCTAACCTGTATGCAAGCTACAATAACCTTGGACGATACAAGGTAGACCAACATCCCAAATGCATTGAAATAATTCATGAAACATTCAAGTTTAATTGGAAAAATTATATAATTTTGCGCGTAAATAGCTGATAATGACGTGTATGGTCAATAAGCCTTCTTCGAATTAATTTGGATTAGATCTAATTTGGCCGTAATGTAACAGACGTTGATTTAATAATCAGTAATGTCACACACCTATGTTAGTCAACTCTAATATGAACTCATGGTATAGAGTTGTTCTTCAGTAGTTATAAAATGGATTGCAGTTATAACATAGATTGCACATTCATCACCTAAAGACACACGGATCACGTTCCCCTAATATTGTGTACAAATTTATATGAATGAATATTGTTTATTTTTTTATACTTTAATAGAGGTTGCAAGGTGGCAATAACAGTAAAGTGCCCTATACTTACCAATGCAGTATTCTTGTCTTCTACGACTGGTGCCCTTGGTGCAGCTATTTCAACGTCACTATGATCTCTCCGGGTGTAGAACGCCTCACCATAAACAGCCACCGCCAACTCACATAGCAACACAATAAGCAGGCAATATCGACTGCAGGAACCTCTGGCTGTATCCATACTTTGAAAATATTTCGTATATCAGTTTCTGAAGTTTTTACACTTTATAAGTGCTTTGGCGTCTATCCTAATTGTTGCGAGTATTATTAGTAATCACTATAAAATGTTATCTCTTTATCATAACTCAGTGTTCTTTCACTTTAGATTATTCTGGCGTTTCTCCGATTACCTTTATCTTCTTCAAAAGTTCTTCTGTCTTTAATATCTACGACAACGGTGATGATCCCGTCCTGGTCAAAATAAAAAACAAAAGCCAACGTCACTAAATACTAAAACAATAGTAAAATCAAGCGTGTCAAGAACGCTATCGTTGTTGATAAGCCAAGTTATAGTATTTTATAACTTGTTGTCAAAGTTTGTTGTTTTAGTGTATCCGTGATCGTATTTACTACGGTCATTGGTCAGGTGCGACTCAGCTCCCCATCCGTCGTCTTCTACTCCCTATTCCCCTATAATGTCAAACGCAAATCATTAAAGGATTTAAACACACTCCGCGGGCCGGTCCATTATTGGATCACAGGGGCCCCAGCCTGTAGCCCAAAACAACCCTAGTAAGAAAAGAAAGGATTAATTAATTGTAATGTTCTCAATTAGTGTTGTCAATAGAGTTATAGCATGAAAATGTACTGGTTAACCGAGGTTGGAATAATTATATGTAGGGTCAGATAATAACCAAAAATGTCACCATGACCTATGGGAATACTCTACTCTACCTTTAACTGTTTGCACCTTTTTAAGATGTTTTTTTAAACAGACACTTTTAAAACTGCGCTGAAACTAAAGCCAATACCGACTTTGTAAAAATGAGTAAATTAAGTATAAACACATACAAACATTCCATTTAGCGTTTTAATGGAATTTGAAAAGAGTTTTATTTTGAGATTTTGTACTCCACCCAATATCGAAGTAGAGATTTGCTTTAATAAATGTAACAAATTGACACGTTGATCATGTATATCTATGTTAATAACATAATTATTGGCAAATCCATGACATTTTCAGTATGCACTTATCAGGCTTGGATTCTCTACGATGTGACCAAACGATTCCACAAGAGCAACACGAGGTGAGGTTGCCAAATATGACAAGATTATAAGAATCATGCAAGGAGAATGTAAGGGAAGGTTTACACAAGTTGTTTAGTCTGTCGTTGGTATCTAATAATGGCCAAGCTTTTCGGCCGTAAATCAACAAGATGACATGCTTAGAGTGTTTGGGAAGACATAAGACGTGCGAATAGCATCCGATGTACTGAGAAATACGGTAAATGATTAAAAACGAACAAGTCTGTGCTATTGAAGGTGGCAAAACTTGAGAAAAAAGTTAAGAAATAAGCAACCAATGCGTTCTAATTAGACACCATCTCTAAAGATGCATAATATGTTGGCGAAAGGTGTAGTCAAGAATGATGAATTTGCAAAATTGATAAATGTTTCTATGCATTATAGAAAAAACACCAACACTTTCTCTGAGGCATTGCATGAAGTTTTTACAAAAAAGATACGCCAAGAAAAGTCAAAATCAAAACATTTTTTGAGAAACTACGATGACAATAAGTCCAAAAAAGATTACTGACCGATTGCAATAAGTGAAATGTCATTTCAGGTCACTGTAAAAACAAAGCGCTTGTGCAGTGCCGTGGGCAAGGTAAGTCCGAGACATGTAATTATGTTCCTGGTTAAGGATAACATGAAGCCCATATTCTACACACCTGGCTCCATCCAACTTCAGATCCAACCCCGCACTTCTATAATCAATCGCAAATAGATGTACCTAACAATTAGTAGATTTGTACAATCACAGCACTGCAACCTAAAATGATACAAAGAGCCCATAGTGAAAATGTTGCAGCGCTGAACATGCCAAAATTCTTATCAGCATCTCAACTATGAAGCAAGCACTTGTAATGGATATCACACATTTTCCAGTGTCTCAGTCATATTGAGCAACAAATACTTGTGCCTCAGTCATGTTGTGCAACAAACAGTTGTGCTTCAGTCATGTTGTGCAACAAACAGTTGTGCATCAGTCATATTGTGCAATAAACAGTTGTGCCTCAGTCATATTGTGCAACAAACACTTGTGCCTCAGTCATGTTGTGCAACAAACACTTGTGCCTCAGTCATGTTGTGCAACAAACAGTTGTGCCTCAGTCATATTGTGCAACAAACAGTTGTGCCTCAGTCATGTTGTGCAACAAACACTTGTGCCTCAGTCATATTGTGCAACAAACACTTGTGCCTCAGTCATATTGTGCAACAAACACTTGTGCCTCAGTCATGTTGTGCAACAAACACTTGTGCCTCAGTCATATTGTGCAACAAACACTTGTGCCTCAGTCATATTGTGCAACAAACACTTGTGCCTCAGTCATGTTGTGCAACAAACAGTTGTGCCCCAGTCATATTGTGCAATAAACAGTTGTGCCTCAGTCATGTTGTGCAACAAACAGTTGTGCCTCAGTCATTTTGTGCAACAAACAGTTGTACCTCAGTCATGTTGTGCAACAAACAGTCGTACCTCAGTCATATTGTGCAACAAACACTTGTGCCTCAGTCATATTGTGCAACAAACACTTGTGCCTCAGTCATATTGTGCAACAAACACTTGTGCCTCAGTCATGTTGTGCAACAAACAGTTGTGCCCCAGTCATATTGTGCAATAAACAGTTGTGCCTCAGTCATGTTGTGCAACAAACAGTTGTGCCTCAGTCATGTTGTGCAACAAACAGTCGTACCTCAGTCATATTGTGCAACAAACAGTTGTGCCTCAGTCATATTGTGCAACAAACAGTTGTGCCTCAGTCATATTGTGCAACAAACAGTTGTGCCTCAGTCAGATTGTGCAACAAACAGTTGTGCCTCAGTCATTTTGTGCAACAAACAGTTGTGCCTCAGTCATGTTGTGCAACAAACAGTTGTGCCTCAGTCATTTTGTGCAACAAACAGTTGTACCTCAGTCATGTTGTGCAACAAACAGTCGTACCTCAGTCATATTGTGCAACAAACACTTGTGCCTCAGTCATATTGTGCAACAAACAGTTGTGCCTCAGTCATATTGTGCAACAAACAGTTGTGCCTCAGTCATGTTGTGCAACAAACAGTTATGTCTCAATCATATGTACAACAAAAAATAACTAAAATAACATTTCCCCACGGGCATAAGGCTGTAAACATTCAAAATAAAATAGATTATGCATACCCATGGTAAAGTGTAGCGTATCAAATATGGTATGTCATGAATTAAACGTAGCAGTTCTGGGAGTGCCTTTCTTGATTTTAAATTAGATTTTAATTTTACTTGTGTGGTTTCTATTTCATCCAAAAAGAGCTGAATCAATTTCATTGCATTAACGTGTATTCAAAATTGAAATATCAAATCATTAAGGAATGTCTTTATCACAGTGTCAGAATTGATAGTTTTTAAGTTGAAATATCACCTAGAATAACATAAGTGAAATCATAAACATGATCTTGTTTGACGCATCCTATTAAGGAGTGTGGTCGTTTAGCGTAAAATAAACAGCACCACCCGAAGAGGGCACGCCGTGCTGCAGTCGAGGAGCAAATACCATTGAACACGACCCGAGGGGAGAATTGTCCACATTTTTACATTATTATTAAAACAAATCATATAATGCCAATTAAAAAAACTTGAAATCAAATATACAGTTGGTCCGAAACTATGACAAATCGAATTTAAAATCATCAAATCAAATCAACTTTAAAAATGCAATTTTGACGACAGCTGCATGGACGTGCACTAGCATCTAAACTGACCGCAAATATATGCTATTATGTAACGTAACGACCGCTATTAAGTAGCTGATATCGGAATTTAGTTTTCCAAAGTTAATAATCTGAAATTTAACAGAAGAATCTATCTTAAAAATATCTATTAGATTGGAACATGAGACCCCTGGCGTGTGGTTTCCACAACTGCTCGGCTTGATACATAGCGAACGATTTATCACAATCTTATGTGTTTACGATGCTCTTTTTATTCAATATGATTTTGTTTTCGATTTTACGGATGTTATACATGGTATGCCTTAGCAGCAATGATTCGCCCTTGAATAACATTCATTCAATAGAAATTTTATTTTTGTATAAATTTATAAAAATTAGTTGGGTGGAATGTATCGTTGATAAATAGCATAGACAGAAATGTCATATATGGTTCAAATTATGGCGTATAAAAAGTCATCCAATTAAAACAATATTTATTTTCTTCAAGCTTTTCTCAGATAATGTAAAAGTCGCTAACACTATACATTTGTTATCCTGCCCAGAGTATAGTTATCAACTACCGAAGAAGCTCTCTTTTAAGAAGCGAAGTCGAACGAAAGGGTGCACGTCGCAATGCTCTCAAGTAGCTTGAACAAACGTGTGTTTTAATGTCGTTGGAATGTTGATTGAGTTTTTGGAATGAGTCTTCACTTTTAACCAATAAAAAGTGACGTTAACACGAAGGTTGTGGCAAGTTTCGTGAATGTGTTATTCAATCAAATATGGCTGTAGCTGTCACATTACTGCGTGAAATCTACCTGTTAATTTACCTGTTAATGACACAGCTTCCCTCAGATTGGATTCTCTCAGGTAAAATCGATGTAAAATCCGATATAATTAAACCAACTGTAGTCCCCGTGTCTCAAATGAATATCCATTTCGTAAATAATACGCAAAGACGTTCGTAAAAGAGTTAAACTGGCGTTGATGGACCAAATATTCTTTACATTATAACCTTGAAGATTTCAACAAGATTTCTAAACTCTGCTCTAAAGTTGACGACGTAACTCAAGCTGGTTCTGTGTGCATTCCTGGGATAAGAACAATTTCAAATATTGAAATAGGTGGGAAATGTTGAGGAGGGACAAGTGACCAGTAAATTGTTGGTGCAAATACACGTCAACTACTGGGAAAATCACTGAGAACGTTTGTCATACATTACTATCTGACATAGTGACATTTCCCTTCGAGTGAGATAAATTGGAATAAACATTCCCATTTAACCGATTGAGCTAAGTTTTTAAGTTTACATTGATATGTATACTGATCGATCTTAAACTAACCTTGTAAATATAATGGCTTATAAAATAGTTGCACGCATCTTTATAATAAATATTAGTTTCATTCATACGAATTTAACCCAAAATTAGTCCAAGGTCCGTATTTCGAATGCTGAAAATGAAATTATGATGTTGCTTTTTATTAGTTACTAATGAACGTCCCGTAGAGCTAAAACGGTCCCTAATCTGAGTCGGATTCTTGTTCTTTCAAAAGATTACCCATTTATGGCCTTTCATTTGGTATTTGAGGGATAGAAGATGCTAATGGGCGGCAGACTTTGTACATATCCAGACAATGGGGAAGATTATGAGCCTGATCACTTTTTAATGCGACTAATGACCGAGACACACGACCGGGGTTAAGTCAGGGTCATCATTTACAAATTATCCACCAGGTGACCTGAAACTTATGTCAACTCACAAAATATAGCTCCTAAACATATTGCCCAAAATAAATGAAACGACAATGTAGAAATGGTTGGTAACTCATTTTGCCTGAGTTTCATCAGTAAAACTAAAATCAGTTCATTCAATTAATATTTGCCAAGAACCGCAACAGTAAAATGTTGACACTCGTATATGTTAGATATTCACACATCGGATAAAGAACGGGGAAATTTAGTTGTTTGGATTAGCCTTTCCTTAATTCCACTACATTTGCAATAGAGTTATTCTTGGCCATTGAAAAGGGAGGAAATGTCGAGCAACCATAAAGGTGATCAGAACATGGATCAAGTCTCACACTGTTTATTTAGTCTACGTATTTTCAAAGGAATTCACTTGGGTTTCCACTTTTGGAGAAAAAAGGACTCGATTGTAAGGATATACAGAGTGAGCCAAAAATGTTCATATTCTTCATTTTGATAAAACTTTATAAATGTTCAAGAAATTTTCGTCTAAGATGCAAGAGGCGATTATGCAACGGGTTCCCAAAAAATTATTTTCCAATTGTATCTGGATTAGAAAGGTCACCAGGCCCGAATTATGTAAAGGCAATTATCAAATAGCACGGTAGTGATATTCTATGGAACAATTCATGTGATATAAGATCTTCAAATGTATTATAATGTAAACATAATATATTTTGATACACAACTTTCTTTGTATTCAGCTTCTACTAAAAAAGTTTCTCGAGAGTTGTAACAATTCGATTTCTGAATAACATGTATGCCCTCTTAAAATGGTTTCTAGTATCATTTATGGAAACCTGAACGATATGCAGTATAGCAAAACCTGTCTTATCTGAACGCCACTCAAAAGTGCTCGATGTTCACATTTTCATTTTTTAATATGAATGTATATGGCAGATCAAATAAGTCATTGTTATGCAAAGTGTCCCAACTTGTCATTTGTTACAGACGCTGAACGCCGAACACCAACCGCCGAACATCGGCCATAAAAAAAGTTGGAGACCATAACAATATGTCTCTCACAAATTTGTGGTGGTGACATAAAAATGGGACTGTAAAAAGGCGTTCAAGGTATTCACATTGGAGAGGTGTTCGAATATGTAGGTTTTACTGAAATCGGATATATGATCTCGTCGATAGATGCATCCAAGGCGAAACCCCTGAAAATTTGATTCAACAATACAACAGTACCCGAATCTAAAATAAAATCACATCTGTTGTTACTTCTCGCCATCTATAATAAAAGAAATAACTAAATCCTGTATAAAGTTTTAACATCTTCCAACAAATGAAAGACGATGTTAAATATACACGCACAAGTATACCTGTATACTTATTAATTGTATTACATTGGGTTTAAACACAGCAAGATACTCGATGGCTCGTCATGAGCAACTTATCGCAGCTGCGAGCCAAATAAAAACAACTATTAAAACTGAGTTGAACTTGAACATTTGAAATGTGAACTTGAAAAGTGTAATGAAAATAAAAATGAAAATAAAAAAATAGCAAGTCCAACACTGATTATTTCTTGTTCACTTTAGGTCAACCATAATATGTTTGCGCGTTACTCTTTCATCAAATCCAATGATCAGTTGACTATACGAAAAACCAAAATCAGTGTTTATTATAATCTTTTGAGAACTGAATACTAATGACATGTGATGTAGACAGTAAAGTAACTTGAAATCGATTTTAAAATAGGAGAAAGTACTTACTTTTAATGCTGTTTTCTTAGTTTTAGCTCTGCTAATTTTGAAGTTTTTAATAATCCGATTTTCGCTGTTAATCCTCGACAGATTATTTAAGTGTCTGGATTTTCGTTTGAACCTGGAAAGAAAAAGAATATTTTTTTAATAAGATGGCATTGAAATCGTATTAGTCAAGTTCATTGAGCAAACGTTATTTTGTTACTATTATATTGTAAATTGTATTACTTTATAATAAATAAAATAAATAAATTTAACATTATTTGATGTGATATAAAATGACAATAATTCACCCTAACCGTGTAGTATTTTTGATGTGCAGTTATAAATCAATAGACTAATCGTACATGTATATTTATCCTCTTATAGTGTTACTTTACGGCGATCGCAACGTTCGGAATGAGAATTATTTCTTGTGGATTCAAATGCCAATTGTCTCAGTGCAATTAAAGAATCCGAACATTCTAAATTATCTCTGGTTCTTCATATTTAATAGCGGAGTGGAGCTTGGCAACGCAAGTACTTACTGTGAAAAACGTTCATTGCACAATATGTGTATTTCCGTAACAACATGTGTAGTATTACTATCTAGTAACTTTCATATTGATAGGGCTAAATAAATTAATCAAACACTGACACATTTTTTAAGATTATTATCTGGTGACATCTAATAGACTGATTGACAAATACTGCCCGTGGGTAAGAAGCTATCTACCAGTGGTCACATGTTCTAAAATATTATCCACTCATAATTTTTACTCGAGTGTGAATTCCACGCTGGAACGGTAAGCCCAATTGGCTTTTATTATATCAATTAAAATAACATTAGAACAATAGATGGCCCACACCTGACAATACGTTACAGTGTTTTCCATTTGAAGCTACGCCCATGCATTGTCTTAGTGTTGACTTTTATTGTCCAGTGGAACATTTAATAGATTTTAGACAGTAGCATTGAGATAAACATTCCTCTTAGATTTTCATGCATTAAGGGGTTCTCTCTTAAATGGACGATGTAGTGCGGATTATGTGAATTTTATCCACTTTAATATCATGCATCGTTTTAGTCAAAGTTCATTTACATTTAATCGTTTCATCCAAACATGTTTTTGAAATCTTTGAGATTTTTCCACAGCTAGCAATTTTTGACCAAGAATATAGTCTTTATAAGCTATATAAAAAATTCTAGTACATTTGGATTATTTGCAATATTTTCAAAGAAAATCGAGTAAGAATGTTAGCGTGCACATGCAACCCCACCTTAAATATAAGCACTTATCATTTCACGAAGTAAACCCACGTATCGTTCACTTATATCACTTTCAATGAAATAATTATTATATCTTATCAACGTAGACTCATATCACTTTCAAAGTAAATAGAAAACCAGTCATTTTATCAATTTTAACTCATACTTTGACAAAACAACTACCTCCTGCTTAGACGATCGCTATCACTGCAATACTCGCAAAGGCAATTCTAGAATTACGTCATACGTCATACATTGCGTCATACGCTATCACTGCAATACGCTCAAAGACAATTCGTCATACATGTCATAGACTTATCATATGCGTAAAGTGCAACCGAAACTTAGTCGTGACTTATCATCTATCTATCCGCATTCTGATTTATCAGAGTCTCTCTTTATCTAAAGCTTGTGAGATCGCTCTTACCCAAGGGATAGTAGATCCAACAAAGATCTGTCTCTATTATTCTATACGTTATATATATATGCAGTAGTTATTATGAAAAGATCTTATACGTTATATATCTGTACGCAGTAGTTTTTATGAAAAGATCTTACCTCTCAACTCTTGTCGAGTTACAAACATTCAGTGGACTATATTATTTTTGGGGCAGCATTTTATAGCAATTCTATCGGATGTGCTCACCAATTTAACTGGCTTAAATCTATTTCTATTTGACTTTTTCCAAAAATAATTCTTGGACAATGGTATAATGATAGTAGGGAAATGGTTCATCACCAACAGGACATAAAATCAGGCTTAAAATCATTTGTTTTGAACAAACCTGTGGGGCACGGATTGATGCAGAAGAAAAACTGATAAAAATAACTTTGATGGGCAATAAGCGTCACCATAGATCACAAAATCAAAAAGTTAAATGAATGTTATTGTTTACAAATAAGGAAACCACAGATACTCACTAAAAACATCTGCTTTAAAATCATTTCTAGGTGTTTTATTCATATCAAATGCATAACTTTGTGGTTTTCTAAATAATTAATTCAAATTGTTCATTCTAAATTGACTGTAAAATAAGGAAATCATTTGTTGTGTCTCATACTTGAAGTTGGCATTGACACAACTCATCGACCCTCAAAACTAACACAGGTGCTTGACTCTGTACACTGAAACAGCTCATTGACCCTACGAGCTGACACAGCTCATTGACGCTACATACTGACACAGCTCATTGACACTACATACTAGCTCATTAACCCTACACACTGACACAACTCATTGACACACTGACACAGCTCATTGACCCTACACAATGACAAAGCTCATTAACCCTACACATTGACAGAGCTCATTGACACTACACACTAACACAGCTCATTGACCCTACACAATGATACAGCTCATTTGCCATACGCACTGATACAGATCATTGGCCCTATACACGGACACAACTCATTCACCCTACACATTGATGCAGTTCATGATCACAGAGGGGTTAGTATCATCAAGCTAGCTTTTCCCAAAATATCGTGTGCAAGCAAACGATGATACCGTGAGCATATCTCGGTATCCCGGCCCCCTAATCCCTTGGATTAATACCCGTCGGAGAGAAGCATATAAAAATAATAACAATATAGCTTAAAAAGGTGCATAACCCACTCACCTCGATGAAGTTCCAACTTGGCATGCCTATTAGCAATACTTCAATCTAAAGAAAGGTAATTATTACCCTTATTAAATATTGCATGCTAACATTGAACCTCTTAAATCGACAAAACTGGTGGGATATCTCACTTTCGATGCCATTATAGCAACAACAAAATCACACTATACACGATTATTATAGCATTTATCGTAGGGCGTAGCGTTGTATTTTCTGGGAACTGACATTTGAAATTATTTGAGGGTACACTAGGGGATATTATGGGCCGCCACAATCACACTGGCAACTTTAAATCATATAATTATAATATCTATATTTTCAATGATTATACAGTTATGGATAATTGAAATAATTATCTATATGGGATAATTGTACATGTTATACTTCATATCTCAGTTATATTATATAATTTATACCACACACATTCAGGTACAAACCTAGCTCGCGGTTCATTTCGGTTTTTATCGCTGTCGTTAGTTTTTCCGATACATTTTGGACATTATACATCCCTAAAGCTCCGAATGTATTTGAGCGTCCAATGACTATATGGCCCCGTTTACAGTGTAGACTAGATATTTCTTATCTAAAACTTAAACCTATGCTGATGGTGTCTTCGTAGTCTTTTGTATCACACTTTCCAAAAGTTCGATTTGAATAATTACTAGGCTCCTAAGTCTTGTGCTAATTAATTCGAATACTGAAATGTTACAAATAATTTATCCTCTTCCTGTTCCGATCAAATCCAGATTTCTACATATATAGATAGAAAAAAGGCCTGACTCAAATTATGTTATATTGAAAGTGTACACTTGAAAATGTATAGAACTAGGTTAATTTTAGGATGACTTCATAAATATCTATTCAATGTTGTTTATTTCACAGCCCAATCCTTTTCAAATCATGAAATATCTTTATCATGTTTATTGGTGTGCTACAACCGTCGTATTTTTCGGCATTGGTGGTGGCACTGTGACAGGCATTAAAAAGATGTGATTGTAAAAGGAATGTGAGATACGATACATATAGTAGTGATATATAGTACGCCTCCTATCGTATACTTTATGTAAAGTAGTCGTGATGGTGAAATCAATTAACGCAAAAGACTTACAGTACTTACCTTTTATGTTTATGTCTTTACATACTGGTAGAGGGGTAAATTGTGTATTTTATTTATGTTTACGAGGTTAATAGTAAACATTCTTTAAAGTAATTTAGTTGGGTTGGCTTCACTTATATAAATGTTTTTTGGTTATATACATGTTTTTTAGTATACAGGAATAATGTTTTTGAAATTTTACGTGGCATTTTATTTCATGATAATAAATGAAATAGTTCCGTGTTTAAAAAACATGCCATCAATATTCTAATTAATTATCAGTAAAAACTATTTTTATATTTTTTCAGGAAAAAGACCAAGGCAATCGCTTAATAACAGTAAACCCATGCAAACGTAAAAAAACACTTTTCGAATCTGATTGAGACATTTATGAAAAGTAAAATGTATGGCTACTAGGCCTACGTCATGTTTTACATTTTCATTTAATTACTATTTAAAGGGATCATTCATCCTCAAAATGCAGGGCTTTTATCAGACATTATCCACTACATTCTCTCCTCCTTCCAGAAGAGCTGGAGGCCTGTGTTTGGAGGATGGGTATTCGGAATTATGTTCATTTCACATTTACTGACAAATAAAAATGTCCATTGGCCATAATTATTTAACTTGGAAAGTCCGTTAAGTGCCTATTGACCATTGATTTCTCATCTTCGATAAGAATGTTGTAACATGATTACGTTAAAGACTTTTCACTTAATATAATATTCCAAAATAACTAAATCGAACCTCATAGTCATGATATTCTGTCGACATTTTTAATCACTATGACACACTGTTAACCGGCAATGAGCGGCCAATAGTCGAACTTTCGACCGCTCTTTTTATCAAAAGGACTGGGTATTTCGACTGAACATGCTGAAGGAATAACAAAAGCATTTGGTCTTTTGAAATGAATCCAACGAGCGGTACTTTTGAAATCGAATACTTAAAAGACAGCCAGAATTCAAGATGGTCACAACAAAACAGAAAGACTTCTGTACACAGAAGGAATCAGCTAGCCATTCTCCTGGACTGTTCTTGATGACAAGAAAACATGAGCAAAATACTGATGTCTGTGACGTACCACATGATTTAGAAGTGTGCTGCCATCAATGTGGCATCCTTGGCCCAAGAGTAATTCATTGCATTACATTGATCTGCTATGAAAGCAGTGAAGGACCGATCTTGAAGGATGTCAATGTGGCTACGTGGACTGGTATTTAAAAACGTCAAACGTGAGCCTTTAAAGCCATTGGAGTGTAGACAAAGCTCCTGCACTCGGTGACACAAAGAATGTGAACCTAGATGTGCATAAACCATTTACGTTTGCATTTTTTAAAGAATGATTAATATCATGCTGTATAAAGGGAATGTAAACGTTGAAAACACAAAATACCGGTGAGATTTAATATCTAAAGGTAAATAGCGATTGTGACAATAACATTATAACATTATTAATAAAAAAAACTGTTTATTAATGTAATAATCAAATGGCGATCATACTCCCTACTTGATCAATTAATGTTCATGCTGGGCAGACATGAACCCTCATTGTGACCTTCATAGTGTAAAACACGGTAATAGGCATTGCTAATCATATGTTCGCATTGCCCAAGGCAAAATGTAATATTAGAAATTACCCGAGGAATCGTCCTGAAGAAATTTTGCTGCTCTGTGTAACTCGCCAGTAATAGTAAATAATGAAATGTCATCTTGGTCGTGTTTTTGCAACAGAACTAGAATTCTGAGGGGGACGTGTCATCATGGTCGCGTTTTTGCAGTATAACTTGAATGCTGAGGGGGACAAGTTTGAAATACAAACTTTTGCATTTTACCATACTAATATTCATTTTGGCCTTGTTCTTGTAGAACTTGAATGCTGAGGGGAGCATGAACCTAAATGCTGAGGGGGCGTATCATTTTGGACGTGTTCTTGCAGAACTTGAATGCTGAGGGGGACGTCTTTCATTTTGTTGCTGAGGGGGACGTCTATCATTGTGTTTTTGCAGTAGAACATTAATTCTGATGGGGGGGGGCATGTCTTTTTTGTCGCTTTCTTGCATAAGAACTTGAATGCTAAAGGGGACGTATCTTTTTTGTCGCGTTCTTGCAGTAGAATTACTGAAAGGGACGTATCAATTTGGACGTGGTGTTCTTGCAGTTGAATTTGAACGCTCAGGGGGACGTATCATTTTGGTCGTGTTCTTGCAGTATACTTTGAATACTGAGGGGGACATATCATTTTGGACATTTTCTTGCAGTAGAACTTGAATGTTCAGTGGCATATCATTTTGGTCGTGCCATTGCAGTAGAACTAACATGCTGGTGGTAATAGAGCTAGGATGCTGAGGGGGATATGTCGGTCATGCTTTTAGTGATGTTGCAGTTGAACTAAAATGCTAAAGGATATGTCGTATGGGTATCTCGACAGCTCGATTTGACAAAAAAATATAAGAAGATATAATAATAATTATTGGGGTCAAGTCATTTCAGAAAGATATTGTGAGAAAATTGTAAAGAGTTAGGTGCCCAATCTCTCCTGTCCGACTTTGATTTTTTGGAGAACGATATTTACGTAGTATCATAGGGACTAATTTTATGTCCTTGTTGTAACTGGTATTATGAATTCACAACGAATTGTATACGTATGTGTTGTATCCCGCTTGTAAATTTTTTTTTCAGATGGAGATTAATACAAAGTTTTAATGATTAAAAGTAGAAGAAAGACAAGGAAGCTCACCTGGTTCATGTGTTCTGAATCACTAAATGTTGACGTCAAATATAGGTTTCTCCTTAATATATCAACCTACCAGGAATCACTTTTTCACTCGTTAATATTAAATGATGCTCCATCACATCAAGTCTTTTATTCCGTTTTAATTTAACGATGTCATTAGAATAATCAAAATGCATTTTCAAAATTCCAAAACATCTGGTATTATCCATTTACACATTATATTGCTTTGTCGATGTATGTTGTCGGTTGTTCATAGGGTTTAACTGTGTTGTTGAACATATCAGAGCATATCAGCGCAAATGTCCCCTATCTAATGAAAGTAAATACATGAGTTTGGCTGCGCCGAGTTACTGATATAGTTGTTATTAAGGTAAACCTGCATGCGCGATCTCAATATGCGTTCGGAGATGGGCCATCCACAGGTGCGCCAATTCACTGAAAACCTTGCCAATTTAACTGTGCAATAATAGTAGGGAACGGGACAAGGGATCGAAATAAACGTCGTTAAGAGCTGTTTCCGGCCTTTTGCTCTGATCCACCTGCCAATTCCGGTTCGCTTAGAACAACAGTTTGCCAAAAATACCTTCTAATCCGTAAGAACTAATCCATAATCAAAGCAGCAATGGATAAGAACTGGCTGGTTGGTCTTGACCAGTTCACTTTTGATAGCCCCTCTACCATGCACTGAATAGTAAGACCCTCTCTGACGATGGTGCCAACTTTACTTTGGACTTTCTCTTGACACTCTGGTGTATACTTGGACGAACTGCAATCTAACACATTCTAGAATGATTTTAGTCACTCATATTAAAGGTAGCTAGTTTTTGTATATAATAATTCAAGCTGGAATAAGTTTTTGAATAGTGTCATTGATATGAAGTATGGACCCTATGTCACTGCATTATAATATGTTGTGACCGCAAACTCGTATTGGTAGACCAAAACCAGTGTTAACGTTTATGGACGTTTAATACTTTTTTAACAACCAAATTTCTCCAAAGTTCATGTCCATCATAAAACTGTGTATTTAATTGACTTTAAGTAACATGTTGAACTTTCTGGTTGTCCATTCCTTACTGAGACATCTACCTGTCACTGATGGAGTTATTCATATCTGTCCCTTGGTCTCTCCGTGTCGTATCGTTCACACAGTACACTAACTCTCTCACCTAGCCATCCTCGTATGTCTTTACCGTTTTGATCGGTTTGTCTCTCAACTTATCCTTATGGTAATCGTTTGATTAGTTTTGATACAGATTTCCAAAGATGTTTACATACAGATACTTATGGGATACATTCTCTTCAAATAGAGTCGAATAGACCTCGTGATAACTACAGTTCATTTCAATAAAACACCTCATGTACGGAATACTAATGAGGCCACTTCACACTTCCTATGTATATGAAAAACATGTTTTCCTGGTCCATGGAGTAAAAAGGATGAGAAGATACAATTAAGATGGTGCAAAAGCAGGAAAGGCCAACAATAATACACCTATGTAAATTCAAAAATATTTCAAGTGCTCACAGGGACGCAAGTCAGAATGAGTCGCTTATATTTTTGCAAGGTTTAAAAATTCCAAGGTGTTTAATCGCCAAAAAGTAATTCAATGTAAGGTTTTAAAACAGGAAACTCTCAACTACATTTCGTACTCGAATATATTGCTCATTGAATGGAGAAGTACAGAGAATGAATTCAGAAGAAGGGGAGGTCTATACCTGAGGTCTCTGCTCTCGTACGGGAATAAAACATGATTACTTCAAAAGATGAACCAAAGAATGGTGGGGACCTATAGGGTGTTGGGCTGTTGGTATTCCTTGAAGCTTTACATGAGTCCACGTTGTGATTACGTCAATTCAAAAATAGAAAACGTAACAAAGATATTCCGACCTTCCATAATTTTCTCGGGTTATCTGTTGTGAACGATTAAACAAGTTCCCCCTCATTTTTAGTTCTGATGGGGGCAATATATAGTAATATAGTATGACCTTTATATTCATTGCTTATAGGGTGACGAATTTAATTTCTTTATTAAGATTTGAATTCACTTTCAAGGGCATCAATGAGTGAGCAATACAAATAGGCAAAACTGTAACCATTGCATGTTCGACCACATGCTGTTTTAAATTAAACATTTCTTACGCATGCAAGGAACTTGTGTCCTGAAAATTATACATAAAAGAAAAATTAAAAATGATGCGGGGAAAATTTTGGAAACGAAAGATTTTATGACGACTTTGATGGAAAGCGGATGTAATTTTTTTTCAATTTTAACCTTATATATTATCCTCGTATATCTAGTATGGTATTGAAGGTATGGAGATGTAAAACTACGTCAGCAACATGTGAAAATTTCACGAAAGTTCATCCGACAGCAGTCTATTAGATATTGTAGATATTGTGAACATAAATAAAGATTTGAAAACTAAGCAATCTAGACGTCCTTCACCCACCTAACTTACGCATGCGTAAATGTTTTAGCGACATCTAATGAGCACCCGTGGAGTCAAAAAAAGTATGACCACATTTTACAAACTAAACACTATTCATATGAATCAAAGATCGAGAACTGTAGAATAGAGATGGTACTATGCCTTGTCATATCACTGTCAAGCTTGCTATTGAATTATTGGTCAAACTACTCAGCCATTCGAGACAATCGGTGAATAAACTAGCTATTCACAGCTCCCCGGGAATTTCCAGAGATCTGTTTCAGTCAATAAAGTGGAGGACATCCTTCGAGATACTCCGTCTCATTCGAGCCGGTAAAATAAAACAAATATTCCATTCTATTTTCGGTGATGATTGTGGTATACACCGCATTAGAATGGAATATATATTATAATTTTATCCTGTATATATAACTTTGCGAGTTATTTTTCTTAACGAAAGTATAAAATCTATACTTTGTCCAGTAAGGATTTCTAAGCGTTAAACACGTACGTACTTGACATAACCAAGCGAAACGTGTCTTTTGGCTTTGCAGTTCTCATGCACTTTATGGGAGTTATGGGATACGTACATATATATTTCTATTATGGCCAATATGATATACAGAGGGTCGTTGTTCTGTGTTTCAAATGTTGCCATTTATTTTTTCTCATAGAAACGTAGAAATACATTCATAAATCCAGTAAAAACACGAGCACTACATCCCGTGTGCACTACTCACTTAAACATGATTTTTATTTAAAAAGGCTCTAAATATAGCTACAGTATGACACATTGGATCACGCTAAATAGTACACTGACAATTTTGCAAATCATTCCCCTTATTTTAATTCCTAGTTGAGATTTAGTCACGTTCGTTTGGTCATTTCTTTTTTTGCATGTAAGGACTTAGATTGTAGTGACTAAGTTATATTTGGCATTTAATTAATTAATTTCTAATCCCGCAGCCCACGCCTGGAATGTGTTGATGAGTTTGACGCAAGCTGATCTCCCGTTGTATTTGAGAAAAAATAAATTTATACACTATCCAAATAGGGATGATCTGCAATATTAGAAATGTTTGGAGGTTAAATTTAATTAATTCTTGTGTTAGTTGTGGGACTATTTGACTTTGGCGATTTGGTTGCTATTTATTTGGCGGATTTGGGCTATTTGTTCAGAATCAGAGCAAGGATTCATTGAATACCCGGGTTTTGTATGTGTACTGAACGAAACTAGCAATGGCTTTTTATTGGTACGTTTTCTCAAACCTACGGAAATACAGATACGTGATTTCCCGATTCATGTACATAGCTCGGAAAAGGTTCAACAAGTTACAATGTCAATTTGCATTTGTAAGATGTGCATGGGAGTCAAAACGAATTGCTTGAAAAGCTTCGTCAAAAACAAAGCCAAACCTTGTAAGAGCTCAAAAACTCGTTCAAGTACTTGTCTATGTTAAAGTACACATGTACCTTTATTTGCGCCAGAAGCACTTTGCGCGTAATCCAATGAGAAACAGTTCCGATATTTCTGAAATGTTTCAATATTCATACGTTATAAATGTACATAAGCAAGCAACTGTTGTCCCATACCAGATTTGAACTAAATTGGTTAAGGAATAAAAAGTTATGACCAAAAAAATAAAAATTTATATTATTGCAACATCCATGATTAATATTATGTTAAAAGCGTTGTTCAAGAGTCTCCCGAAAAGTAGATGTACCATTTCTTGCTGGTATTTCTGTAAAAGACATGAGATCGGGACAAAGTATGAATATTGAAACAAATAGTCTTCGGACATTTTTAAATCAATAATTACTCCTCAGAGAAAAAATGTTTCAATTTTCTTCAACTTTTGCAATCAGTTTTCTTTGATTGATTCACTGACAGAGTTTAAAAATTGCATTAAAGGCCATTCTGGTGTGTGTTCAGTAGCTGGAAAAATAGTCTCAACGTAGCTATTTGATAAGTTTCAAAGTTTACGTACGTATTTAAAATGTCTTCTATTCTTTGTGCTATAAACGAATTAAAAAACGTTCATCAACATGGGAACGGTAACCAATTAATATATTATATTCTTATTCTGTTACCCGGGTTCTGTTACTTGAGCAATTCAGCAGTAATTATTCTTGCTGCAATTCCTGGCCTTTGCCTATGACATACATGCCATCTATATAACTCAACAGATATTAATTGTATTAAAGGCTCTACTTACTTTAGAATCATAAAATTGTTGGTGAAAATGATTAAACTGACTTTGAGTCTCTTACAAGCCTAAAGATTCTGAAGCAATCTAATGGTATGCTTTGGTTCAAGAAAGGTTGCACAATGTTAATTTTCTAAGTAAACTTCTGGTATTATGAATTCTTAGTGAGTAAAAGACTAAGTATTATGTGATCACATATGTTGTGAATCCACCATTTCCCATTGGATTACAATGAAATTTCAATAGTTCATCAAAAGTTTCACCAGTATCACTGGATTCACAATTTTCTTGTCAATTGTGTATCATTGTTAGAACAACTCCAAATTCATTTTTAGTATTTTGATGAATGTTGTGGACTGTTTCTAAGGGATACCACATCCACTTGTCAGCTGGGATTATGAGATTTGCCATGGTGATTATTTGTGTTGCCAACACCAACAAGTTGATTATATTATTGTTGTGATGAGCAGAAGCAATTATGTCATTGTTGACGCATTTTACCCATTACCCAAATAAGATTTTAGACTTCTACCAAACAAGACAAGGAGATGATGTAATTTATCATAGTTTAGCAAATGAGGGTAAGGAAAGGGGAAGTTTCATAAAAGGGACATTATGGATTTATATCAATCTATATAATATAAAAAACATTTTGCACCCATGGAGGTGAGCAAACTTTTGGTTTGCAATATATATAGATATACACTTTCCATCTTTAACAAAGTCATGTGTTTTTCAAATATTTCACATACATATATTTGAAATTATATTTTTGGAATAGTTCAAAAAGAAAACAAAACCTACAGCATTATATCTTTTAAATTCTAAATTTTTTGTATGTGCACTTATTAGAATCTCTTAAATCCTATTAAATTTAAATTTGGGAAGTACACTGTGCGCTCATTAGAGAGAATACGGTATGTTATATGTTGGGAATGACTAGTCTGCTCTTACATCTGTAAAAGTTTCAAGTTGAACAGATAA